TCGATTGACGATTTTTCAAAGTCGCACTTCTCCGCTCGAAGGTACAACTTGTGCTCCCGGAGTCGCCGTAAGACCTCCTGGACAATCTGCCGGTGTTTCCGGAGGTCGGAATGGGCGATCAGGATGTCGTCAAGGTAGATCATGACGTCTCCGGAGAGGATGAGATCCTGGAAAATGTCATTCATCATCGTTTGGAACGTCGCGGGAGAGTTTGTCAGGCCGAAATACATCACCAAGGGCTCGAACAGGCCTCGGTTAGTCCGGAAAGCCGCTTTCCACTCGTCACCTACCTTGATCCGGACGTTGTTGAAGCCCCAACGGACGTCGAGTTTGGTGAAGTAACGAGCGCCTTTGAGCCGGTTGATGAGGTCGTTGATCAGCGGAAGGGGGTACCGGTTTTTGACAGTCATCGCGTTGAGAGCACGGTAGTCCTGGACGAAGCGGAGTCCGCCGTCCTTCTTCTTGACGAAGAAGACCGGAGACGCCATCGGAGACTTGGAGGGGCGAATCCGGCCCGTCGAAAGCCCTTCCTCGATGAACGCGTCGAGCTCGCGTTGCTCGAGGGGCGAGATGGGGTACACCTTGCAGTTGGTGGGCTTAGCGTCGGGGACGAGTTCAATGGCGTGGTCCCAGGCTCTCCGCTCCGGTAGCGTGTCGAAGGACTCCTTGTTGAAGACGTCCTGGAACTCCTTAGCCCAGTCCGGGATCTCGGAGGGCGGAGGGGCGGAGTTCTTGGCGAAGGCTTCGGCCAGACGCTGTGAGACGGTGCTACCTGCGCGTATCTCCTCTGAGGGACGGAACGAGGTATAGAAGATGCGGTCACCATCTTCGAGCTGGTCATCTTCGTCATCCGAGTCCGAGTCCGGCGTCAGATCAGGCAGGTCGGAATCGAGACCGGAATCGGAATCGTCTCCGTCCTCAGGGCCAGAGAGGTCCATAGTGCAAACCGAGGGGAACGGGCCGGAGCGGAGACGCTTCTGAAGCGACCGGAGTCGCCGCAGCTCGGTCCGTTCGACGCGCTCTTCCTCACGGCAGGTCGAGCAATTGCGGGGGCACCGTGTCATCTTGACCTCCTTGGTTTCCCAATTGATCTCTGGGTTATGTTTCCGCAACCAGGAATACCCCAGGATGAGGTCTTGCTTGCCAAGATGGGTGACGGCCAGTTGAACTCGTTCGGCATGGCCCTTGTAGCGCAGGACCAAGTCCGCGATCTGTTTGATGGAGCCAGCGTCATTGGGGGTGCCATCGACATTGAAAACCGGAATCGGCTGATCGAGGGTGCGGACCGGAATGCCATTCCGAGCAACATAGTTCGTGTCAATGAAGTCGGAGGTGGCACCACAGTCAACAAGCCCAGAGAGTGAGAGCTTCAGGCGCTGGTGGTGGACTCAAGCTCCAACGGGAGGTGGAGGGAGTTCACCCAGGGGCAGCGGCAACGGTGTACTGCTTGGGCAGTTTCTTTTCCCAGGCAGTGAGGCGGCGAAGGACGATGACCGGAGTCGCGGGCGGAGTCGGAGACGGAGTCGAGGCGGGGGCAGGAGAGGGTGTGTCTTTCGTTTCGGGCTCATTGTAGGGCAAGGAACTGCATTCATCATACAAAGAGGCAAAACGATTTATAGACGCGAACGAGGGCACACCAGTCACTCGTCGCGGGGGACAAAATCCTCTCCGGCCATCGACTCCGCTGCCGTCTCCGGCAGGGCAGCTGTGTCCGTGTAGCGGGCGATCAACTCCGCTAACATCTCGTCACCGAGTTGTTGGATCACCTCGTCGAGGATGTCCATCGAGCGGACATCGGCAGGGAGGGGGCAATCCCGGGCGAGATGGTTTGGGTCGCCGCACCTGAAGCAGGCGCGGCGAGGGGCACCCCGAGCCCTGGTGCGATCCAACTCCATTGGGACGGGAGCTGGAGGCGCCGGAGCGGGGGCGCGGGCCACGGGTGGCACGACCGGAGCCACCGGGCGGAAGGGGGCCGGAGCCGGGATGCGGTTGACCGGAAACGGAGTCCGAATCAAACCGCCAGGCGTCTTGGGGGCGGCTGACTCGATCAGCTTGGCCCGGACCAGGGCCTCGTATTGACGGAAGGCCCGGGTGCGCCAGCTAAGGTAATCCCGGAGGTCCGGGGGTCGTTCGAGGACGTGATTCCGTTGTTGATCAAGGGGTCAAGTCCGTGGCGGAACTTGGTCACCTTGACCAGCGCGTCTTCGAATCCGGCGAGGTCCATCAGGTCCTCGAAGTCGTCGGTGTACTGGTAGACATCCTTTGTGCCCATGTGATAGGCGGAAGTCTCCAGCTTGGAGAGAGCGTGATCTTGCTCATTCTCCTCGACGAACCGGAGTCGAAACTCGGAAACGAACGAGCCCCAGGACGGAAACGGAAACGGGGCTTTGCTTCCGTGGCGCTCCGCCCATTGCTGAGCGGGTCCTTCTGCCATAAACGACATGGCATAGCGGAGGCGGCTTTTCCTCGCTCGCCTCTCCGTTGACCACGAAGGCCTCAGGGGCAAGTCGGGCGTAGGTGCGGACCGCGTAAAGGAATGCGCGGCCGCGTTTCCGGTCGCCGTTGAAGGTGAACGGGGGGTTTGGTCGCAAGACCAATTTTGAGGCGAGGTTGATGTCGCCAAAAAGGGCTTCGGAGTCGCCCTGGACCGGAGTCGGAGTCGGAATCGACGTCTCCGGCGAAGGTGTTTGGGGTCCGCCAGCATTATTAGCGGCGGCAGCGGCAGCGGAAGCCTGGTTGGTGAGTAAAGCAAGGGCCTCAGTTAGGCTATCAATTTTCGCCTCGAGTGAGTCCAGCCGGGCGTCTGCGGTGGGAGTGACTCCGGACGGCATGACGGGTGCGGGGACCACAGGAGTAGAGGAGGAGGGGACAAGTGGCAGGGGGTGGTGACGAGGGCGGAACGGACTCGCACTCGAGCCTGAGTCAGCGCCGAACCTGGCAATCTTGTCCGGTTGATCCCGTAGAGAGTTTCTTCTGCTGTAAGGGCAACCCCGGAGGCCTGAGATCAAGGTCCTAGCAGGGGAGGATCCAAAGCGTGAACATTGGTAAGCGAATACAAATGAAGCTGACCTAGCAGGGGAGGATCCAAAGAGAAGAAACTCTAAGGGTCCGCCTGCTAGGTAGCTGACTATATACTGCTTGTCCGTAGCTGCCGCTGTCGGGCACAGAAGGCTTGGGCGGCGTCGCAGGCGAGGTCCCAGGGCGACCGTCGGGAGGGCGTTGACGGATCGGTGATTGTGCGGGCGAGATGAAGGGCCGGACCGGAGTCGGAACCGGAGTCGGACCGGAATCGGGCGCGTCTCCGGGCCGAAAGGGAGGTTCCCCTGACATATATTTTCTTTCAGTTTCAAAAGTAGATCGCCATCCATCATTTAGGCGAAGTAGATCACTTAATCTTTTAAAGGAATTTGGAATTCTATCAACAGTATTATTATTCCTATCCTTTGAATCCTTAACAAAATTCCAATCTCTCAGTGATATGTCAGGAAGAGGTATTGATATATCTGTTCTTCAAATTTTCCATAAATCACACCATAACCTTGCTCGTTCAGTATTTGAGTTAGGTGCATATATATTTAAGATTACTAGAGGATATTCCTCATGCCAGGGTATTATAAGAAGTAAAGCACGTCCTGGAATTAGCTCATATTTAATAACATTTTCAGTATCAATATATTTCTTGTTCAAGAAGAATGCTATTCCTGCAGTTGTGGAAGGTTTGGTTGGGTGACCAGAGGCAAAAATTTCAAACCATCTCTGGTATATACCTTGGAATTCAGTTTCAGCTCCGCTATCCATATAACTTTCTTGTATAGCTAGGATTGTGTCAACGTCGGGCTCGGGCCGTATCGGGGCGTCAGGGGCTCCGACTTCGGGAGGGTCTGAGGAGCACGAAAGGTGGGTATTCGCCCGGAGAATAGACGATATTAGCCTAGCGACTACATCTTGTAAGTACGGTTTTTATACGCCATGATATTAGGGATGGATCGGATGGGCGCCAGGTCCCAGGGCGGATCGGATGGGCGCTGCGTAGGGCCGCAGGGGTGAAGGGAAGGGCTGGAAGAATGGGGAAGCGTCGAGGAGTATGGCGGTATGCGGGCCCGTGTGTCCTCGTGGCCCGGCGGCCCGACCCGAACCGTGACAGATTGCAATGTTTTTCTCATCAATTAGGTGTTTAACATGATGGAACTTATGATTATGGTGACTTATTGATTTAGATGCCTCACGACCATCAATGTTTAAAGTTCCAATGGTGATTGCAGAGCGTGTGAATTTATTTGATTTTAATTTTGGATGTGACTTATTTTTTTCTCTGTATGTCCAAATTTTCACTTTCCCAATCATATACTCTAATGTCATTTTGGGCTAGTATATCGTCCAAATTGTCTGAAGCATTTGCAGCTCTTTTTGAGTGTGCTTGACTATAGTCATCATCTGATAAAGTATCAAAAGCACACTTTTTTTCCTTTCGTACGGGAATTATCGGCCACCCCTGCAACTCCCGACACACTCCAAGATGCTTCTGGAGTCTCAGAACCATCTGCAAGATACTTTGACTGATCAGGTGACACCATTGTCTCTTGAGTTATACTAGGTGTAAGGTGATCAGACAAGTTATTTGCAGAGGGGTGTGGTATTTGCTGCTCTAACTGGTCCAGGACAGCCCGAGCTGCAGAAAAACTGCCACTGGGGTGTCTGGGAAGTCAGGGCTTGACCCCAAGGTTCCCCGACTCATGCTAGTGTCTTCGCACCTGTATTGTCCAGCGAGCCACATGCCACGCTCGCGCGAGGGTGGTACCACGCCCTGGTGGCTGTCCCCCAAACTTAGTTCATCAGGACAGCTTATACCAAATTCTGTTTTCTTTTGTTGTGTCTGCATGGTTGGTGGGGTTGCGATTTAGGACCGCTGTCCAGAACAGCGGCTAGCCATTCACTTCTGTTTGTGATAACATCAATAGATCATATTCTACTGTCAACGTGACTTTCCGTTGACCGCGTCTTGTCTTCCGTCCACGATGCAGTCCAGCTCAGCGCTCAGTCACTCCCAAAGTTTTCATCCGATCTTCACGACCACCATCTCCCAAACACCATCTCCCTACCAAGCTTGTTCCCTTAACCTCCTCTATGCTCTCCCGCCACTCATATTCATTGACCCGTACGAACTGGCCAACCGCGCAGTCTCCTACTCTTTCCAACACGCTGGCCCATCCAACCTAGAGCTCCCTGTCGCCGCCTTTGACCCGTCAACAAGCAACTCCTCGTTGCTGCTGACCGTGGGGCGTGAAGCAGACAGCGAAGTGGTTGTCGAGCTTCCGTTGCACGTGCGGTACGGCCCAGTCGCGCTTTCCAAAAACGCCAAGGGGTTCATCGATACCGAAATCCCATGGCCGAAAGCATTTTACGCGTGCCCAGCGTCCGCAGGTACGCGTTGTCTTTCTTGCTGCTTCACTTCATTTTTACAAAGCCCCAGACCATGAACTCCTCTCCTCCGACTCTCCCCTCCCTATAATGCCTCCCTCCTTCACGACCTCCTTTGCCTCCCAGACCATCCATCTCGTTCCACCAGCCTCCGATGCCCCTGCCTTCGAGGTTGTCCACACACCAGTGGGCAACGCGGCTGACGTCAGGACAGTCGAGCTTGGCACAGCCGTTGTCATCATCGTCTGTTTCCTGTACCTTCTTCGTGCGATGCAACGTACTTTCATGCGGTTAAAAAGCTCAGAACAAGTCGAGAAAGAGAAAGTGGAATGATGCCCTTTCATGACCCTTAGTGCCATTGATATCCTTGTTTTTAACGAGCACAAGTCACAAATGTTATTCTATGATAATTATAGGTGCAGCCTACTGTTCGCTAGTAGTCAATCCTGATGAACAAACCATCTCAAAATTTGGTTTCTGGTTGTGGACCTGTTATGTAAGACGATAAGATAAGCCTAAAGTAAATTTCGGCGCAGGTGATGGATGAGAAGGACAACTTGCACCGGCTAACAAGATATGTTATCTTCCATTGCAGTCTATCCTGCAAACAAGCGCTATCGGAATTGACGTAAACTATTCTCTGTTGAGCTTGCCTCTATGTCGTCCATCTCCTGAGCCTTCCGCTCAGCATGGGTACGATTGGCCTCATCGTCCGTATGATGCGTAGTTTGCACATGCGTGCGAACTTGGATATGCTGTCCCTTCCCCAAGTCCCCGAGCTCGAGGGCACGTGCCCCGCTGGCGCCTGTCCTCCGCCCCCCGCTTGGTCCCTCGCTGCTCGTGTTCTGGCCCGTCGACCGCGAGAGCAGGATAGTGCGCCGCGAGTTCAGCGTCCACATCGCGCTGAGCGCATACAACTTTGGCAACACATTGGAGGCAATGATCGAGATCGTCGTCGACGGCTTGGCAAGCACGGACCGGTCGCCGGTCTGCGAGGCGATGACGGTGATCATGGCACATATAGCGCCAGGCATTGCGCTCTGGATCGTCAGCTTGAGAATCGCATTCAGCATTCCTGCCGTTTGCGGCAGCACGTGTTTTGAATGTTTCTTTGTCCAGATTAGCTTGACGCACAAACGTGTCTGACGACACCATACCAGGAGGAAGAAGGCCATTGAGCCGCAAAGCAACAGGTCCCCGCCTAAAACGACCCCAAAGTGGACCGAGACTGCAGAGAGAATTAGTAGCGTCATGGTCCCGAATGCAGACAGAACGCACTCCATGTAGCTGACGAAAGCCGGTTATTAAACGTAAGAATGACCTGGAAAATATTAAGCGACGGAAAAACGCTAACAAAAACACGCATACCACCGCCCAAGCTGCGGCTAGCGAGAAGGTAAACATGGTCACCAGGACAATGACGACGTAAATGTTTTTGGAGAGGGACTTGAAGGAATCAGAGAAGTTTCAAGCGATTGAAAAGGCCCTCCCACCCAAAGCCGTTGGCACATGAAGATCTGGATGTAGAATGATATGGAGGCACCGAATCCTGGAATAGTTGAGCAAGGGCGGATAGGATGAGGGACGTTCATGCCTAAGTTGATCTGCCCGAGCCAGTTGGTCGCGAACAACATAGTCGCTCCACGGACGTCGGTGAAGTGGGTGACATTCTGAGTCCACAAAATCGCGCTATTCGGTGCCAACGATATGTCAGCAACACAACGAGAGCCAAAACGGCGGTCACACATCATTTGCATTGACTTGAGCGTGGTAAACAACAATAGGCCTGCGACGAAGAGCCGAAGCGCAAGCAAATCAGAGTGATAGAGCGTGAAGTAGTGCGCTGTTTGGGCGAAGATGACACCTTGAAGCAACAGGTCCCCAGCGACAGACAGGTCCTAAACAAACACATTAGCATCTCGTCGCCCGCATGGCTCTGATCACGCACCCAACCACCTAGAGCGTAAGTGATGAGAGCAGAGACCTGAGGTTGGGACATGGTTGAGTAGAGAATCCGAGTCCCCTTGACTTGCATTTATGTATTGGGCTATTATCATATTGAGGTGATGTGGTAACTTGGGTGCATTTCGAGTCGATCCTGTCGAAGCCGACTTAGACTTGTGCACAAGTTGCGATAGCCAGGCAGAGCCTTGACGACAATGAACATAGATTCGTTGTCTGGATTGTCGCGGTCAAAAACGCGAAGGAGAACGAACAAGAAGAACACAGACATGCATTGAGGTGCTCAACAGTCCGAGTAATCATTCTTTCGAAACGGGGGTTACACCAGGGCCCTTACTGGCTTTGGGGCTGACGATCTGTTTCACCTTCGGCATTGGCGGCAGTATTTGAAGTTGGACTGTATTTATTGTGGCACTCTTGGAAGGCTTGAGACAGCGAAACTTGCAAGCGGCCAACTCGGAGTGCGCCAGCAAAGCAGAGCAAAGCAGGCCCTTTTTTGTTGGAACTGAAAGGGCGTTTACACCCCTCGATCTATCCGTTATATTGCCGCGGCAGCCTTAGGGCTTGGAGACCGTAAGTTGATGCGTTAAACGCCTCTAAGCTCTTGGACAGTTCATGTGTGAACTTTGGATGGGGGTGGGAAATGCTTTCACGATGAATGAGCGTGAGGGTCTGTCGTTTAGTATCAGTTACAATTGGAGAACGCGCGTTTAATTACTATAGTATTTCCTGGCAGTAGTGCTGGACGCGAGCCTCAAAGGCTCATCTGCCACTTTGGGCGACTTGGCTTCTTGGTACTGGTGCTAGGATAAAAGAACACGCACCAAACGCATATCCGTCGTATTCATCCGGCTTGCAATCCACTAGTAGATGATCCTCCTGTCGCGATCGAGCGGCCTAAATTATGAGCAGGATTGTTGTACTTCAAAGGGGAAAGTGTGGACTCGTTGGACATTGGATTCAGAAGTGAAGTGTTGTGCAGGAACAAGTTTGTTGGAGCGCTTGCAGTGACGCGGTCTGGGAGGTCATCGTTGTTGGAAGAAAAATGTGATCAGACTAGTCATTGGACCGTATGATCTCATCAACGAGCTCAAGTTCAAAACGAATGGATTGTCTGGGGAGCAACGCTACTCTATGAGGGTATTGATTATATGTAGGTAAAGATGTCCATCGCATGCAAGAAAGTCCGTGTCAGGTCATAGTATCGAAGTCAACACACCAGCCAGTCCGAATAGCGCACTCATCAGCGCGGCAAAGTGCGGGGAGACAGAAACAGCCACCGAAGAACCAGCTGCTTGGCCCGTGTTCGTTTTACTACTTGAATTTGAACTTGGTCCACCAGACGACGAAGGATGTGCAGCGCCGCTGCTTCCACCTGGAGAGTTACTGCCGCTCGAACCACCAGTAGGAGGCTGTGTGCCAGTGTCTAAACGAAAAGTGGGTCAAAATAAAGACATCTTCGAAGCAAAACACGAACATTGGGCAAATGACTTCTGAGTGTAGTTGGATTCCACATACGGCTGCGTCTTGTTCAGCGCAACTCCAACAGGAACGATGTACTTGAAAGCAGCAGCCAAATTCGGGTAGTTGTCGATTGCCGTCTGCATGGTGTAGTTATTGAGCTCATGGGTCAAGATGATCGCGCCGCTGGTGCTAAATTTTCCCGATTTGGCGTCATTCATCAACGTATCGTAGTTTGCCTGGACCTGAGCGGGGGTTGCAGCGCCAGATGAGACTTTAAAAAGACCGTCAATGAGCGTTTTAAAGCACGAGAAAAAGCCGACATGCCTTCCCAGTCATTACTGTTGTACTTCCAAAGCACATTGTAAAGCCCGATCTTCTGTGCAATAAACCGGATGCGGTCATCAACGTCACCGAGAGGAGGCTGGTTCACTTTCAGCAGTGTTTTGTATAGAAATCACAGCACGCACGCGCCAGCAAGTGGGAGTGTAACCAGTGACAAGCTTGATAGCCTGCAGAGTATAGTACAGCTCGGCAAAGGCTTGCTCATTGGTGAATGCTGTCATTGAACGGTGGGACCATGAATCTGGACACGAACGACATTGAGTGGGAGGGAGTGGTAAACGCGGTCCCATGACACTCACGAACGCAGATCTCATGGTTATCAGCAACGGCTCGTTGTGCTTGCAAAGGCCAATCCATAACGTTCGAGCCGATGTAGAAGAGGGCTAGAAATGGCAGTAAGAAAAAAAGTTCAAGCCATATTGTGACCACGCACTAGCTTTCTGGTTCTTCTGAGTGAGATAGTCGTAAAACGCATTGTGCGAGCAATTTGGTCCGTCGTCAAATCCATACCCTAGTGTTTGGGGCTATAGCGATGTCAACGATGCTATAAAAAACGTGAGAAGCCTACCTCGGGTACAGCAGCGACATCGGGGTTCACTCCAGATGCCTTTGGCGTCGTGCATGTAGAGGCAGTCCACCAACAATCGGGGTCTGTGGCGGGGTATTTTGACTGGGCGTTCGGGTCGGGTACACCGAGGGTGCCTTTTGGAGCGATGTTGGGGATGCTGGAGCTGAAAGACGAGAATAACGATGTCGCAGCGGTATCTCCAGAAAGAATTCCGGCGACTGGTTGCCATATGGGAGGGAATTTAGAGGCGGTCATAGCGGCGGTGACTGGCGCGTAGCTGTATGGCGCACAAGCCTGGGTCGGTCCAAGGGCGGCCTCGCTTTGTTCAGTTCCATCGGCGTAGACACGACTGGCGAGAAATGCGAGCAAGAGAGGAGCGAGCGACGGCATTACCGCGGGTGGTATGAGGGGGAAGAGCAAAAGACAACAAACACGCCGCCTGAATCGTTTGTTGACCTAAAAGACCTGTTCGGCAGGACACGGCAAGCCTAAATTTATCGCGGGTCATCTTAGACTCGAAGCAGTCATTGTAACACCGCTCAGCGGCCCTGTCGCCCACATGTAGTGACCAGAAGCAATGCTTAGCTCATCTATTGTCTTCACCCCAGAGCAGGTGTTGGAAGCGTCAAGACTTGTGTTCAATGGTTGTGGTGGTTTGAGGATCGTATTCTTTTTTTAGCAAGTCGATCACTTCGGTTGATTTCCAATCATTCCGCCGAAGTTACATACTCGACTCCACTTGACAGGAAGGGCAACATTCACCGTCGAAGAGAATCTTGTTTTGTATCAGTTCCACAACGAAAGCAGTCATTTTTTTTTTGTGGCACGTTTAGACTAGTGGCGCGTAAGAGCATTGGACGAAAGCAGTCATGAGGATAAGTAGCGCCTGACAAAGCGGATGTATGGCCCTTTACATATTCTCAAACCGTATTCAAAAGTTTTATGCTCCTAAAACTCCCTATAAAGCCGCCCCCACCAATCTGCGCCAGTGGAGCCTCAATAGCAATGGGCTGGAACTGGAAGCTCTGGCCGTTGATACCCATCACCGTCAAAAACTGCATCTCTGGTCCCTTGCCGACACGAAGGAAGGTCGCATTGCCTCGGCCAAGCAGCTGTACATCGCTCCAGACATCTCGAGGAAGAGTAAAATTCAACGCATAGAACTGATTCGCGGAGATGAGGGCAACTTGGGGAGCAGTTCCGTTACCCAACACGAGTGTTGAATCAGGCCCAGAGAAAATGGTGGCCCCAACAGGCGCTCGAGAAGAAGGATTGATGCCGAATGCAAGGGTATAATTGCGGCCTTTGGACGTCAACGGCGTTTTGAGCAGACTAATCCCCGTCGAGAGGGTCAAAATTCCGTCGGCAATGCTGCATGCTTTGCAAGCCCCATCATAACCATTTCCCGAAGAGTCGACGACAGTCTCAGCTTGTGTGTGTCCAGAGAACTTGTACTCCAATATGACCTCGGTTTTTGACGGAATCGCTCGGTCGAGGTTTTGCCCAGGGATCACGCCGTGAAGCTCGTCAAAAATCAGACTGTACTGTTGCTGGGTGAGTCGACCACCCCACTGCTTGTCAGCAAGTGCAGGCAACGCATCTCGCCAAGCATAGTAAGCCTCCGTTACAGTGGTCGCATTAGGCCCATAATCGTTCCACTGAGCGGCGATATGTCCGATAACTCCTGGGTCGCTACGAGCGGGATTATTGGTTGCATTATGCGTGTCGAAGATATTTGGGGCATAAGCACCACCAGCAGGATCTCCGGTAAAAATGCGGGTGAGGTTGAGCTGTTGTGGATAGCTTCCCGACCACTTTCCAACAATGTAAAACGCATCATCTGCGTTCAGAACACGGTATCCCTGTTTGATGAGAGCGAGCGGGTTATCTTCAAAGAACTCCCAGTGCTGAATAGTAATGTTGGGACTGACGGAGGAGCTCCGAGATGGCTCGTTCGTTCCCCAGATGCGAATATCTTTACCAGAATTGTCGCGGATGAAGCTGGACATGGTGTTGACAAAGAGGTTGTAGTCATTTGCAAGGGAGCTGTCGTATTCGTCGGCTCCAATATGGACTGTTTTCGATTTAAACCACGGTAGGAAAGTCTTCCAGATGCTCTCCATTGTCGGGATTGTTTCTGGATGGCTAGAATTTCTTGTTCAGTTCAACGAGGGAGAAGAAAATATTACACGCCTGATATTCAACAGACTCAAATCAGCCAGACCGAGTTCGGGTTTCCATTGGGAGATGACTAATGCATGTCCTGGAGCTTCAATTTCTGGAATTATGGTAACTCCACGGGCTGCACATGAAGCTTGCATATTGTCGAATGTCTCGCGAGTGTAACTCTCGTTGAACCTATAGGGCTTGACTAAACCTGAAACCGCTGGGTCATCGGAGTTGAGTCTGAATGCGGCATATAGCTCAAGGGAGCGCTGGCGGGTGTAAATGTCGACATTATTGAAGAGGTTGTCGCTGAGATGCAGGTGGAAGGTGTTCTGCTTGAAGAAAGAAAGGTATGAGCAGATTTCGATGATGAACTCCGGCGGGTAGAAATGTCTTCCTCCGTCAAGCTGGAGAAAGAATAAGCAGGACCAGCAAGGAAGGTCGAGACTGACCATAACACCACGAGTAGCCCAACCAGGCGAATCGCTACCAGAGCCAATTAACAAAGCATTTCCTCCTAGCTTTGCCTGCTGAAGTAAGGTCCTTGTTCCCCAGAAAGCGCCGAGCGGGCTAGCACCGGCGATAACGACATCTTTGGTCCCAACCGTCAATGTGTATCCCTCCGATGTATTTCGACCAGCGGCGTCGAGAAACGCCCTATCCGTTGACAGTGTGAGGAAAATGGAGCCAGGCTGCGCCCTGTCTGCAACTTGGACCGGGATGTCTGTGAATCCAAGTACTTTGAGATCGGCCGCAAATGTTTGGCCAAATTGCAGGAGTGTCGGTGGGATGAGCGTCTCTCCGGCTAAGTCCACAGAGCGTTGGAACCGTGAGTCAACAAGGACGTGGGTAAGCGAAGAAAGATAAAGTTTGTTGGTGGATGTGATGTTAAAGTCGAATGTCGGTATTCCTGTAAGTGTTTCCGCCGCTGCGCCAATGACGCAGGCGGCAACGACTGCAACTTGGAAGAAGGAAAGCATGAGGAGCGATATGCGGGGCCCCTCGTGAGCAGATATGGCCCGCGGCCCGGACTTGAGAAGAAGAACGCATGCGAAAAGTCGTGAGTGGAAGCAACCTCCAATTGGCTGACATAATCGCAGGCCGTGTCCGAGTCGGCCCTAAAACCACCATGGTGGATCTTGGGTGGATCATTCATTTCTCATCTTTTCTCAAGCTTCCGAACGACCACGAAAGCACGCTGACGCTGCTACTCTGCACCATTGAATCTCCAGCGGAAGCCACCCGAAGTGCTGCTTGCAGATACCTTTAAATATCGACGATATGGACAACCCATCCGCCATTCCCAAGCTAACGCAATGTCTGTTCCCACTCAAACAGCCGTCGTCATCGAGACTCCCAAAGCACCGTTCATCGTGAAGAGCGGCATCGCCATCCCCAAGCCCGCGGCCGGCCAGGTTCTGCTCAAAGTCATGGCGGTTGGACTTAATCCAATGGACCCCATGCGTCGCTCAATGAATATGCTCATCGACTCCTATCCTGCCATACTCGGCAGCGATATTGCGGGCGTCATTGAAGAGGTTGGCCAAGGTGTGCAAGGCTGGAAGAAGGGCGACGAAGTGTACCGTCTTTCTTCTCGAGCTTCTATTTGTAGGCTCAAATTCATTGCAGATTTTGCTCCGACACAGCTGGTGGCTACCAGCAATACCATGTCATCAACGAGCCCTTCCTAATTCGAGTTCGTATCCTGTAGGTCCTGTCGACGATCTCTCATCATATTCTTCTAGAAACCTGCAAATGTCAGTTTCGACCAGCTCGCCACAGTGCTCATCACTGGCTGCACGTCTCTCAACGGCCTGTATGCGCCATCACCTATCGGGTTGGGCCTCAACCCGACATTCTCTTCCGACAAACCCCAGAGCGGCAAGTCCGCGTTTGTTCTCGGTGCCGCTACCTCTTGCGGACAGTACGGTGGGTTTCAATATCTCGTCAGCACTCACTTCTCAAATCAATGCAGCCATCCAATACCTCAAACTCGCCGGTTTTACGCGTATCGTCGCATATGCCTCAGGCAAACACACCGAATACTTGGCATCTCTCGGTGCCACCGCCATCATTGCCCGCGAATCCACGACAATGGTTGACCTCGTCTCTCATCCGGCAATCTCTGCTGCACCATTCGACGTTGTTTTCGACGCCCTTCTCGCTATGGCTTCCGATGCTGCATCCGCTCTCGATATTGCCCACGACATCGTCAAGCCCAACGGTCAACTCGCCACCGTAAACCCGCGCTCGGTCCTGTCTCCGGACCGCCTCGCCCAAAACAAGGGCGTGGAACTCGTGCGGGCATTCGGATACTACGTCGGGCCAGATGGCGGGAAGCCGCCCTCGGATCTTGGGTTCGGCGCGAAGCCAGAGCATACTGCATTCGGCAAGCTCATCAAGGAGCATTTGCCAAGATTGTTGGAGACAGGGCAGTTGCTCCCAAATAGGGTCGAAGTGCTGCCGAATGGACTGGCGGGCATCGTGAAGGGCTTGGGCCGTTGGACTGGCGGGGAAGGTGTCAGTGGAGTGAAGCTGGTTGGTCATCCTCAGGAAATGTAATGTGCTTTTGAGCATCTCTCATACTAGTATCAATCTGTCCTCAAGTCGTAGTCTAGATGCCCTAAAGAACTTGATGTGAGACAACTTGGGGAAGCAACGTTGAATGCATTAAAAGGTTGTAGTAAAGGACAGACAAGAAAGTTAAAGAGAGTAGAGAAAGGAGCGGAGAAAGTTGAACAGAGTGGATGAAAGACAGGCATAATGGTTAAGGAAAGTTCAGAAATTTCTTTTGCTCGCTGCCGTGTCAAGGTTTTAGTCTATGGAACGAAGACCACACAGGTGCTTATGACGACGTTGGCATGGCCAAGAAGCTGAAGAATATATTTAGTATATATTTGAGTTTTTGAAAGAGATACTGACTGAGTGTTGATCAACGGCGACCTGAACTCACCGGGGGAGGCCCGGGAATACTAGGGTGGGCCCGGGGGTGGCGGTGGTGGAGGTGGTAGCGGGGGGCCGGGAATATTGGGTGGCGGAGGCCCAGGAATATTGGGTGGTGGGGGCGGAGGCCCAGGAACATTGGGCGGCGGGGGGGCGGGAACATTGGGCGGCGGGAGCGGCGGCCCGGGAATGTTGGGGGGCGGGGGGCCAGGAACATTGGGCGGCGGGGGGCCGGGAACATTGGGTGGCGGAGGCCCAGGAACATTGGGTGGCGGAAGCGGCGGCCCGGGAATGTTGGGTAGATTAGGCGCGCCATCGCCCTTCGCAAAGCCCGGCTACAAAGAAAAATTAGCTCAGAATGGTCGGGAAAAGCACCAAATATCACCGGAAGTACTGCCGCATGGCCCGTTGCAATGAGCACCGCAGCAAAGACAAAGGTCTGGGTGAATTTCATAATACTGGTGGTTCTGAAGCGTTGAAAGCGAGTAAAAACTGTAGGAAATAGGTCGATGGAGTTCAGAGGGCGTCCTGAGGCTTTTTATACGCCCCCGTGGATATCTAATGCGCAGCACGGTGTGCCAAAACGTCGTCGCTTGCTGGTTGGGAGATCATAGTGTGGGATCATGCTACCCTCGTGTGCGATTCGTTCGCCCAATTGGCTGACAGTGTCCGTCGAGTCCAGAATTTTGAATCTGCAGTCTGAGTAACTGAGACTTTGACATATTTGAGGGGGCATTAATATTCTTCGTTGTCTGGCCGCGGTTGATTAAGCACAATATTCAGCATACAGTGTTTGGTCAACTTGCGACCTAGAGAGATTTGGCATCCGTGACTTCGCCGCGGCTGACGGGCTGTCCTTTGTCCTTTGGCTTCTCGAATCCCGCAGCACATAGACCGTGGTCCGTGTGTCTTCGATTCAGTTTTCCGCAGCACCTATGTCAAAATCAGCCCTAAGGCGGCGCGCAACGCCCATATAATAGACATGTGAAGTTGTAAAAAGCACATTGGCGCGTCGTTTAAGTATTGTGCATGTGTGGCTTTCGTTGATGTGATTGTGCGTTTGGAATCTCATCAGAAAGCAGGAAGCCAAGCAACAGAAGCGAGCGAGCTGGACCATACTGTACGGCGGAGATTTTACGAGTTCATCTTGAACTAAAACTCGAATTGAAAGAGTTTGTTTGTCTGCAAACTACACTTTGAATGGATCAGAAAACTTGAAGCAGGTTGACCACGACGAACACCGCTCATTGCAAGAACAGCATAAATTCCAGCAAACTTACGGATGATGCGACGGACATCCTCTGGGAGATTTGCAGCTCCATGGCCCATCCAGCTTTTAAAAAATGCCGATTTTATCGATAGTGTCGTTTCGTTGACAAGTTCAAAGAAATTTGAATGGGCTGATTGAGCACTTTCACGCCGGCTGTACCGCGTTTATGACGAGACAGAAATGATGAGCACTGGCTTCCTGGGCGCCAGTGGCAGCAAAAGTTCAGGACGAACGAGCTTCCGCATCAACAGCGTTTGGTCACAAAGTCACGCTGTGGGCGTGATTTGGAAAACCTCTGTGTCGACTCTTATTATCAATACTGAGCGACACTGGTTATATTATGAAATTGTAGTAAAGGACAAGAAGTAAATAAGTAACTTCAAGTTGAAAAAGAAAGTTAAAGAAAGACAAGCATCAAATTTTCTTGGGGTATCGCTGCCTGGTTAGGCCACCGGGGTGGGCGATGGGACGAAGACTAGGCAGGTGCTGAATACGACGTTGGTAGGTGCAGGGAACTGAAGGAGGGAGACACTATTAGTTATATTCGAGCCTTTTGAAGATTATGATACTAACTGCAGATGACACAGGTGGGGTGTTGATCGGCGTGGAATCACTCAATGGCGGTCCGTTGGCACGTGGATCCAGCAGCGGCGTATTTTCGCTCAACAGAGGGGTCGTGGCACTGACCGGTGGTGTGTTGACGGGAGGAGTAGTAGCGCTAACGGGCGGGGGTGTTGACCAGGGGAGTAACAGCGCTGACTGGCGATGTATTGGCTGGGGGAGTCGTAGCGCTCACGGGCGGATTGTTGATTGGAGTAGTAGCGCTGACTGGTGGTGTATTGACTGGGGTAGTAGCGCTCACGGGCGGATTGTTGATTGGAGGAGTAGTAGCGCTAACCGGGGTGTTGAACGGGGGAGTAGTAGCGCTGACTGGCGGTGCATTGAGTGGAGGGGTCGTAGCACTAACCGGGGTGTTGAACGGGGGGGTAGTAGCGCTGACCGGTGTGTTAATCGGAGGTGTTGTGGCGCTGACCGGAGGGGCGTTGAACGGGGGAGTAGTAGCGCTGACTGGTGGATTAGGCGCGATCTCGCGCTTGCCAATGGACGGCTGTGAAATATCATTATCCCCTGAACCCGACGTCCCAGTGAAATATGCTTACCGTAGCCACGGCCGGTGCCGCGAAAGTGAACTCGACGCAGGTCGTGTACACGCCCTCGAGAACGTAGGATCCTCCTCCTCCCTGGACGGGGGAAGAGCTCGGGGGCGGAGGGACCGCGACGACCTACAGAACGATGTCAGTCAACTGTGATGGAATATTGTCCACATTAGGCCCACAACGCTGCTCACGGGAGGCGGCTGGAGAGTGATTAGCTCAGAACCGTCTGGAAAGGCACCAGATATCACCGAAATCACTGCCGCATGGACAGTCGCGATGAAAACCGCGGTGAAGACAAAGTTCTGGGTGAATTTCATGTTGCTGGTGAATTTGAAGCGTTTAAACTGGGTAGGAATTGGGTCGCTGGAGTTCAAAGGGCATCTTCAGGCCTTTTATACGCCCCATGAATATCTAATGCGCAGCACAGTATGCCATAAGGTCGTCGGTGGGGAGTTAAGAGATCGTAGCGCGGGATCATATGCGATTCGTTTGCTCAGTTGTCTGTCAATCGAGTCCACAACATTGAATCTGTAGTGTTTGAGGTGTTTAAATTCTTGTTGGCTTGCAGATTTGACGCGTTTGCTTCGGATATACGAAGGGAAACAAAATTCAGCCTGATGGTGGTGCTTCGTTTGCGTTTTCGTTAAACGTGGAGCTAGAGAGATTTGGCAACTGACTCCGCGGCGGAAAATGTTGTCCTTTGTCCAACAGTACTCTGATGTCGAGAATCCCGCACGGGTCTTCGATTCCGTTGTCCGCAGCAACCTATACGTCAAACTCATCCCAAGGCGGCGCGCAAAACTAATGCCAAACGCTGTATGTGAACGGCGCACTGGCGCTTCCTTTTCCCTTGTGTGGCTTTCCGAGGTCAAGTAAACAGGCTGAGATTGTAATCTCGTCGGAACGCAGATCGACAAGAAACCGAAACAAGTGAGCGGTCGGACAACAACATGAAGAGGGCTTCTGTCAGAGCAATTCCCGAATGGACCTGCGGGATAGTTGTTTGGTGGTGAAGGTGAGTTACCCACCCAACTAGAAACCTTCTCTCAATGGATAGAATTGAATGTCACTCGACTGCCGATTCCGCCTACTGGAAATATGCCACATGCGCAACCTGTTGGTGGACATATGCGACGGCACCACCGTAAACGGATACATGTCCGAGCCAAACGGCGCGAGGAACACACAATGACGCGACAGATTCGGTCACTGATGGCGCAAAAACGAGAGCCGTGTCGTTTGCCGTGTTATCGTGGATCCATCGTAGCTCGTGTCCACTATACGTTGCGCCGCTGCCGGATGAGTCAATGTTGGCAAGTCTCTGACGAAGAGTAGCATCGCCGCGTGGTGAAACAAATAGATGGTAGCTGAGAACACGACGGCCGCTGGGGCTGGTCCAATCAACCCAAATGCGAAATGTGTGGTCATCCAACGGACTGCGGTAAGCGTAGAGACTATATCTCCGGTAGGGCATCCAGTTCGGCAATGGCAAGTTGTTCAGTGTGAGGTTGACCACGGCCACAACAGGAAGTTCGCTGATCTCCACAGAGTCCGAAGGATGGCCGTCCTTATCAGTCCAATGACTTGTTGATTTGATGTCAGAAAGAGCAAGGATGCGGAGTTCATGATGGCTGTCAGTGAGTGCGATGAGATGGGTGGAGGTGAGAGTGACCAAGAAGCTCTCGTCTGTCTAGCAGAATGTCAGTCTAAGTACCCGTAGCATTTATCGAGAACTTACCGAGGCGATGATAAGGCACTGTTTCGTGGCGGCTTCTAGATCAAAGACTATCTGGATTCGAGGGGAAGCCTGAGGAGGATCCGACGGGGGGCCCCATCGACGAAGACTGGCATGTGCAAATGCGCCGCATATCCCGACATCATCCGTAAGACTGCATTCCCATTCATTGTTCCAATAGGTCCACCATAGAAAGGTGCTCGAGCTACCGGCATCTTGTAGTTTCAGGTGCAACATTTCGACACGACTGTCCAGTATAATCACATCAAAACATTTCGGTCGCAGGTGGTTCTCATACCTCGAAACCAAATCGTCTTGGTACTGATGCAGATGAACAACCACATTGGCCTCTGTGCCATCTACCAATATGTCCACCGCAAAGCCCCCAACAAACCATTCCCGAGGCTCAAAGACCCACATACGCCGGTTCTGGACAACATTCCAGCACTCGATCCTCGAGTCGTAATGTAAGAAAACGTATTCGCCGCCCGGGAGAAGTCGCGCAGAGAATACTTGGTTATCCATCTTGGGATGGATAGCATACTCTTCGAAAGGAGCAACTTTGGGTCTGGTCTCCGAGTGATGTTCAAGTTTCCGCCAGCTTTTGGGCCCCAAAGTCAATCGCTGCACCAGCTGCACCAGCTCCGGTTGGGTTTTCTGCGATATCGAGTGAGATGAATGGCCGTCGAGCATGCCCATACGGCGGAGATTCTTCACAAGGTCGACCCATACGAGTCTACCTTGAGCCAAGACTCGAAAGAGTGTGTTTGTCTGAAAACTATACTTTAAATGAATCAGAAAAAGCAGGTTGACCACGACGAACACAGCTCATTGCAAGAACAGCATAAATTCCAGCGAAGTTAAGGATGATACGAAGGACATCCTCTGGGAGATTTTGCAGTTCCATGCTCCGTCAAGCTTTCAATGAATGCCGACTTTGACCGTTATTAGTGTCCTTTCGTTGGGATGATTCAGTACTCCCGCGTCGGTTCCACCGAGACAGAACGCTGAGCACCGGCTTCCTGTGTGGCAGCGAAAGTCAACAACTGATACTTACATAATAGGGTGCCCCTATGTAACCATATATAAAAATTAGGTGGTATATCTGAGCACGATGTACCGACGACGAGCGCCCAATCTTAAAAAAAGTCTTTAAATTAACTGCCCAAACACACCAGCAACGATGAGCACGGCCAGCATGGTCCGGATACCCTCAACGCTGCGGCCAACAACGCCCGGCGCAGCAGCATTGATGTTGGTTGTCAGGTTAGTGAGGGCAACTGAGGGCGTGTTCGTTGACGAGTTGGCGCCGTATTTGTAGCCCGTAATGTCGGCACTGGGTTTGACGGGATCAGCGCAAGTAATGTTGACGGATTTGAGGAGCGCATAGAAGTGGCCGGCAGAGCGATAGTCTGGGTCGTCGTAGTTGATCAGACCACCAGCCCCTGTTGGATTCAAAGGTTCAAAGCTTTGGACACTGGACCAGCTGTGAACTCACATTGTACAGTGCCAGCAGCACTCGAGGCAACACCAGCAGGCCACAAGCTATAAAATGTGTTTGGTGACAGGAGCAAGCTTCAGGCGAATAAACTTACCTGAACTGGATGCGCGAAGGGGTTGTAGGGTATTGCGATACACCGTCGGTCAAGACATCGCTCTTCTTCAAGGTGCGGACAACCTTGCCATCGATCAGCCACCGGAGTTGCTCAGGCTGCCAGTCAATCTATAGCAGACTCAACGATAGTCCCAAGTTGAAAAAGAAATGCGCACAGTGTAGTCGTGGTAGTCACCAAAGGTATCGCCATTAACCTGCGAAACGGCACCATGATTGGGTTGGGTAACCACTCCTTGCCAGAAGTAGTTGCTTTGGCCTTCCGTTGTGGAGTTACCAGGGAATTCCCAGTCCTATTGGATGTTAAACTGATTGCATGGCTTGGAAAGTGAGCTCACAATCTCGTCCTTGACATCGCTCATCGTAATGAAGGCCGTGACGACACCGCCCCAGCGACCCGTCTTCACTGCAAGTATAATCAACCCTTGAAACCATGGCTTTGTTACACATACTCCGTGCGGTAACGATGCCGTAGTGAAGATAACGCGTTGTGGAGAGACGGGTGCCGCCGTTCTCCTTAGTGAGTAACATCGCCAGCTCGCCACCATTCGCGCCGGTGTTCATGATGTTGCCGTTATTAACGACAAAGTCTATGCAGATGAAAACATAAACAGAGGGAACGAGTCAAGAGTTCTGGCGTACCATACAGGGTGGCGTTTCCATCCCAGTGTGAACTGTTACTTTGGACACGGTCATTGTTCGCGAAAGAGTGCTAGAAATAAGTCGGGTTTGGGACTTGTTTGTAGGGAAGAAAGAGAAAGACGGACGAAAGAGCTCTTGCAAATCGGGTTGGGCAAGCAGGAGTCGAGCTTGCTGGAATATAGCGGGTTGCAGCCTCCAAGACACTACGCGAGTTGAAAGAATTTTGCAGTCGATCGAGGAGGGGAACATACAAAAGCCTCGGTTGTGCCACAGAACCCGAATTCGCTGCAACAAGGTGCGGTTTCAGGGCATTTGGTGGTGACATTGCTGTTGGCGAGAAGAAAAGTAGGGGTCAGTTGCTGCCCACGGTCAAAGGAGGAATAACGACGGACCATGTTGCGCCTTGAGCCTTGACGAGAGGGATCGTAAGGGAAATAAGGGGGAGCAGGACCGCCAGGGAGTGCATGAGTGTTCGTTCAATGAGGGTGGTACGCGGAGAGCGTCGTGGGGGATGGCAAGGGAAGTGATCAAAAGCACGTGGTAACGACTTGGTCGTCAATTGCCAAGCGACTTTGGCTCTTGGTTTGGACTCCGATGGAGAGTCCTGGAGTTTGTACACTCGCGGCTCATCGTAATAGAGAGGAACATCATAATGGGTTGAGGGATTCAACCGAACGCTTCGGGTCCGAGAAAGGAAAATTCGGAGGACGACAAAACATCGGAAGACCGCTCCATCATTGACAACTAGGCAGACACAGAAACCAAGGTCGCCTTTAAGCACGATCAAAGCAAATGCAGCTAAGCACCTCTTAGTAGGTAACGGTAGGACGTTTCAATTCATCTCTTCTACTTGAAGTTTACATGTACATACCATTCCTTAAAAAAGACTCAAGTCAGGTTGACAGCTCGCAGTTTAGGACAACAACAACATACGCGAAGCTTTTTGAAAAGAGTAAGGACATTTCGGTATCGCCGGGAGTTTTCTCTAGCGAGAAAGTCAGGCTTGTGCAGTGAAACTAGTTGCTATAGCTTACAGATGCTGTCGAGTAGCAAAGGGGGGGGGGGGTCGCCGTGATTTATGAGCCATGAGCATCGTAATGTGTTCTTTGAAGTCTTCAAGTCCGACAGGTCAATAGGACTGGTGCTTGAAGTTGAAGCCTGAGAAGCTAATTGGCTGCAGCAGAATCTAATGGGGGCAGTAGTATCAGTGACGAATGGTATCTCGCAATTTGTGACCCACAAGAATTAACTTGATCCATTAAAGTATTCCGGGATAGCGATGTGCGAAGAGAAAGCTTGCTGAGGGTGGCAGAGGTCCAGTTTTTGAGGTCGAGAGAAAGCAAAGGCAGCAATCGATTCCGAGACAAGCAACAATTCCAATCCAGGCGAGCAGTCGGGAAGCAGGTAAGCACGAGAAGCAAACGGATTCGAAAAGTAGGTGTAGAATGCATCATATCAGTCAAACACAATAACCCAAGTCGCGTGAGGGAGCGCGGGCATAGAGGGACGTCGGGAGCCAGCTATGCAGAACGTTAGGATTCGTGGAGGCCGAAAAAAAAAACTGATATGACTCACGAATGCGCGAACTCGCCGTATCTGGGGAAGGTGTCGTAACGGGCAAACGAGGGTAACGAGCGGACTGAGAGATGCGTGGGGCGATTCCATTGATATTTGCTGTCTTGAGGAACGAAGTTGCGCAGATTTCGGCCATCAAACACAGTTTTCATCAATGGTGGTCCACAATGGATGGAGGAGAACGCAGGTTCGAAACGAGAGTAATCCATTTCTTGAGGGAAGGGCGAGGCGGGAACCGAGAGCACTTCGGGATCGGCCAGAAAGGTAACGCGGATGGTACAATCAGCGTAAGACTCGCCATTGAGAGCACGAAGAGCATCTTGAGCAGCGGATAGAGTTGCATAATGAACGACTGCAGTGCTTGTTGCGATAGGAGTGGGAGCAAGAGAGAAGGCTGGGAGCGGTGTTTTGACCAAGTGCAATTTCTTGACACTTCCGAAAGGACAAACCAACCCACGTAAATCTTCGTCGTCGTCGAATAACAAAGACGGAAGATTGGCCAGTAGAATCATGGGAGTTGGGGTGGTGCTTAAAGGAGGGAGGGAATGGGCATCAGGGGATAACATTGGTTGAGAAAGGTGCGAGGGAGGACTAAGCGTCGATGGGGGGGACGACACAACACCAGCGCGATCACCACCGTCAAGGAATCCTAAGATGAGATTTGTTAGAAAAGTATGGTAATTCACAATGACGAACAACCTTTAGAACGCTGGACAACAGCCCACGAAACATCCAGTCCACCGCTCGCTTTGCTGTTGCGACCAAGAGCAGTCATGACCCGGCGAGCTTCCTCATGGGTTGACATTACGACGAAGCCGCGTCGGCGAGACGCGCCATCGAGGGTTGCAAGAATGACACAATGAGATACAGTGCCATGGGAGGAAAAAAGAGCGGTGAGCGACTGACTGTAGAAAAGATTACTTTCATAAAAGACGGGAGAAACGATACGCATACTTTGTCATGCCAAAAGGGATTCCAAGAACATAAAGATTGCGACGCGTGTCGTTTCTCTTAACTTGGCCACCTTGAGACAAAGCTGGAGAAGCAGAACGGACAATGGGAGTAACAAGGCTGAATATACTTGGATGAGTGCGCGAAGAGATGGGAAAAAGTATGATCGTACAGCGTCGACCCAGCAATACTGTACCCAGACATGCACAAGGCTTTTCTGATCTTGTCTCAACTCAGAGCAGTATCTAAAAAGAGCACACACACCGCGCATTCTCGCCAGTGAAAAACGTAATCTCTAGGGCATCGTCGAGGTCCTGAGATGAGCGAATGTCACCTATCAAGGTCCTGAAGAGAGCGAGGATCTCTAGACGATTGGCTGAAATTTTGTGGATATAGAGCGCGTGAATCAGAAAGGTGCTCGTACCACTGTCAGGTACATTCTCGACGCGTACCGCATTCGTCTCGCGACTGAATTTGAAAACGGGGCCAGAAAGAGACGGGCTGTTGGTCATCGTATCGTGATATTCAAGAAGAGGGATGGTGGTAGTCAAGAAGCAAGAAAGGAGTCGGTGGATAACGTCACGTGCTAATATCTTGGTCGTCGCCTGAAAACACTACATTAAACAATACAGTGAAAGGTAAGCTAGTTTACATCCAGTTGTAGATTAGTCGTCAAAAGAAAGGCTAAAGTTCATGCTTTGGTCTGGGTCCACGACAACCATATCGTCTCCAGCGCTCCAGAATGCCTCCTCGAATTCTTCCATGATCTCTTGTGTTTCTCGTGCCAGACATTCCATCGCTTGAGCAGCGGTCCAAGTGGGCATGCTATCTTCTACAAGCATTTGAGCCGCCGGCAAAAGGTCGTTGTCGTACCCGAGTGTCTTTTGCACAAGTCTTATACGTCGATAGGTTGCATGAACCAAGACCAGTGACCGTACTCTGGTAGACTTGACCATCGCGCGAATACGGCCACCGCTGCTGGAGGGAGCAAATAACCCAGATGATGTCGTTGGGCCCAGATGAACGATTGGGCCAGCACCCTGGATGTCACGAGGCGACGAGGGCTGATAAAAACCAGCTTGGCGACTAAAACTGGTATCGAGAGAAAGCATGGAAGGATGCGGTATATTGACAAAACTTTGGGTGGGACTCAGGCCGGGAGAGGCTTCAGGAGATGGCATCATACTCCTTCTTCGTGGTTTGGAAAAGGCGGTAGATACGGGTCGAGACGGCGATGGGCTCGTTGTTGTGTTGTACTGATGGATTTCTTGGGACAACGAGGAAACCTTTTCCTGGGCAAATAACCGCATATGAAGAAGGAGTGGGGTCCGGAATGCGACCAGCATCTCAAGAAATGACCATAATACATAATCAACAATTCTTGGGCTGGGCAAGGGTCGGCTAGAGTTGAAATTTGACTTGTGAAAAGGCTGACCGAGGTCGAATTGTGAGCTGCTCCGGGGAGAACTAATGGGAGATGCATTTGGCGAATATTCGCGAGTCGGACGCAGTGCAAATGTACCACTGCCTTCTGCGAGGACCATCTTGAGAAACAGAGCAACACGAGTCCATATTCCGGGAAAAGACATGTCGAGATCCTCGCGGGCTCGAACAATAACGACCTTGATGACTTGTAAGCCTACAACGAATATGGTCATTGGAGACTTGTTCCCAGAGGAAAGACGCCGATCGGGTGATTTCGACCTTGTTCGCGGGTTAGCCTCCATCGGCTGTTGGCAAGCAGTCATTGTGTAGCCAAGTAATCGAATCCAGGTGTTACGGTGCGCCTCCAAATGCCACGGTTCAGTCCTGACTGCACTTGCCATAACCTGCTCCCCGGTTTTCATGTGCAGACAGATGGGGAGGATGATTCCGCTCATGAACTCGTACGATGGCCTCCGACGAATGACTTCCGCAATAACATCAGCTCCGTTCAAGGTTATTGCCTGGCATATCAGGAGAACGAGAGGGTAACGTGAAGGGAGTGAGAGGAGTTGCTTCTCAGCAGCAGCCTGTTCGCAAGCGTTCAGTGCAAACGAGCAAATTTGATTGACGAGGACATTTGAAAACGTCGGTTCGTTTGCATAGGTTGGATCGCCACATAGCTGGGTTAGAGTCGAAAAGACTCCAGAAAAGTCGAGCGACAGCGCGAAGGAGCTGAGCAATGAGGAAAGATCGCCAAGAAATGCAACGACAGATTTAACTGTCCGAGCGTTGGCACTCTCTCTGATAAGACAGTTCTTGGTATACTCCGCTAGAAAGGACGAGATGGGTTCGCGAACTTCGTTGTCGTGGTCACGAAACATGTGTTTGATTAGGTCCAAGGCTCGATGGGAAGCAGGAGGGGAGATAAGCCCGCCTGCTTTGGTGAAATTGAGGATGAGCGACAAGTAGTCAAGTCTCATGGCAAGGATGTCACTGGAAAGCTTAGTCTTGCTCGGTTGGGTCGCCTCCGGTACGCCGGAAATCATAGAGTCCATCGAAGGTTCTTCAGGAACACGAAGAGATGGGTCGTTGCCTTTGGACTTGACGAATGGTCTCATGGTTATGACTCCTAGTGCCTCAATCCCTTCTTTCAAAAGAGTACGCGCTGATGAAGAAGCATTGTAAAGATAGGGGGTTAAATGGCGAAGGAAACGCAGAAACTGTTCCGCTCGCAAGACTGCGGGATCGTGTGCGATGACCGTGAAGAAGAGGCGAACGATATTGTCGATTCCAAGGCGTTTGGACTCGTATTCTTCCGGTATGTTGACGAGCACCTTCGTCCGTTCATCTCCATTTTTTTGCATCGATGCCAAAAATGTTTGTGGCTTTTCGTCGGCGGTACTGAACAGTAACGCTTCCCGCTCCTGTATCTTGTTTACTCCCCTGATAGCGGCATGATCGGGCGCATTCAGAGGAATTGGTCGAGTAAGCGTAGCCAGAAGAGTATAAATATTTTTCGCCACCCAATCTCCCTTTAGGTTTGGGAGAGCCATCACAGCTGCCATTGAATCGATGCTTTGGAAAATGAACGCCTCTCGATGAAGGGCGTAAAATCGGTTGAAGGCATATTCGATAGCAAGTCGTATACCAGCATGCCCTTCGGCTTCCGTGTAGACCTTGATTCTGGAAGAGCATGATAAGATAGCAAAAACGCCAAAGTATTATTTACTCACAGAACTGGCACAAACAGAGTATAACCCCCTCCGGAAGTAAATAAACGTCTGAAGCGTGTACTAGCCACCATCAAAGCTATCGCCACATATGAGAAGACTGCCAAAAATATAGAGACAAGCTACCTATTAAAGAATGGGCAACGATGCCAATATCGGACCCATGAGCTAGGAGTATGCGACTGACTCCATCGACGAGGACACCCAACTCGCTACGATCACTCAGGTGACGGGACATGGACCTAAAGATTTGGGCAATCAAGAGTAGATAGCTTCGAGAGACTATCATGGACAAGCTTTGAACGCGCAGTTGCAAGTACGACAACACAACTGCTTGCTCGCCAGGGACTGGAACCAAGTCCTTCAATTCGACTGTTGGAGCATCAGGGAGGTGATCGAGCGAAGGAAGAACGAGACGAGTCATGCTCTTCCTGATCATCTGGACATCTTGAGGGTTGCGCTTCAGAATTGACAGGAAAAGCATGTTCTGTGAAAGCCTTATCATCGATACATGCACCAGATGATGGGGAATTTCGTCGCTGAGCGCAACAGCTCCAAGTTGTCGAGGAAACATCGGTCCCGCAGGAGCTGATGAAGGAAACCACAGCGAGCCGGATGGTATAAGGAACGCCTCGATTTTCGCGCGCCGAATCTCCCTCATAGACATTCCGCTCACTTGTGTCACAAGTTTGGCGAGAATCGGCATCACAAGGGCGAAATCATACAACAAATCATCTCCGCCTCCGATTACTTTGAGATGCCCTTTGAGAAAGCCAGCGATACTGTTGAGTAGATTGTGCGTTAAGGGCGGAGGAAGTGTCCTTCGTATGTGTAAGAAGGCTCTCAAGCTGGAGATCGCCGTCGTCATGTCTTTCTGGGCTCCAGCAAACAATTCGAAAACAGGCCGCGTAAGGAGCGCAGGATCATTTCGCATCAAGTCAATAACCGTCCCTCGCGCCGTTGCTGCAATCAGGAAATTTGGGTCAAAAACCTTGTTCGCCAAAGTTGGGAATATAGCAGCAAGGGAAGGGACAAAGATAGCACGCCGCTTGCCCCCGTAAATCGGACCACCAGAACTCGAGTTCCTTCGAAGAAGGGCAACTTCTTCCGCGAATTTGTCGGCTGAGGGTGAAGGCGATGCTCGAGGACTTGGAGCTGGACTGGGTGTTGAGCCACCGGACCCCGCGATAGGCGCATTCTGATCCGCCCCAGGAAGTTCTAATCGATCCAAATAGAGTGCAGGAAGATTTGATATTGGTGTTTTGACCCACTCCAAGTGCTGATCGACTTCCTCGTCATCGTCGGCCCAGCCAATTTCTACCAGTCGTTTCCGCAACTCAGGTGGAATCGCATCTTTGTCGTTGCTAGTATCTTGTTCGCGTATAAATTGTCCTGTGCCCATATCCGTGGCAACGAAAGCAAGCGGCCCTCGAGTAAATTTGAAAGCGCGGTGGTTCCGGTCTATCAACACCTGTTGGGACATGATTTGGAAGCGCCAATTCACAAGCGTGTTAATCTTTCGGACTGCTTCCAGTCGAGTGGTGTCGTCCGAACTGAGAAGAGATCGTAACAGCACATATACCAAACGGGAACACATACCTGCGAAAATCCACTTCCAGTTGTACCATCATTTCGTGAGGAGTCCGTTCGGCACATTGCATGACGATAAAGCACGCCTTTAACCAGAAACAGATCAGTTTCGAGATGTGGTCGCAAGCTTGAGGAACTTGCCGATCCGACAACACTGATCTCACCACTTCGCAAATGATGCTCCCAAATCAACGGACCCAGCGATAATAAATCGTCCACTGTCAAAATAGTCGCCATTGTGACAAAAAGTTTGAGTGCTTTATGCGGGAATCCCTTGTTGAGACCAGACACAAGAGCTGCTCGCTCTAGAATTGCGCTCGGTAGCCCAATCTTGCTGTCTGTCATCGCGGGGTTTGTGTTGAATGTCCCGTCGTATGAAGCGGACATGACAATGGTCGCTCGATTCTGACACGCGTAAGGTTTGGAAAACAACTGTGAAATTCGACGCACTCTACCTCTCGGAGTAGCAGCAATATTCCTCGCCGTTGTATACGTTTGCTGGATGTCATTGGTCGCAGTGATAAATTCCAAGTCGGAGTCGTCATTGAGATGGCTTTCTTGGTGGAAATCAGTGAACCATGAGACCAGTCGGGGTAGCCAAGATGCTCTAGTTGGCATCAGTTCCAAACGCGATCAGCAAGTCCACCACATACGTTTTTAGCGACTTGGTCAATAGTCTGAGTTCCCTGAATAGCATCATGAACAACATTCGCTGTGAAAGTGTAATGAGGCTCGCTCGCTCCTGCCAACAGTTTAGTGATGATGCAACTGCTATTTATCATATCAAGCTCGTACTTTGACCTCCAGCAATATCCCGACACGGGTCTCTAACGCTAGAGCAAAGCGGATGATATCAAGTTGTTGGGACTGGTAAAGAATTAGATCATGACACATCCACAAAGAGAACTGACCAAGGAAGCTGCTCGTCGAACAGCTTGTATTCGGCCTATCACTTCCACCAGCAATACTGATTGTCCCAGACGGGCTGTTCCCCAAGCAATCTTGCCTGTGTCCCCACTTGGATTTTTGGTCTTGCTGCCTCCGCCGCCAACCAGCGCGACACCTATCATTTCGGCATCCTTTGTCCAATAGTCTGGCACAAATCGAGCGAGAGCACAGATTCCAACGAGATGCTCTGCGACGGAAATTTCGCTTGTCGCCGCCGCGCAAAGGAAAAGTGGTCTATAGAAGATAGGAGGGTAGAGTTCAGCGAGTTTCGTTAGAAGCGCAGTAAGTGGTAAGGAAGGATGTGGGGGCGGGTCATATGTCAGACGCTAGTAACTATGAGCAACGGAAACATATAAGTCATTAATGAGATATACCTGAGTCAGAGTTGGTAGAAGAACAACAATTAGAGGCTTGCGGACATCTTCCGGGAGACCATCGAGGAGGGCAGAGAGCACACTGAGGATTACCGGCCACTGGCCTTCTGAAATCTAGAATGTTTATTCAGAATACTAACCACTCATGATTTGGAAATATACCACTCGTTGAACGGCTTCATCGATACTAGTTTTCCAATTTGTGCGTTTGCCGTCAGTGTCGCGGTACCATTCAGACAAAACAGTCATTGCCCACAACCCGAGTTCCCTAGCACCGGCTCCAGGATGAAGCAGTTCCAAACCAATAGCAACGACATTTCTGCGAGTTTCGTCGACGGCGGAGATATTGTCACCCGGTAGCAAACGGGAGGTCGGCACCGTGCTATCCGTTGTACCTGTCCTTTTCGCAACAGTGACACTGTCGCTTGGAATAGCAGCAAGCTCTGGAACCACGCGTGTTTGCACAAAATGAACCACATATTCGGCGATCACAGTGGTAGACCCTTGATATGATGTCGCTGAAGGTCGTGAACGCAACCCACTGAGACCCATTCGAGTGAAAGTCGCGAGTTTGCGAGCTTGAATCGCGCCAAGTAATGGTGTAAACAGAACGTTGTCGGGCTGTCGAGGCCAATACTCGTCGACCACGTGCTTCAGTAACCATCGACGAACACTGTCAGCACTGTTTTCGAGGGTGCGAGCAAGGGCATCGAGAATTAAAGCATGCCGTAGGGACTCTTGTCGCGTTTCGGACGGGGCGCAACGAATGCCAAATTGCTCTTCAACGGTTGAAAGGTCGAGAACGCCGTAATCACCTGCAAAAAGATGAACGACTGCTTCAACGACGATATTATGTTCTTCGCCAGAGCCTTGAACCGTTGGAAGGAGTGTAAACAGTGCAGATCCAAGCGCTTGAACAGAAGCTGTATGGGTCGCCTGGTATGGACATTCGGGATCGCTGAGCACAGCCCGAAGAGTATGCAGGAGTCTGACGCGAACCGTCGAGTGAGGGATCAATGCAGCCTTACAAATCCACTTGCAGCGTTCTATTGCAACGGTCTGGCGGCCAATAAGCAAGATTGAAACGCGTAGGCTGGAATCGAACCTCATTCGGAGGTTTCCACGTTTTGATGATGATGTCAAAGGACTCGAAGGCATATCGCCTTTCCTGTTCAACCCTTGCTGTCGTATCGACGGTCAAGAATGGCGAAAGGAGTGTTGCAAGCACATGCGGTTCGCTTGGGAGAATGGGAACAGACAGAGCCGCATCAGGAGATTGTCGACAGTTATGAAGAAGGGTTTGGTAGAGTGAATTCAGGGATGGAATGGGCTGTTGCCCTCGAGAAGAGAGCGCTAATGATTGGACAGAGGGTGGTCGCCGCATACCCGGACGTTGGGGGGTATCTTGCCCAGGTAAATGCGTTGCTGACATAAATGGGAGATACTGGTCTGCCCGGTTGGTCTTCACGGCCTCAGTGGTTCGCGCAGCGAGACAAGCACGCTGAAGCTCTTGATCCAATCTCCTGGTATCATCTTGTACAAACTCCCGGGCCTGTTCCACTACTTGACGAAAGGCTCGATGTGGACCAAATCTGGAAGGTTTTGGTGGTTGAGATCGAGAGGGGGTAACGAGAGAGGAGGAAGAGGACGAGGCTGAAAGAGGTTGTTGTTCCACGGGAAGAACGTGCTGCCTGATTGTCTGCCAACGTATCAGGGAGGGGGAACGTGGGGCGCCATCTATTCCCTGAGCCAATGACCGGTCCACTGCAAGTGGTTGTGGCCTTCGTTTCGTTTTCTCGGAATTGGGCCCTGGACTATGACTACGACCAAAAAAAGGCGCTCTGGGAGACACAAGTGGTTCCTCATCGACATTCTCGAGCAAAGTTGGCTGCGACGGTATACGGAAGTGGTTCAAGCTTGAGCTGCTCGAGGCCGACGTAAAAGAAGATTCAGATGCAGAGCGTTGGGCTGATGGAGAGGACTTGTGAGAGTCGAAGGAGAAAAGTCGACGGGGCTTTCGAGGCACTGAGCCTTCGGGTTTCTGTGCCATCGCTACGGCAACATGAAGGTGTGAGGTCACGCGTTAGTCACGTTAGTCACGCGCTCCCAACTTGGACCGTCGCGCTCAGCACCATGGAATTGCCTAGTGTACCCCCTGTGGCCTCCACAATTGCCGACCCCAAATGCAGCCGATGTTCTCGTTTGCCTGCTACTCAGGGTCGCAAGACTTGTGAGCCTTGTCGCATAAAACACAACGAAGCCTTTCGCCGATGGAGGAACAAGAAGATTCAACAGAAACAGGACGCTGAGAAAACCGATCCTATTGTTACTGGAAAAAGAAGCTTCGACCAGATGGACCCTCCCTCAGTCACAAGCGAATCGAGCAAGCGTCCTAAACTTCAAGCGTTGAACAACAGCGTAATATCAAACACCGAGGTGGGTGCCACAACTTAAGCTTGTTGACACCGTAGATTAATTCCTCCTAGCCTCCGCAGACCAATCCTCATTTTCAAAAATTTACTTGGGCCTCTGAACTTTACGCTGAGCTTCGAAAACAATATGCAGCCAGGAGCGAGAAGAAGACATTTCGCTTTCGAGGTACCCACAGTATTATCGCGGACCCAACCATCAACAATAAGCGTCGGGCTCGTGCGGCGGAGCGTGATCTCAAAACACATAGTGGGCTCAAGTTCAAGTTGCTGGATAGGGCAAAGCATCGAGAGGACGACGCTTACACAATAACTCACCGCTGCTCCTGTTTACCCACAGGCTGCAGCGGAAGCATTGTCATTCGCGTCTCAGACGATCATTCACATCCGCTGGGCTGGTTAGGACAACGCATCAACATTGCGGTAATCCATCCCAAATCGTGATTTGAAGCATTTTTCTACTTGCATTGTACAGATATACCTCACAACCCTCCAAAGCCTACTGCATGTATCCGCATATCTATAAACTTCTTGAGCAAACTTGCCTTTTGCTGTTCAGCGGCCGAATTCAACTAGTTGGTGTCTATTGCCTGTCCACAGCTCGATGTTCAACTTGTGATTGCTGGACCGTCTTTTATATTAGGCTCTGCCAGTTCTCATCAACAGCTCAGTGGCATGCGTCAAATACCTCCACTGTTTGACGATTAAAACAGCTTACGATGTGCATAAAAAGGCTTGCGTTGGTTTGACCTCCCTACAGCCCAATGGCCGCACCTATTCGACCTACTTACTCCGCCCTGCTACATTCCTTTCAACACGACAATGTAGTTCACCATCCCCTCGGGGCGGGATCTTACATATTCAAGCAAAATCTCATCCAACATCTGAGCCACCATTGCACAAAGGAGTCGGTCACGATCCACATTGGTAGCCAGCCAAATAACTCGCCGCATATGGGGACCATCGTCAACTTCGGCGTAGCATTCTTCATCGCCGCCAAATTGAAGACAGAGTGTGGACGGCCGGTGTCGATCTCCCTTGACCTGGTTGATACCGCCCCGTCCGAACAAGTGATGCTCCACGAAGTAACATATCAACGCAGTCAACGATGTACTCGGGAGATGGACAACTACCTCTCGGACTTCCACGCTATCTTAGAACACCTGGCCATGAGAACAGGAGTTAAATATAGAGTTCGGACTCAGGCACAATTCCTCTCGAGCATCGACCTCTCCGGTATTCTGCGCCATATCCTGGGAGAAAGGGATACTCTGCTCCATGATTTTTCCCCTCGGGAAGAGAACGCTCTCGGGATTCGTGCTGCATGTCCTGCGGAAGGATGCGGTTTGGCTGACAAACATTCGCGCAAGACTGTTTATTTCGACGAGAAAATCGTCTTCACCTGTCCACTTCATAGAGAATGGACGGTGAGTCTGGATGACCCATTGCTGGCCTCCAAACTTGAGTTCAACACCCCAATGCGAAACATTATCCGAGCCAAGGCGTTCACCGATGATCCTTCTACTTCATGGATCCATCTCCCCGGCGCCGACTACGCTGGTTATTACCAGGAGCAACTTCTCTGGCGACACTTAAAAGCCCCATATATCATTTTCTACAGCCCGCTCATTCTTGACTGGTCAGGAGCCAAGTTATCCAAAAGTCTCTATGTCAAGAGTGGCGCATATCAGTACTTGAAAGATTGTGGAATGGAGTACCTGGTGTCCTTCAAAGAGTTTCGGAGCCAAGGAAAGGATCTCGATGTTATATTTGACGAAGTTTGCGACTGGGTCCAACAGCCGTACAAATTATTTAGGTCGTATTCTATTGCCTACATTGACGCGTTATACAAAGGCGAGAAGCTGGTAGATGGCTCGCTAAGCAAGGTGTAGTGGTGTGAAGTAAAGGTACAACATGGTCCGTTAAATAATGGCTTCCTTGTACAAACCATGAGTAAAGGGATAGGATTGAAGTAGGCGTAGTTACCCCTGATCAAAATAGACGTATTTGGGTTTCGAGTGGAATGTCGTCCAGCATTTTTTGTGAGACGTACGAATACTTTTGAGGAAATGTGGCCTGGTACCGCTCCTGCATTGTGGCTAGAGGCAGAGGTTCGCGGAGCTCGTAAAGTTCTTTAATCTCGTAGGCATAAGCTGCCACATCCTTCTTCAGCCCCGCGTTGAAGTCCGCATTCCCGATCCCATTCTCCTTCTCTATCTCCCCAGGGCGTTTTCCGTGGCTAACGACCGCAATGTACTTCAGTGTCTGTTCCGGACTGGACACGTATAACCTGCCGCAGGGATAAAAGGGCAAAAAGCGGCTGCGGATGCACGCACCAGAACCTCTGGACAACTGTCGGGATGAGGTATTTCCTGAACTCGTGGTTCTTCGTCTGTTTGGCGATGCGTTCCATGTAGACTGGCTTTATGGCGATGAGGATGTCCGCTCTCGTCGTTGTGGGCTTGTTCAGGGTGGTTGGGCGGAGAGGAGCAGCACGCCCAGCGCGGGACTTTGCGCGAGTTGAGGAACGAGCAGACGCGTCGCGCATGTTTGTTGACAAGGATGAAATTGCACGTGAGGGTAGTGGTATCATCACGTGTCAATACACAGACCGTGCTTTAAATTTCCTACATACTCAATAATGAAACGACTACCATCTTAGTCTTTAAATCTTCCGTCGACTCAGTTCAACAGAGCAGTTGAAAGGCTGCATCGTAATCCAAGGTCTCCATGCCAGTAATGATTCCCTCTGTTCCGCGACCGACAACCCCCGCAGACGTTCCGGAACTGCAAGCCGGAAATTCCGAACAAGCGACGCAAGTATGCATGCGCCTTCGGTTAGCGCAAATCTTTGGCCAATGCAGTTTCTCGGGCCAGCAGAGAATGCCAAAACTGTCAGAGTTGAAACAACGAGGGAGTAGCGAAGCAGAAAGACATACAAGCATCTCGAGGCCAGCGATACGACTCTGTGTCGATGAAGCGCTCAGGTCTGAATTCTTCGGGTTCGGGCCAATACATCGCTGTGGCGGAGGGAATGAGATTGGTCAACTTGTTTCCTCAGAACTCACGGTTGTGATGTAATCCGCGAATATCAACCATGACTTGACTCCCGGCTTGCACAGGAACGGTTATATGTTGTAAATTTTCGGGTGTGCCTGACGCTGACAAGTCGAAATGATAGGACGGGATGATTGCATCTTCGCGGACGAGCTTGAGGAGGCGGATTACAGCGGGAAAGAGTCGCAAGGTCTCATGGATCACTGCGATTGTGTACGACTAGACGATTAGGTTATAACACCAGCCATTTAGCAGCAATTACCAACTTACTAGTTTAGGCACAGTTTCTTTGTATGGCGATTCTGTAACGTTGGTCGGCGCACCGTTTGGCCATAGTTTGACCGCTTCTTCGTATAGTTTTTGTTGGACATCGGGGTACAATGCGAGCAACCCGACCGCGAATGTCATGGTGTGACCTGTTGTCTCTAGATAAATGTGTGAGTAAAAGTTTACTACTAAAAGGACATTCCATATGCCGCCGAAACACACCATGGCCAGCCAGTAAAAACGTCTGCGTAGAAATGAGCATTGGCTCTTAGATAAAACTGATTGTTACTTGCCCAGGTATTCGAGAGCAGCTCATCCTCAGCCAACGTCTTTGTTCCCATTTCCCCGTCGTCCGTTTCCGGCGCATTCATATTAGCTTCAACTAGATTGCGCAACAAGGCCGCCTCGTTGTTGCTTTCAACCTTTCCTTCGATGACCCATGCACGCGCCAATCCAACAAGTTCCTGCATATGGACTCGCACGGCTTCAAAAGCAATTCGGGTATCCCGCGCGACCTTCCCAACGAGAGGAACGTATACGCGGCCGGAGAGTGCGTAGAACCAATCGGGAGTCATCACCTTGGCGTGAAGATGTTCGACAGCAGAGGATACTGCTTGACGAAATGCGAGCGTATGGCCAGGTGGAACGGGACCATCTTCTGCCCAAGAGGCTCGGCGACCGAACCCGGCAGATGAGATAACAAGGAGAGCGGCCTGGAGAAGTTCTTCCCTTGCATTGATCACAAGTGGTTGGTTTCCTTGCATGCGGCTATCGATCTGCGCAAACCACTCATTTGCAACGCGAATAGCCTCTTTCCAAACGAAGGCATTACCAGTCTAGGACATTGTCGGCGCAAAAAAAAAAGTGGACAAATGCGCACCTCGTTGAATGCTGGGTTGGAAATACGGCGATGGCGTCGCCAGTCAGCGCCTTCTGTTCCAACGAGATTCATTCCATAGAAATTGAGGGGTTTGTACTATATGACTCTGAGCAAGATGAATAGACCAGAATCAATGACATACCGCTGCAGAGTCCTTTTGGAACATAACCGACTCAGAGGTAATGTACTTGATCGCCTCAGCATCCGAAAACCAGACAATTGGAATGGCATCTTCAAGGATAACTGCACCAACACACGTTGAGCGCTGGCGGGCATATGCTGACTTGAGTGAGCAAAGGAGATTCAAATATTTGTGCACTCACGCGTAAACTTGGACTGCCAGGACCCAATATTTTGTTCCCTTGGGTAACGCATTCGTCCAGCGATCAGTGCTAGGCTGTAAAATGGATTGAAGACGAGGAGTCCGCCATACGGAGCACTGGCGAGTTAAGTAGGTGATCATAGATGTGTGGCCGTGGAGACGAACTTCAGACTCCGAATCGCAGCTCGAACAGCCAGTATTCTGGAGATAACCACTTTCGTGGACCACGCAATGATAGTCGCAAGGAGCAGACTATGCAGAGCGCTCATTGCGGTGGGGAGCTAAAGAAGGCGGTGGGAGTCTGGGAGCTTTCATTGTCGTGTCATCCAACAGTCTTCGGTGTTTCAGGCGTTTTCTGCAGTAAGCTTGGTATTGAGTAAACTTTTAACCTTTGAACTTGCCTTTGAAAGTTTCAATCATGCACAGAAAGTCGGGAAGGACAAGCCAAATCAGCAATCACGATCACGTGCGCAGAAATCATTGCATTCGAGTACTTCTACGCTTACCAATCCAGTATCGACATGCAGCTTTCCGTAGTGTCAAAGCATTTTTGTCGAGTCCGCCTACATCCATGAATCCCAGCCAGTCTCTTTCCCCGCCACCCGCAATCACTTCATCAAAATCCAAACCCGATTCAGCCGCGAGACGTAGAAAGTTTTCGCACACATGGGGCTTGGTGTAATAGCCCGCCTAGAGCGTGGGTTAAACAAAGCCAACTACATGCTTAGACTTACTGCAACGTGAACGCAACCGTCAGTAGCCAGTAACGCGACCACTGACGAGATTAGCATGGCATGAGAACTGTGGAAGTGGAGAAGGTCGGAGAGAATGATCATGTCGTATTTATGGTCAGGGCGTTTGCTGAGAGATCTGCATGAAAGGTTAGGGTCGCAAAGAGCACGTGTAGCGACTGACGAAATAGCAGAAACATCAGTCCCCCACTCGTGTCCACAACAATGCAGATCGCACCCCGGCGACACAAGGTGCTTGTTACGCTCGATATTTCGAGCAAGGTTTCCGAGAATGCCGGGGTCGGGATAATCAGTGACGATAACTGAGGCTGGCGGTGGGTCGCAGATGGAGAGTAATAGCGAGGGCAAGCCTGTGCCTGCCCCCAACTCAATAACTAAGTATGAAAGAGTGAGAAATAGTCTCAGATTGACTCTGTTGAACCCACCGTTGCGGCCAGGCGCTTGTATCACTGCTCTTTCGATCTTTTCAGCCAAGAATAACCCAGGAGAAAACAGATGGTCCGCAAGAAGGGTGATGGCCTTGAGTTATTAACTAAATATCCTCCCCGGCCAGTGGTCGATAAGAGGTGGCTACCTTTCCCTCCTGAAATCACAAGGGATTCAGAAAAAATCGGAGTAAGAATTTTTTAAAAAGTATCAGACCTTTGGTGCGACTGTGAGTCTAAGATGTCCGTATGTGAGAACTGGGTCTTCTACGACCTTCGTTCCTCCCAGAAACTCGAGGGAGTCACTTAGGATGTCTGCTGGATCTTCACGATCCGAGTTCATGGTGGTTGACCGTCAAGATTTTGAAGTTGTGACATCCAAAACGAACCATCATGTTCTCCACCACCGTCCAACCAGAGATACTTTCACTTTTCTCAGCAACGGGTTCTGAGCCTCTGCAACTTTTTTCGGTGTCCTGGGACTCGTCCCTACCAGCCGACTCGTTCGTACATAGCTTGCAAGACAACACATCGCTCCCAGCCCCACCAGAACCTTGTGTCCTCATCAAAGCACCCATGAGACAAACCGACAATTCGGACAACAGCGAAACGGGGTCAGTCATTATGAAAAGTCTTGTGCCTAAACTCAAAACTTACTTCACCTTAGGCAGTCTGGTCTTTGTCTAGCGCAAACTGTCTTGCACATCCAGTCTCCCACACTGCAAACAACCTATATTCGCTGTCCGGCAAACAAGGCATCTCAACTTGGACTGAAGCATCCTTGGATACATTTGCAAGTCCGGAATATGGGTAGAGAATGGTCGTTCGAAGTTGGTCTCGTTGACCGTGTCGGTCGCGTTGGAGTAGTGCGACTGTCAACTTTCCAGGTACGCACGAAAAAAAGCAGCATGTAGTTGTGATCTTGAACCCTTCAAGAAAGAGCCTCGTCTCACGCCGTCCACCCCACCGCTTCTCCATCTTCCACTATCGTTCCCCTCGATCTCCTCTCAGCCGCTAACGGCTTGGTCAACCGTCACCCTCCACATTCCCAGCCTGCTCCCACACTTCTCATCAGCCGCGCTTGTCGCTCGCGGACACGATGGACTTCCCGTTCCATTGGCCATGTCGATATTACCGTCCGGGGCCTTTTCTCATCTGGCATTCGTCAAAGTCTATGCAACATGCCGTTTGAGGAGAATATGGTTCAGTCATGCAGGTCCAAGCAAGCAGGCTCCGTGGGAGTTCGAGCTCTACGGAGATGAATACCGATAATTGACGTTTTGGGAACTTGGTCTTGATTTTCAACTCTCGCGGACTGGTGATCGTCTCGCAGCTACGCTAATCCAAATCGTCGGCCTCTAGTAACGACAATCCCAGCGACGGACCAGCTCACTATCGGGTTATGAGGCCGCGAAGGACGCCTGGACCGATACCGGCCCACAATTCAATTACACAGAGCCTTACTTGCCTTGACTAGGGCTGCTCCTATTTGTTGCGGGAAAGCGTCCATCTCTCGAACGCGTCGACGATCTACCTCCACCGTCGACGGTAACCTGTTAGTGTTTGTGTCGTCCTTCCTTAGAGACCCAGAAGCGACAGCACTTCATTTATTACCTGTCACCGAATCTTTTGCCTCTTAGTATAACTCACACGGCAGGGGAATGAACTAGTTCATCGCGACTTTGTCGGCCAAGAAGCGGGTGGAATAGTTTGCGATCGTTACGAGCTCCCACTCAGGCCCCAAGATACGAGAGTTGTTGTTTACAGAAGCAGAACTCGCGACTTACGCAATCTCGTCCTTCCTGCCAATAAACAGTCTAGGAACAACTGATCAGTGGAGCGTTTGTTGAAGAGAGCCGGACTCTACGTCGATCTATGTGGCACTTGGGACGAGTATCTCGTGAGCCATGATCAGGCTCGAGTCGCGCGCCGGACTGACGGTTATGAAGGCACCAATTAGCTTGTATCTCACAAGTAGCAGAGCCCCAATCTCTGCGAGTTCTAAATCAACACTTGTAACTTGAGAACCTGTCTAACTGTCTGAACATGGGTGCTTCTGGCTACCAACAAGGGGCGAGCTGCGGACCACGAAAAACTCACTTCAAGCTTCAGATGCTAAGAGTCGTCCGTCTGGGCGGAAAGCCTCAGAGCTCGGTCATCCACAGCCACTGCCCAGTGGTAGGAAGCGATCCAGGCCGGCTTATCAGCGAAACTAAGCTCTTCGAACACTTGCGCCACGAGTTAGCGCGTCCCGCACTATTGTCGGAACCGTACAGGCTAGTCAAAACGCCTATCTCATCAGTGGCGTGCTGTCACTTACCCAAGTACCACGTATTCGAAGGGAGTCGAGCTAGGGCCGAATCGTGCTAATTTGGCATCAAGAACATGTTGATTTTTATGGGTACGTGGAGTTTGTGCGACGAAGCGTTTTGATCTTGACACGGTCGACCAGCCTCGAACTTCGAATTCTGACCACAATAATCTCCCGCGTAGAACGAAACTTTTTGGCGTTGCGCTCCAGCTCGACAATACCGTAAGGGATTCCACATCATCCGTACGAAACACACTGTTCAAAACCATACGTAGCTCCTTTGTTCGTGGACTCCCGAGAAGCTTCGATTACGCGCAGGTTTGAAGTATATTTGTCGACATTTTGATGGACTCCGAATCATGCAAATGGCGATAGGCAACCCCTCCCCCCTGCTCACGCTCACGCGCCGTGCGATGCACAGGAATGTGGACTTTGTGGCCAGAGCAGTTTTCCTAACAGCAGGTCACAGATACAGGCAGATTGAATGCTAAACTACCAGGTGTTTAGACACTGTAAGATGATCAACGGACATCTCGCTCGCCCGCCACTAGGCATCGATCATGCTTCCGACTGGGTGGACTGCAGTCCGCCCAATTCCCCTAGATTCGAGGTCAACAAAGATCAACACGGAGTAGCGACTTCTATCTAGCAGTAGACGCGGCGCCGGCGGAGTCGAGCTTCGTCCATTCAACAGCCGCGGCTCCGTGTCAGTTGTTCAAAACAAACTGGCACGGGTGGTGTCACTTAGTCTTGCCAGGTTCGACAGTCACGGCCTTCGCTGGAGCTCCAGCGCCTTCCAGTACGTATCAAGTGGCTACTAGCGCGCTAGTCGCTATTCGGGCGGTCTGGGGAAAGCGACAAGTCCTGCTTTGACGATGCTTAGTATCGATAAACACTGTTAAATGTCAACATGCTTCACAGTGACTACCAGTGTCAGTGGCAGGATCTTTGCGTTAGAGCTTGAGCATCACTGGGCGCTAAAGCGACCAACGTCTCGGTCCGCTCTGAGAGCGAGCAAAGAACCACAGTGACGGTTGCGCCACATCGTGCGTCCTTAAACTAGCGGGTTCGCGGGAGGGCGTAAACGGCACTAGGCTGCAGCGCTGACACGAAGACTTCAAGCTGGGCTGGCGCCAAGCGAGGACTGAACTGAGGAGTCTGGGGTGGGTAGCCTGAAGATAGCGTAAAATGCAGGAAGAAAGGAAGCATGAGAAGGCCTATCGAGTGAACGAAAAAATTGTTTCCGAGTCCTTTCCCCGAGTTACAGTTCGCCTGTCATCAAGGAGAGGAAAGGCAACGCATGAACACGAGCCCAACACGATATCACCAGATGGAAAGAGCGGCCTCCCACTGGCAGGCTCAATTGTACTGAGATTAAAGAACGCAGCTGGTAGAAAAATCATTTGATCATGGAGGACAAGGACAGATTGAAAGCGAGGCGGGCTAGTGAACCCGGATCTGCTTGTTCTTTACTTGATTGGAGATTGAAGTTGGGGCCCGGATCTCGACGATAATTAACGGCGAATGCTGCAGCAATCTCAGCTCGGACTCCGAGTCGGAACGGGTCGGAAAGGTTAAGGACGGGCGCGAGCACCAGCAGGAGCAGTGTTTTCCTTCAATTATCGTCAACGGCACGCCTACTACGCGTTGAGAGGGAGCCTCGGAGCAAAGTGTTGGAGACTGAGTTCCAGGAACAACATATCAAACACAAATTCCCACGGTATAACGGTTTTTGGCCGGACGCAGGGCTGATGGCTATGGAGGCTCGCCTCACTGCGCCCGGCCCGGGGGGAACACGAGAATGTGCCTCGCTGTCGTCTACGTACTTTGAGGAGCTGGTGTGGCGGTAGCTGACGCGCAACCAATCACCGCGTCTTCTCCCGCCTGCCACCTTTTTTCTCTCTGCGACACAGCGTTTTCTTTCTTGGGAGGGGCGACCACGGTGGACCCTGAGCACAGGCATGAGCAGCGAGGCGTCCTCGTTTTGCTGTGTATTACAGCGGGTTTTGGAGGGCGGGGAAAAAGAATAGGTTCGCAACCCTTACGTGTAAGAATGGGTGATCCCGGGCCGAGGGCGACATTTATGCTCCTGGAGCCTTGGCGAGTAGAAGGAACAGGGCAAATGCGTGCCAGGAGGACGAAGGAGAGAAGAGCTGCGGCCGTTGTCTTTGGAACTCGCCCGTGGCCGGGGCATCGCGCGCATTGATGGCTGATGGGGGATCGGAGTCGAGTGATAAGTAAACACGCGTTGGACACACCGTGTTGAAAAAACAAGTCCCGTAAAGCGCGCAGACATAAAATGTTGTTCGACAGCAACCCTTCGTCAATCGATAATCGGTTTGAATCGTCGGGGTTTCTGGTCATACGTGTGGGAGAGTCACTTTCTCAGAGTTTGACATGTTGAAAAATAGACGACAGCATTCGTCGATGGATCCACAGCGCGTGGCAGGAGTATTTTCAGAGGGTCTATCGTCTTTTGTGGCAAGAAAATGGGTGGAAGACGCATATGAGAACAGGGCGGCGGAGAGAAGCGGAATTAGATCTACAATCTCGATTCGGACTGGCTTGCTGCCGTGTAAGGCATATAAGTATTCTTGGCCCCACTTCGCCAACTCTGACTCCGGACCCACCCAGCGATGCAGACCGACAGGTTTGGCTATCCCGCCCGTCCCCAATATGGCCAACAACAACGACACTCCCGCCCGCCGTTTTACCCTCCTCACACTGGCACTACAGCCACCGCCGCCGCCACAAATTGGCCAGCGACGCGTCAAAACTACATCCCAACGCCAGCATCTTACACGACGAGCGAGTCAAGTCCGTGGTTCGAGTCTCCGCAGTACGTTGCTGGGAGGCAGACTGGTGGTTATGGCCAGTATGACTCGTTGAATCAACGACGACCTTCGTTGCTCGATGCCATGCCTTCATCGTCCAGTTATCCATATTCTCGTCCTCGTGCTCCAACGACCTCTTCATCGTCTTCGCCTTCAGTGTACAACACTCCATACCTCCCCACATCCCCGCTTTCTTCTGCTCCAGCAACACCTCCCCTGGCAGGGCGACTCATTTCCAAACACCAGCCCGTGATCAAGCAAGAACAGCCTGATGATGACGGTTTCATAGTCGACGCTCCCTCCTCCTTGTCACCGCATTCATCTGCCTTGGCCCATGCTCTAGCTTGCGCACCACCGACCGAAGTACCATTGCGAGCAACTCAGGCAAGCGCTCGGATGCGTCGAATGATGGGGGTATTTCGGCTTAATCCTTTCGCGATCCAGATGCAGAAAGGTCCAAATGGCCCTTCCAAGTCAGATTGCACTTGGGCTGGGGGAGAAGCGCGTCCCCTCGACGAGCCACCGCGTGTTTTCGAGTTTCAGCTCGCACTGGACCACCCGCTGCTCCCAGACTTTGGCTCAGACGACGTCGATGAGAGTGCAGGAAGGCTGGAGGAGGTTGTGGTCAAGAATGAGGGTGATGTCGACTTCGGTCCTGCATTTTCAGTGTCGCTGGAGGGTCTACGTGCGTTTTCGCCAGAGTTTGAGCTGGAGACAGAGCCTGATCCGAATTGGGAGTTGGCCTATCCGACTTCGTCCTCTAGTTTCGATCCTTCTGCGGCATACCCCAGAGCTTTGCAGCAACCAACCGCTTACAGTAATGTCAGCTTCCCTTGTTTCTTGCTTCAGAGAACGCGCAAACTTACACACTGCTTCCAGACCCTTCCTCTAAAGCGTGGATACGACACAGGCGGCCGTCGGTGGTCGTTGCCTGCCCATGCCCATGACCCAACAGCATCGTTTCTCGTGTAGTTACAGTGGACTATGATCGTTTTGTTTCACGCGTTGTCGAGCTCTTGTTGTATAATTAGCGAATATAGGAGATCTTTGGGTTACTTACCTGCTGCTGAGTGCTTCTCTCAAAGCATGCTAGCCCCCGGTTATCGGGCCATGGGCAGCGAACTTCATGCTGCAGCCATCTCCGCGGTTAGGAAGGCCGAGAGGTGCGGTATTGGCTGGGCAAAAGACTCCGGAGATTACTGCTCCGGTGGCGCATGCGTAGTTTAGGGAGCGAGTGCGGTCGAGGGAAAATCAAAGGAGACGAAAAGGTGGATGATGGCACGTGACACGCGTTTCTGCTACACACTCTATTGGCATGATGGAACGATCACTGACTTCTCTGTCGATACCACCGTCCACGCTCGGAGCGCTTATCAAGGCTGGGTACGAGACTACTGCTGACTTGGATGAATCGACGCCAGAGAAACTGGCCAAAGGCGCGTCCTACGTCAGTCTTCGCCTTCCGATCGCTAAAACTACGATCAGACCTGGCTATACCTCTCAACGCCTCCCAAGCGATATTTACGCAACGCACTGCTTCTCGTGCTCCCGGCCTTACTCTCACACAACCTGCCTCTAAGACACGGGCCAGCGACGAACGGATCCTGATTGCCTGCGAACCATTGGACAAACTTTTGGATGGTGGTTTACCAAGAGGGTCTATTCTCGAACTGTCCGGACCTCCTGGGACTCCCAAAGGCGCCATAGCAATGGGTATGGTGAAGCATTTTGTATCCAGCCCTGATACAGAACGAGAGGAGGTGGTTTTTCTTGGTGAGTTGTCTTGATATTCACTATTTACCACAGAACCTGACTTTTAAAGACACGCAGAGTATGACCACGCCTGTCGCCCTACGCAAGGCCATCCCAGACGACTCTGCTCGTAGCCGTGTATTCCACTGCGTTGTGCAGACTGTCACGGACTTTATCGGCTTCGTCCATTCTTTACACACTATGAAGCGTGAAAAGCCTAAACTCGGCTTGATTATCCTTTCCTACATGAGCTTTCCGCTCCAGGCATCACTGTCACGCAAGTTAACGAACCAACAGAGGAACGCGATATTCGACAACCTAAAAAAAGCGCTGGCGACCTTGACATCGAGTGGGGTGACAGTATTGGTTACCTCACAGCTCGCCACGAAAGTCCTTGCTGCAGATGGTTCTCCTGCCAATTTCAACACGGGTGCGCGCGCAATACTAGCCCCGCCACTGGGGACAACTTATCTGCCCGTGTCAAACTCGTATCGAGTTGTTATGTGCCCACAAGGACTGCAAAATGGGTAGCGTGTTCAACCAAGTATCCGGTGGGTACTGACTCGGTTTCAGCATCTTCAGAGTGATCACAGCGCCCTCCAAGAAGGACAACAACAGAGAGCAGCCCTATCTCATTGTGAGTATTTTTTTGTCGTACGCATTCTTGAGATCTGACCTGCCACTTAGCCGCCTCGCCGCGTGCTACCTATCTTACCGCCTCAAGAAAATCAACAAGAAGCATAAAACTTTGTTCATCTAGTGTAATATATTAGCATATAATGAATTATCTATGTTTTCCTGAGCCATCATCAACGGGAGTCACGTGATGACTGGTTATTTTGCCTCCGTTTTCTGACAGCCTTCGGATTTACTACATCCTTTGCTCTCGCCACCACAAGTAGTACCACCCCCTCACCGAATGCGCCCTCCTCTCCGACGCGTATAACACCCATGGGAATTACCGGACTTCTCCCCGCCCTCAGGTCCATCTCCACACAACGACATCTTTCCGAGTTTGCTGGCCAGACCATTGGTGTAGACGCGTACGTGTGGCTCCACCGTGGTGTGTTCACGTGTGCCACTCAGCTAGCTACAGGGAAGCAAACCACCAAGTCTGTCTTGTTGTTGCTGTCTTCCGCTAGTTCGTTAACCCATTCTCCTAGGTATGTAGACTACGCGATGCATCGCGTGCGACTACTGCGCCACCACGGCATCGAGCCATACATTGTCTTTGACGGCGGTCCATTACCCGCGAAGAAGGGAACAGAAGGCGATCGACAAGCACGTCGGGCTGAGCACCTCGCGTTGGGAAACGCGCTTGCTGCCCAGGGGAGGTCGGCCCAGGCACGAGAGCACTACGTGAAATGCATCGACGTGACCCCGCAGATGGCCAAACAGCTAATAAAGGTGCGTGTTTTGACAAGTTCTTCCACTTTGTTGTGATGTCTTCCAATAGGCTCTCCGAGCGGAGAATGTCCAATACGTTGTGGCGCCATATGAGGCGGATGCCCAGCTCGCGTACCTCGAAATGCATGGATTCATTTCTGGGATTATCACCGAAGATTCTGACCTCCTGGTTTTTGGATGTCGCAATGTCTTATATAAGATGGATGCGGTGAGCGCCACTGCAGATTGCATCTCTCAGGACGACTTCCCGCGAATCACTTCCTCCGTTGATGGAATCTCCCTCCACGGCTTTTCGCTCGCCCAATTTCGTGCCATGGCCATCCTCAGTGGCTGCGACTATCTCCCCAGCATTCCTGGAATCGGTTTAAAGACAGCCTGCTCGCTGTTGCGAAAATGGAGGACGACGGAGCAAGTTGTGAGGTCGATTAGGATGGAGGGCAAGAAGAGCGTGCCGCGAGGATATTTGGAACAATTTCGTCTGGCTGAGAAATGTTTCCTCCATCAAAGGGTATACAATCCTACCGCGCAGTGTTTGGTGCATTTAACGGAGCCGGAAGAGGGTTTGGATGAGACGGCGAATGTATATGTTGGACCGTGAGTCGTTGCTCATAGTTTTCACAGTTGGCTGACCGTGGAATCTAGGGACATGGACCCCACATTGGCGAAACGCATAGCAATCGGCGATGCTGACCCCATAACGCTGAAGCCTATGGCGGATATTTGCCCAGATTTCATTCCTCGGGCTCTCAAACCACTTCCATTTGTAGTCAACGGCGTTGGTCGTCAGCCCAGCGACAACAAGGGCAAGGGCAAAGCGGTTGCTGAAAATGGAACACTTCTCAACTTCTTCGCACCCAAATCGAAATCCTCCGTGCCGCCACGAGCCCTCACCGCATCCAAAACCAGCGTTGGAGCGATGGTGGTTGGTAAGGCAAGCGGAAAGCGCACTCTTGCAGAGGAAATGGATCGTGACATTGCTGTCAAACGCAAGAAATATGAAGTTGGAGCGCAGTCCAAGTTCTTTCCTGCTACTGCGAGTCAAGCGCAAGCCCGGACTCGGCATGAGCTGGAAGACCTCACCGCACCTGTTGCGGGCCCTTCGCGATTCCGAGAAAAAGAGAACGTTCCACTGGAAGGAGAAGAAGACGGGGTCATTCACCTAGAGGAAGAAGATATGGATGCGGATCTACAATGGGACAGCTTGTCCTTGGTTGCGACTGCTGGGGCGGATGAAATTGGCCCTGAGGTTGAACAGGAAGACGGTTATTTTTCGCCAACGCCTTCGTGCTCAAGGGATACCGAAGAGTTATCGTCCCCTGCAAGGCGAATCATTACCCCCGGAAAACGCATAAAACCGGAAAGGGAGCTTGTCTCTGACGATCTAGATGTAGTGTCGAGTCCACCACCTCAAGCGCCAATTCAACGACTGCCTTCACTTAATCTGAGTCTAATTCGACAATATTCTCGGCCAGACGAGCATGTACTTGTTGCTGCATCACCTGATCAAGAGTCATTTGGAGCCCTACCAAGGAGTACAAACGACCGGTTTGGTGACGGGAGAACCAGCGATATCGACTGTTTCGACGACAGTAGCGGCGAAGAAGACGATTGGGAACCACCTTTGGTTGCGGGAGAAAGTGCTACTCCAACTCCGTCACCGCCAACCCCGTCAGACATGGGCAGTGATGAACGAGCAGTAAATGAAGCACGAGCAAAAATCGTGGCAGCCGGATGGCGTGACCGATGGGCACTCCCAAAAGACTTGGCTCGTTCTGAATCGACGGGAGGGTTGCGTCGGAGGGAAACAACTGTTACACCGAATGGACGTCACTTTCCGATTAATCGTGTCGTTCGGGGTCATCCGTATCACGCTGACACACCAAACTCCGTGCCTTCGAAGATGACGCGTGCGAAAACGAAGCCGCTACAGTCCAGAAGAAGTTTGACATTCCTGGAGCCACCGACAACAAAGTCGAAAGGCGGGGGCAGAGTGTCGTCACCATGGCGCGGGTTACTTCAAGATCATCAGGAACCGTCAACGGCCCATGGCCAAGACGCAGTGGCCAACCGCTTTGCTCATTTCAGGTATGTAGCTATAATAACGTCTTTTGACTAGATGGCCAACTGTTCTCTACAGATGCCCGTCTTGAGTGGGTTATTCATAGAGCCTATACGCGCTTCTTCAGTATTTTTTCTGCGACCCATCTAGCTACCAGAGTCAAATAGTACAAATCTCAAGTAATGACGATGGACGAATGACTTGACTTGATGTGGGGATTTGATCGGAGACATTGCAAGTTGGTTAAAGCTTTGACTGACTGACATCCTTCCTCTTTACACCTGCTCTTCGCCATTGCGTATATGCCGGATGCGGCACGCAACCAATAGCTCTTCTCCCACCTGGCTGCACAATGCTAGCTGGCGCAGCTCGGCCAGGTTATGGTCGCCTTGGCCATCGTATGAGTCTCGTTCTTTGCGTTTCACGATGCTCCTGCAACTCATTTTTCGGTCACCAAGGTATTCCGGCGTAGTTAAGCGCTAGATGAGGCTTATTCGGGCGTGCGATACGAAGATTGGGTGAAGACACAATCGACAACAACACATGGCTGTAGCGCACCCTTTAAATTCCGCGACTCGAATGCGTGGTTCAATATCCCCACGTAAAGGCCCTCTGTCCCTCTCGAAGCTTCAGGTTCAAACTCAATAACCCAACCATGTCCGACCCACGCTCAGATATTTACTTCAATCATGACGCAGCCAATCGCCAGAGAACAGGCTATTATCCAACTGAAAACTTGAATGTTCCACCAGCCCAAGGTTTCCCTCTGGCAGGGCAATACTCTACCGACATGACTGCAGAAAGACACCAAGGCGGTAGCACGTACCACGAGCAGTTCCCCCCCAGTATGTGGACCGTTGGAGCCGCTGGTCTTTCTGGAGGGAGTGGGAGATCACAACTGGATCCCTCTGGTGTGGAGACTTGGGCAACATCTTACGATAATAGCTATGGAGTACCTCCACCCATGCCGCGCCGCCCGCCTCAAAGTTCGCCGCACCAGGGCAACCAAAACGATCTGGCTCCAGTTTTCGCAGGCTATCCAGACCAATTCTACCAGTACCGGTCTGAGTGGAATATAGCTGCTATGGCTCACCAGCCCCAGTCTTCGTCATCTGCAATAGCGGGATGGGATGCAGAAGACGACTCTTTCCAGAACACTTCCGTTGCTGCGCAAGTCTTGCTGTCTTTAACTCGATTGAGCTTCACTAATTTCCGCGTGTAGAGCGCCAACCTTTGAACCGGAAGATGATAGCTCGGAGGCACTCGCCGCATCGTCCTCTACTAACGTGGTTTTGCTGCCGACCGCACGGAAGGAGAAGCGACAGAAAGCCTCTCAAAAGATGCATCAGTGCGAGATGTGTGGAAAGGAGTTCCCTCGGTAGGTTGACCATTTCCCTCACATTTTCCTTCGATCATAATTAAAAATATTTTAATAGACCTAGTGGTTTGCGGACCCACATGAACTCTCACAATGACGAAAAACGTACGTCAAGGCCTTCTTTTTGCCCCCTCCCAGCTCAAGTCGCTTTCAGCTTTCAAGTGCAACTATCCAGGGTGCGACAGAGCATTCAGTGTCCTTTCCAATGCAAGAAGGCATTACCGAACTCATGGAGTGGAGCCGCCGCCCTCCCCCTCGTCATTACGCGCCGCTGAATCGTCCTCTGGTGGACAGTTCGCAGTCAACTTCGAGGCGCCTGTGACTCCACAATCAGCCACGCCCCCAACGACAAGCCAGGAACAATTTCGCGTGCGTTGGATTGAGCCAAATTCACGAACCCGAGGAGCCGGATGGGGGATGCGACAGGCTGATTACAGTGACTAACACTGGCCACGGGTCTGCAGTTTGGTGCAGACATCCTGGACAAGACCACTTACTTGTAGTCGACTGTTTTGAACTTCCCTTTCCCTGTTGGTTCCTCATAAACGATAGTACCTATTATTATAATCCCATGGCATTCCTGAATCGCAAACTCGGTTGAACACGGATCCATCGTGCTATAGTTCAGATTTTTTTTTAGTAGATGATCCGAGTTTTCAGTTTTCGAAGTTACAGTAGCTTCTGTGCAACAATTGATGCACGCATTGAACTGGACACGGTTTATCGGTGAGGCGCTTGGAAAGCCTCGGATGAGTGGAGCGAAAACGACCGAGAGGAAGACGAAGCATGATGTCAACATGCGTGCCTTGTTTCGCCCTGCACGATACGGTCAGATGAAAGATACTCAAAGTTAATGGAGCATCTGCAACGTTGTCCTTGCCTGCCACTATGATACAGCGGTTCGTAAGACTCGAATGTGTGCTTGGTTGGATGGCGGGCCCGGGCCGGATATCGATCGAATCAATACGGGTCACATGTCTGGTGACGGCCCGGGTCACATCAAGTTGACCTTCTTGTTCGCAACCTCTGGACCTCCATGGTTCAAGTTGAACCCGAGCCTCCCCATCTGTTCTATGTAGACCCACATCTTCTAACGCAATACTCTCATCTCTCCGCCTTATTTTGAAACACGGCGTTCTGGTGGCGCCTCGAGTTCAGCCACCCTTCATTTTGGAAATTGGACTGCGCTCTCGATCTCGGGCTAGAGAACAGTATCTTTCCCGGGATAACGCACGAGCTCTCACTACTGTCAACTCAAGTTTTTGCCATCTGCCATTGCTTTCGGCCTCCCAACAAAGTATGAGACGTCTTAAAATAGCTTGAACACCGAACAGCTTTTTGGTCAGCAGCTAAATGACGAATATAGAGTGTTTCGGGTGCAGTGGCGGTCGCCACGCTCCCGCTTCTTTGATGCTGGGCCCACAAAAGATTGCACCCCCCGCCCAGCATACTTTCTTCTGTCGTTAATGCACTAACGTTAATGGCGGGGTCTGAATTTCACTCAGACCCTCGAATAGAATTGAGCGCTACGTGGACGCCGCTGCCTGGTGCTTCACTTGCAATGTCCAAGGCTTTAAAAGCTCGACTCGATGGTCCTGGATTAAATCATTTTCTATTCCTCTGAACGCTAATATTAATCAACTTACTAGTGAGCCCTGCTCGTAATTCTCAACAGTGATTTCTCTTACGAGTCGGTGCGTAATCTCTCCCTCAGGAATTGTCAACAATGTTGATATATAGCGCGCAGGTATATCGAGAACTAGAATCCAAGTTGAAAGTCAGTTAGCATCCCGCTTGTCGGGGGTCGAATTTATTGATGATTGGGCAGAACCATGCACCCAAAGAACCGCGGAACACATGGAGAACCGCGTCGTAGGTCTCACCAAGAAGAGACTGGACTACCTCCGAATCTGGTTCAGACTCATTCCGGATCGCATGGTCGTTCTTCTTATTTTGCAGAATATTCAGGAGGAAACCCAGCTCCGCCTCCCTTGTTTTCTTCTCCCGGTCTAGATGAAGGGGCCTCGCAGGACATGTTCTACCTCGCCAGAGCTTCTAGCTCTCACTCTGTCGTGGATCGACAACTCGTGCATCCAACCCGTGCCCCGAGAATTGCCACCGACCAGTTTGTTCCATACGAGCAGTTTTCTCAAGGATCTTCGCCCATTCGTTTACAGCGTGCTGCAACCTTTCCTATTGGTCCCAACGATGTGCACCTAAGGTACTCACCACCGCTTCTGGACGACCAAACATCCACCGATTTTTTCTCGAGTTTTATTCCTATGTAAGCATTTTTCTCGGTTTTCCAGTTTAGCGGACTGAAAGAGATGTCCCCAGAGTTCCGACAGCACGAGCCCATGACCATCTGGAATCTGTCACTTCCCCACAGCCCGCCCAAGAGAATGAGCCAGCTCATTCATTGCCCCCTCCGCAAGTCCGACTAAGTCCTCCGCCTGCTAGCACGCTACTTGTTCCTGGACCACGCGCACCAAGGGTCCGCAGACCTCCCAAAACAATGCACCGATGTTCTGTCTGCGAGAAGGAATTTCCTCGGTGAGATTCTGGTGTCATTTGATGGAATGTCCGGTTGGCTTATCGATTACATGTGCTCAGACCAAGCGCTCTGGCCACACACCTACGATCCCACAGCCATGACCAGCGTGCGCTACATCCTTGAAATTCTGGCCTCATGCTTAATCTGACTATTATACTTCAACAGCATATTCATGTAACTTTCCAGGCTGCACCCGTTCCTTCAGCGTCCTCTCGAATGCACGACGGCATGAAAAAACCCATTTTCCGAGACAGTCTTCTAGTTCCGCCGCCGCCGATTCAGAGCATCCACCGTCTCCTCCCTTGCCATATAGCGTCAATTTCGACAGCATACAAGTTGCTCCACCCTTCACGCCGCCGCCGCCGCCCCCTTCGGCATCTGGATCGAGTCATCGTGAGCCCGATGCTGCACCCTACCGCGTCCGATGGTTAGAACCCAACTACTCCTCACGGAGAAGCAGGTCCAGAAGAGGCTCTGAACGAGATGACCAGCGTTCTGTGAAATGAAGGGAATGACGATGATCAGCCTCGGGGTCCGATCCACAATGAAGCAGGAAGCCTTGAGACTCATTCTGAAATACTGCTTGCTTAAACGGACTAAGATATTATATTAGCTTTTATACTGGTCTAAACATTACTGCTATACTCCGCAACGCGCTATCATTCGGTCTGAAAGCTTGTATTCCTACTCGTCCAAGGCCCATAAGCCACACGATTGACCAGTCCGATGGGGAGATCATAGATTTCCGGGACTTGATTCGGGTTAGCATAGGCCAAGTAAGGATTGGGTCCGCCGTGCTTGAGCGGCGGCCACAGAGCACGCGAATCTGCACTGGTTAGTTTTGTGTTTACCCACACAAACAAGCTATTCGTACCAGTAATGGCGCTAGAGTCGGAGAATGACGGGGTCGCGAGCAGAGCAAGCGCAAAATAGACAAAATATGTGAGGAGCGCAACGACAACGCTGTATGCTGGCACAAGTATAGCCCATTCGCTGGTGGTTAGACATGAGAATGGAAGCAAAAAGAAGGAAGGGGGAAGCTTACCGACTGGGATACCATTCGACGCCGAGCCATTTGATCCATTCGTCAGGTAGCAATGCCCACAGAAGGTAGACAACGTAAAGGAACGATGTTGAAGTCCAAGCAACGAAGCCGTAGAATTCTGGCGCACGGCTGCGGTATTCTGGAGGGTAGGGGGCAATAGGAGATGTTGGAGAAGTTGGGTTGTCACTCTGCTGCATCTTTACAGATGAGCCTGTGGGGGTCTTGACAAAGTCCGCATCACGACTTGAATGATGTGTGACCGTCACGCGTTTTGAAACTTGACCCACTCATGGCGCTTGCTCTAAAAGCCGAGAAAAAGCTCCTACGAAAGGCCATGGCATCCAAATTGAAAAATCTAGTGTCAGTCTCGGAACAATGTGTTTTGTTCTCCTTCTATGGTCACCCTCCGACTAATTCGCCAGGCAGCCAAAGCAGTCACTGAACGAATCCTGCGGCACCCATATTTTGCCAGATGTGCATCTATCGGATGCTATCTCAGCATGCCTTCGGGGGAGATAGACACTGACCTTCTTGTGCGGAGCATTCTGCGCTCGGGTTCGTCGGTTTTGCTCCGAGTAATGTTCATTTTGACTTTGTTGGCCAACTCAGGCAAGACGCTGTATGTCCCCAACATCGACAAAACAATCGAAGGCCGGATGGAGCTTCTGCGCGTATACGACGAAGCTGATTTAGACTCGCTGCCGAGCGGCGTGTGGGGAATCAGGGAACCTGGGCAGTTACGAAACGGGCAACCACGAGCGAGTGGTAAATGCCTCCAAACTGCTTTCACACAAAACCCTGCTTAAATACAACCTCTTTTAGCAGAAGACACTGGCTTGGACCTCATTCTTGTCCCCGGTTTGTGCATAGCAATTGCGTCATCAGTAGCATTAACTGAACCAATAGGACTGGCGTTCGACCGCTCCTTCTCACGTCTTGGGCATGGGAAGGGGTACTACGACAGATTTATCACCACCTACTCCACCAACCGTCCAACCCCATTGCTTAGTGTGTCCCCGTTACTTCAAAGCCCTTTATGTTAACCTTCGGATAGTGGGTTTAGCTCTGCAAGAGCAACTACTTGACGCCGGGACAATACCAACCGCCTCTCATGACTGGAAAATGGACTCCATAGTCGTGGATGGCGAAGAAATTGAGCAAGGGTCAGACTAGCAATAATGATACAACTTGATTGTCCAATGCTAACTCCAAAGATGATATATGTAGATTGTACACGATGCCGAAATGCTTAATGCCCATACGCATACCCATACACGAATGCACCTCAGAAAACCCAGATCAACCCAGATCAAAACTCTGACTAATCCTCGTCCGAGTCCTCGTCGTCTTCCCGGTAGCCAGCTTTCTTGAGGCCAGCAGTGAAAGGAGAGACGACATTGGGTTGCACAGGCGGGATCGTCATGCCTGATGAGTTCTGCAGAACGCTCTCGGCTATGTGGGCATTTATCCTACGAGACTGTGAGTGCGAATTAATTGCAAAGACAAATGACGAACTCTTTGGGGTTTGAGACATTGCCGAAGTGGATCGCACCGGGAACTTCGACGAGTTGGACGTCAACGCCGTTGGCCCGCAGTAGTGCGCGAACCTCCTGGGTGTACTCGATAGCGTAGGCGATGTCGGCTCCGCAATGGACCAGCTTGATAGGGCAGATAATTCGAGAAACGGCAGCAGAAGTCTGCGCTTTCCGCTTGGTGAAAAAGTCGACGGTAGCAATGCGGTATTCAACGAGCTTGGAAGGGCCCCAGTTTTTTTAAGGCGTGTGGGACAGCGCGAGCGGTGAGCGCCTTGATGAGAGATGTCTCCTGTCCACTGAAGCCAAGTTGGAGAGCACCGCAGACGGAATCGAGAAGAGCAATCTGGTCAACTTTGCTGCCCTTGAACGCCTCTACCCAGCAGTCGTGAATTTCCATGCGCCCTTCTGCAACGTCTTCGGGCTGCGCAAACGGATTGAAAGTGAGGACTAGCCGACAGGAGATCAGTGTGAACTCACCTCCGTCAGAGGAAGTGGAGAAATCATGGTAAGGGAGAGCGCCTTCTCGGGGAAAGAAATGGACACTTGGAGTGAAATGCAAGCCCCCATGGAAACACCAACGAAATGACATGGAGGGAGACGGAGGGCTTCCTGTGGGTCGAAGTTAGCCTTGTCTGAGGTCGTGTGGAAAGCGACCTGATAACTGACCATGAATTTGGCGATATCCGCCGCCGCTTCTTCGCGCCCATAGGTAGCCCCAATTTTGCCCGAGGTCTCGCCATGACCACGAAGATCAAGAGCGATCAAGTTGAATCGACGCAGACTAGGGTCCGCAAACTGCACTGTTATGTTTTAAGCAGCTGGGCGAGATGGGAGAAGAGAAGCGTACGTTCAAAAAGTTCCGACGCAATGTAGACTGGGTGCAGGAAAATGACGGTGGGTATATTCTTGTCGATAGATTTAGCAGAAGGGTTCTTGGGTGTAGAGATTGTGTAGTGTATTGTGGCGGAACCAGCGATGCTTTTGACTTTGACGGAAGGCATGGCTGAGGAAGATGGACGTGAAGAGGTAGTGGTGGGTGGCGAGAAAGCGACGTGCTACACTGTTGGCAGCAGATTTTATGGAGTGAAGTGATCGGGGCTCGTAATCAGGTCAAGAACATAGGAGCTCTGAAATGGAAATGGCGTACAGTCACTTTTCTTTGAACCATATGGCGCGAAAGGGACCCTATTCGAAGTATCTAATCCTCCTCCATGTCGAGATCACCTTCGACACCAGCGCCCTCACCCTGGTCATCAAACTCCTCGTCTACATCGTCAGTCGCGTCCCAATTTTCATCCGCCTTGACAATGAGCGGCTTATGTGATGGCTGCGCCACAATGGAGAGCGACGGAGCCGCTGCCAAGGACTTCTTGACGTGTTCTGCGACTTCAACCATCTGCTCTTGAGAAAGGCGGTCTTCAAGCTCCTCTACAATCTGACAGTCAAACATGAGAGAGTGACACCTAGAAATAGTACAAGGGCACTCACAACATACAATTCGATCTGTTCTTGAGGAGCCAGGTTGACGATTTGAAGCTTCTCTGCCTTGGTGAACCCATACGATTCAAGGGATTTCACGAGTTCAGTTACAGCTTCAGGGGTTTGTGAGGTTGTTGACTGATGGTCAGCAGATAGATATTTTATTGCCTAATGACCAGTTGAGCCCCTGGGGCAGCATGGACAACAGAACAGCACCTCGAATGATACTGTTCGCAAGTTTTCGAGTGTCTCGACAGCAGTTGACGGCCTGCCACCCCCTATTGGGACGGAGACGTCCGTCCCAGCGGCCTCCTCCTCTTTCTTGATGCGATGCGCGATCTTAGTCCTTGCAAGATGATCGGCTTCAAGCTCTTGCAGAAGGGACAACACTTCGTAGTTTGAAAGTAGTGCACTCCGAGGATTTATGACCTATCTAAAACGTTAACAATGCGCAGATGCACGGAAGAAGACGCGTGCCTCCATCGACTGGGAAGCCTTGTTGACCTCGTCGCCACTGTTCAACGCTGGCGCGTCACGCCACTTCTGGGCGTGACGCGCCATAGCAGCGGATCTGTTCGGAGTTCGTCAACGCCGACCCAATTGGTGTTGTTTCATCCGGTGTAAGTTTAACGGCACCCTTGCCTTCGAAATCGGTCATAGCAGACTCGTGAGGTCGGATAATACTTAGGGTAATAAGTATGCACACACTGCGACCTAATTAAATTCAGAGCAAAGGCTGCAGAGATAGGTAGATAAGGCATGTGAACATGAAAAATGAAGTGGATAGACTACTACCTGTGCAGTCCAATGCGTTGAACACAAAGACCGAAACCAGCGCTCTACGCGGTCACGTTATTGCTTACCGCTTTGGGATTCAGATGGTGATGTGACCGTGCAATCTCTCAACATCCACGAACCGCACTCTGCTGGAGAACAGATATTTGTGTGTCTGACCTAGAAATCCTATCTTTGATCACTTATCCTAGGCTTCTGAGTCGTGCTGATCATGCTATCTGAATCAACAAGTTGGCCCAACCTACCGCCCCGCGTGAAATCACGCTTTCTGCCAGTGAATGGCCTTCGGATGCATTTCTTGGAAGCCATTCCCGAAACTCCGAGAGCTGATGAACCTCTTGGGCTTATTATTCTGCTACATGGCTTTCCAGAGTTAGCGTAGTATGTAGCGACATTGCCTGCTCCACTGTGACGTCCAGCCGTCTGACCCTGGTTATAGCTCGTGGCGAAAGGTCATCGGCCCTCTCGCAGACGCTGGGTACCATGTAGTGGCTCCCGACCAACGTGTTTGTGGCCGAACAACACCTGCTGGCATCTCCGCTCAGACAAAGTTTGACGACTCACTCTTGCCGTTCCAGATGACGAACATGGTCAAGGATGTTGTTGGGCTGGTGCACAGTCTTGGGTACAATTCTGTTGTTGCGGTTGTTGGCCACGACTTTGGCTCGCCTATCGCTGCCTACTGTGCTCTCATTCGCCCCGACCTGTTTCGAAGTGTTGTCATGATGAGTGCGCCGTTCACGGGGCCGCCACAAATCAAGCCAGTACCGTTGCCAAAGGACGATTTGCAATTGGACCCCACGATGCAGATGCTGTCTGATGCACTGGGCAAACTCGATCCACCTAGAACGCATTATACGCATTATTATTCGACTCGCCAGGCGGGTTCGGATATGTTGAATCCGCCCAACGGGCTCCATGCCTTCATGCGTGAGTACTACCACGTCAAAAGCGCGAGTTGGGAAGGCAACCACGACCCAAAACCTCATCCCACTGCGGTAACCGGCCCGGCGGATATTGTTGCAACGATGGCGGCGTTGCCCCACTATTATGTCATGGGGGAACCAACCATGCCGCTCGCGGTTAACGGTTGCGGGCCTTCTGGGGACGATTCGTGGTTAACAGACGAGGAACTGGCCGTTTATGTCCAAGAGTATGCGCGGACTGGCTTCCAAGGAAACCTCAATTGGTATCGAATCAAGGTCCTTTCAGGCTGGGAAGCCGATTGCGAGCTGTTTTCTGGTAAACGCATCGAGATTCCAGCCATGTTCATTGCGGGATCGTATGACTGGGGAACATATCAGGTTACTGGGGCCGCAGAAATGATGAAGGAAAAAGTTTGCGCGAAAATGGAAGATCAAGACTTTGTTCTGATCGAGGGAGCAGGCCATTGGGTGCAACAAGAGAAAAGTGTGCAAGTTGTGAATGAACTCCTTCGATTTCTACAGAAGACCAGAAAGTAGCGATTTATATACGGTTGTAGGATGTATTACCAGGGAATAAGAGGGAGTTTATACTTTCAAGCTTTGGGGTGCTTGATTGCTAGCTTGATTCGTTGGCCCATAAATCTTGGGTGAGATGTGTCGTCTTCGGCGCTGATAATAGTAATTCCTTCGCATGGTGGACCGGTCGGTTGTGTGGGCGGACTGCTCTGGGTCTCCTGAGAAGCAGTGCTATTTCCCTTCTTTTTCGACGATGTGAAGTATGCGAAGAGGTCCTTAGACTTCGTTCTCACAAGGGGACGACCATTGTGGCAATTGCATTTGAAACAGAGAGTGAATTTGCGTGTCGAGCCCGAGCTGGGTATAACGATACCTTCGTCCGTGCTGGGAATCCATATTTAGTTGTGAATCGGGGCCGTGGCAAAGAGAACACACTCGAACTGGACTGAGGTTGCACGTCTGAGCTCGCGGGAAACCAAACGGACGCGACTTTCGTGGTCCACATCAGGTGTCGCAACGATTGCAAATGTCCCAGAAAAATTTAACGGTGCAGTGGTCGGATTGGTTTGTGCCTGAGCGACAGCTCTGAAAATCGCGGGTGCATCGGCATATTTGGTCCGGTGGGTCTTTGTTGGAGTCTAACTGAGGGTAAGTGACGGCTGGGGACAACGAATGCAACAGACAATAGTGGGAGGCGGTGGCAAAACCATCAACTTGTAGCGCTTTCGGAGGCGCAACAAAACAAGCGCCGAGTCCTCAGCTTCTTCTTCTTCCAAGTTGGAGACCTTTCGTTTCTGGGGGATGGCCATGTTTTCCGACGTGTTTTTGGTGGCCTGGACCGTCCGACACAACGTGCAACGGGTATATCGTAGTGGAGCTAGCCGTACCCCACATGCAGTACAAGGTTTCCTTTGCATCGCGGTAACGTGGCTGGGAGCAAGCTCAGGGGGTGGAAGAACAATCGTGTTCATGGTGGTGGCAGGAATAAACAAGTCGCGTTTAAGCGAATTTTTGTCACGTGTCCGTAAATCATTCTACGAGGATGTATGCCCATCCACAACACATCCCGCAACCACCTCACAGCGCGGGCAGGCGTCCACAGGGTGGGCTCAAGTGACTTGTCTAGCTCTTCTCATATACCATCCAGGTTTTCGCACCAAGATCAATCCAGACCAAATCCCTTCCGCCACCGCTGCCATCGAATTCGACCGACACCAATGGGAAGACACACAGTTCTTCGGTCACCCAGGCAGTCATGTCCCGTTCTCCACCTCGGACTTTGTCTCCGTTGACCAAGGTATAGTGTAGAGCGGTTGTCCACTCGTTCTGACCATTACTAGGCAATTCGTCGCCAAAGTTTGTTCGGATGACAACGTGGAATATCCCCAACTCATCTAGACTTGCCGGGGACTGCGCGATTCCGATGGTTGCTATCCTTCAACCTTTTGCTGACTTGGACGCTCGTGAAGACCCCATTCCACTTGTTGACTTTGGAGAGCAAGGACCATCTCGCTGCACGAATTGTAGAGCCTATATCAACCCGTGGTGCACTTGGGAACGTGGGGGAAATGCATGGAAATGCAACTTATGTGCCCATGAAACCCAAGGTGCGTGTCACTTAACCAGACTGTCAAAGTCCAACGTTATCCATAGTATCTACTGAGTACTTTTGCCATCTGGACGCCAATATGCGTCGAATGGACCACGATCGACGACCAGAACTGAATCGCGGGACTGTTGATTTCGTTGTTCCTAAGGAATATTGGGCAACAAATCCGCCTCAACGACTATCTATGCCATACTACTCTATCGACCCGCCACCCAGTGGACCACGACAACCCCAACCCCTCAGCTTCGTTTTTGCCTTCGACGTCTCAAACGAAGCTGTCCAGTCTGGAGCATTAAAGACCGCTTGTGCTGCTTTGCAAGACGCACTTTTCGGTCCTGATGCATGCTTCCCTCCATCCAGTTGTTTAGCAATCTTAACCTTCGACGAAACGCTACATTTTTATGATCTTTCGGTGTGTAAAATGTTTCTTCTCCTTCCGTTCATTCACCAATCATCAGACAGACTCAGTTCCAATGCTTGTCGTGTCTGACATTGATGAGGTCTTCGTGCCATTGCGTGCGGGGCTCTTTGTTAACCCCATGGACCGTCGAACCGCGATTGAAAGCTTGCTGAATTCGATTCCTGAACGGTTTGCTTCGATGACCCATGTTAATGCTGCACTTGGGTCCGTGATTCGAGCTGGCCTTGCGGGTTTGGTGAGGCACACTTCCATGACGCAAGTCATGAAGCTCATGTCAATCTAGGCTGGTCGTGGTGGCCAAATTGTGGTATTTCAGAGCACCATGCCCACTATTGGGCATGGCGCTCTACCCGGAGAAGTCCAAGAGGCAAATTTGTACGACACTCCTAAAGAAATCTCGCTTTATGCTCCTCGGGATAACACTTGGCGTGAAATTGGTGCAGAATGCGCCGAGGAGGGTGTAGGCGTCAGCATGTTTCTGACAATGAGTAGATATCTCGATGTTGGCTCAATCGGTAACTTTTTTCTTTGGTCCCCATTTCCTTGTTTGCGCTAACCCTTTACAGGTGTGGTATCATCTTTGACTGGGGGAGAACTTTTCTTTCACCCGCGTTTCAATCCTACCCGCGAAGCTTCGGTTTTTCGATCGCAATTAAATCGCTTGATTGGTCGTACGATTGGGTACAACTGCCTGATGCGCGTGCGCGTCTCTAATGGTCTTGTTAGACCTCTCAGGTTCTCTTATGTGTGCTGATTTCTGGCCTCGTCATTTAGGACTCAAAATAACGCAACACCATGGCAACTTTTCTACCCTGGGCTCTACCGATCTAGAGTTGGGCGTGTTGGACGCAGACAAAGCAATTTCGGCAACTTTGCAGCATACCGGTCGATTGAATGAGCGAGGATACGTATATCTACAGTCCGCTGTTCTCTATACGAGTGTCGAGGGACAGCGAAGAGTAAGAACATGCAATCTTGCTCTGCCTGTCGTGGAACTGGCATGGAATGTTTTCAAGCTAGCAGATCTGGATGCGACAGTTTACTACTTGGCGCGACATGGTGCGTTGTTTGTTCAACTTTCTGCGCTGCTCTTCCTCATCTGACTCTCGCAGCTATTTCCAAGATGTCGTCCGAGAAAATGACTCATATTCGGGACGACTTAACGGAAAACTGTTCCTCCATTTTGTTGGCATATCGCAACAAGTGCGCCAACACATCCGCAATTGATCAGGTCAGTTAGCATCCCTCGATACCATTATCTCTGATCTTGAGCATAGCTTGTTCTCCCGGAATCATTCAAGAGCCTCCCTGTCTACACTTTGGCCATCCAAAAGTCAAAATGTCTACGAGGCAGGTCCATCTTTCGTATTCCGGCCCTTATTGATGGATGGTTGATAGGCCGCAATGTCTCGTCGGACGTCCGCAACTATTATGCTCATCGAGTGATGTCGATGAGTGTGCGCAGCGTTATGCAACTGCTTTACCCTCCGCTACTTGCGATTCATGATCTTGCGCAAGAATCCGGAATGCCAGATGAGACTACAGGACGACTTGTCTTACCAGACACCATGCGGGACAGTCATATGTATATGGAGGCCCATGGGGTTTATCTAATCGGTACTTCATTGGTTTTTTTTTTCTGATATCATCAAGTCACTCATATCGGCCTTAGACAACGGCGAAATGATGGTGCTATGGATCGGAGGGAGCGTGTCTCCACAGCTTCTCCTCGACTTGTTCGGTCTTGACGACCTAATGGCGCTGGATCCGCATTTGGTGAATTTTTCGTCCCATCAACGTTTTTGCTGATCCCTAGGCTAGAGTGAGCTTCCGGTCTTACAGACATGGCTATCTACACAAGTGCGGAACATCCTCGCTTACCGACGGACACAACGTGGTGGTCGTATTTCCAAACTGCTTATCGCTCGCCAAAATCTGGACGCTGCTGAGCTGGAGTTCAGTGATATGCTCGTGGAGGACCAAAATACAGGTACCATGGCCTACCCCGACTTTCTTTCAGTTGTCCATAACCAGATCAAGCTCGTTGTGTGTGCTATTTCTCGACTTGATTCCTTTTTGACACATGAACAGCTTCAACAAGGCGGGTCGTTAGGCGGTGGAGCGACACTAAGGAACTCGGTTTGGTAGAGCTAATATGTGCATAGAGCTACTAGTTTGTTTGTTTGTTTGTTTGTAATACAGTAAATGCCTTCATCGGAGAGCTACTAGTTGTACAAATCGCACATGTTTTACTTGGACCCTGGTAGCTTTTGACAGTCACACTGTAACCGTAACGCTGACACACTGCATGTTTCTTCCTCCAGAACTACTTGACTCCATCGTTGCCTACCTCCCACAAGACGACATCACTACTCTAAAGGCCTGTACGGCTGCATTCCATGGACTTCGTATTTCAGCTCGAATTCGACTACATCGTCGCCTCCAGCTTTACTCTGAATCTCATCGCGACAAAGCTGCCCAGAACAAGTGTGAACGACTTGTCGACATTCTCGAATCACAGCCATACGTTGGGACACTTGTTCAAACGTTAGAAATCAGCGAAGTACGGAAGTACATGCTCCCATGGGTCGCCAAGGCGTCTGTGACCACGCTACCCTCCATACTTTCCCGGCTCGTAAACCTTCAACATCTTACCCTGAAAGGCTCTGGCCAGCCTTTTCAATGGGGAAAGCTTTCTCCTCTATTCAGAAAGCTACTCCTCGAACTTTCGCCACGATTGAAGACACTCTACATCCGCGGCATTGCTTGCGAGAACATGAAGGAGTTGGGGCAGGTCGTCAACTTGTTCTCCATCGGTCGGCTCTTGCAACACATGTCTCTGTGCCTCGTTCTAAAGGATGCATTTGTTGTTGGAGAACTCCCGCCGTCCTTTCCAAGAGCAAACCCTACCCTCGAAACACTCGCATTGAGTGATCACTCTGCGATCCTAACCAAACATATGTTGTTTCCGGCATCTGAATATGCCAATTTACGCATCCTCTCGCTCGCAAACGTGGCCTACACCCGTGTTTTTACGCTGTTAGAGAATTGGTCGCCGGACAATCGCATCGAGGAGCTCAATCTCTGGTTTTCATCATGTGGGTTCTTTTGCAGCTGCAGCACATCCTCTTTTACTAATGCGATAGCAGTGCCTTTCTACCTGACTGCACATTTTCTGGACCTCTCTGCTTTCACCGTCATGCGCATCTTTCGGGTTGCAGCTGACTTCTTCTCCATGGTCCTTAAAAATCTTGTCGAAGCATGCGTAACAGTGCCAACACTCGAAACTCTTGTTTGTGCAACTACTCATTGCATGTACTTTCCTAAACCATCCGACCATATCGGGTCGCAAGATCTGACATCGTGGGCCCCGTTCTGCGAGGCTGTACGCCACTCGACGATCAAGACAGTGGAGATGGTGATCCATAATCAGGATAAAAACTCGTGTGCGACCCGGAGGGAGGTGTTTAAAGAGGTTTTGCGTCAACTTGAAGCGCCGGACAATATCGTAGTCCGAGATGAGTTTCGTGCGTATCTTTTCCTGTCTTCAAAAGAAGTTGCTCACAAATTTTATCAGCTTTTGTGACTCTCCCCGCCTTTGAACAGGGGCACCCAGTCATGTGATAAGATAAAGGTTTACGGAATGCCAATGACGAGCATGAGAATCCTTGACTGTGGAGGTCCTCACCGATTGACATATTTTGCGCGACCACCATGGCCATTACACGGTTCTCCGTTGTTACTCTCATATTCTTCGTACTTTCCATCACTTTTGTGATATACCCCGTCGACATTCGTTTCCGGCAGCGTCGTTTATCCATAAACCTCACCACTGCACCTATCCTTGCCATCGCCATTCTGTGGGCTGCCCAATGTCTGGGCCCTGCTCAGGTATGAACTTGAAGCCACTAGCTCCAGAGCTTCCAGTTAAAGCGCATACAGATCCGGGATGGAATCGTTGGAACTGGTATGGATTGCCTGGCTTTTATGTTTGTCTTCTAAACAAATTTCAAGACGGCGTCAAACCCTACAACATCCTTATTTTGTTCTTCTCCCTTGCGTATATGGCGATAACCCTCGACATTAGTGGGGCACTGCAAGCAACGGCATTCTGGGTCTCTAATAAAGGCGGGACTAACGGAAGACGACTATACTTCTATTTTTACGTGATGCTCACGCTCTTGGGCATCTTGTTGGGCAACGATCCAGTCGTTCTCTCGGGGACTGTTTTTCTCGTGTACTACACCCACGCTGTCGACCTAGAGCCATTCCCATGGATTATGGCCGAGTTCGCTGCAGCGAATACTGCCAGTATGGTCCTTGTTGTCGGGAATTTGACCAACGTCGTTGTTTGTGAAGGCTTTTCAATCAACTTTGCCGCACTCACGCTCTACACAATCCTCGTTTTCCTTGCATGCACTGTCGTCTGCTACCTCGTGTTGGCCTACCAGTTCAGAGACGAGCGCCACGTACCCAAGCGGATGAAACCTATTCCCAAATTCGACGTCCGCGGCGCGATTCGGGACCCCGTGTCTGCAGCTGTCGGTACTGTCTTGCTCTTCTCGTGCATTGTGGTTATCATGGTCGTCAGCTTTTTCAAAGTGGATGTGTGGAAGATCACGTTGCCGTTTGCGGTAGCCAAGTTTTTATTTGATCTGGTATGGGACTACGGACGGTCGCACAAGAAGACGGGCTTAAAGACAAACCAAGAGGAGCCAAATAGAGACTTCGAAAAGAGAATAACGCCCGCAATTACGGAGCCTTCGAAGGGCACGCTCCTGCAAATGGATTATGCACTGGCATCGGTTAAAAGAACGTTTCCGACAGCTTGTACTGCCCTTCCACGGCTCCCATTTGCCCTGGCGCCATTCTCGTTCTCGCAGTTCATCCTTATCGAGGCGCTGGACCACCAAGGCTGGATTGATGTCTTCGGACACTGGTTGGCACGCACAACACGGGACCAGATCCATCCTACTATCTGGCTTGTCGGGGTCCTGGGGATAATATTGTGCAATGTGGCGGGCACAAATATCGGCGCAACCATCCTTCTTACCAAGATCGTCCGCGCAGCCTCGTTGTCGGCCAACACTACCCGTGCCGCGGGTATCGCACTCGCACTGACCAGCAACATCGGCGCAGTCAGTGCGACTTTCTCCGCCAGCTTGGCGGGCTTGTTGTGGCGGTCGATTTTGAAACAGAAGCAGAAGCAGATTGCGAAAGAAGAAGCTCGGCTGGCAAGGGAAAGCGGAAAAGAGGATGTAGCCTCGTTTGCTCAGAGGTTGGAGCTCAGCCAGAGTGCCTTTGCGCGGTGGAATGCGCTCCCGCTGCTCGTGATGACGGTTGCGGGCCTTGGTGTTGTTTCTTTGGAGATGCTGGTGCTGTATTAGAATTAGACTGCAAAGTTCGAAGAGCCTGAGAGGTCGATAACTTTGAGCATTCTTTACTAGTTCAAGTCCTTGTACTCAACTGTTCAAGATTCAAATTCGAAATCTTGGACTTGTCCATTCATTTTGCTTGAAAAGAACTGAAGGCCTTCACTCTTACATGTAGAATAGACAATTCAGTCCAACAGACTGCAAGTACGAAGTACATAGGTACTATGTAGTACTTTGGTATTTAGTCAAGTTGGTTCCAGGCTGCAAAATCAAGCAGCTTCTAGCGATATATGGATACACATGAAAACAAACTACTCCTCATAATCGCGGCTGGTCGCTGATATGGTCACAAAGAATGGTAAGTCAAAGCGGTCAGTCGCACAAAGGACCTTTGCTTTGTCCGAGTGCTGCTTGGAACACTTGCCACTATATAAGCCATGCGTGCCATTGCCGGAAGCCTCCTCCCGCATCTCTATCGTTTTGTCATGGCTGGTCCCACTCCCACAAATGTCTCCTACTTTGCTCTTGCTATCATCACTCTCGCTCTTATTTTACTACCTCTACACTCCCAATTTCGAGCGTGGAACACGGGAACGGTGGTTCTCATGCTCTGGATCGCAACAAGCTGCTTACACGGCGCCATCAACGCGCGAATATGGAACAGTGATGACAACGCGGGGAACTTCGCGCCCGCCTTCTGTGAAATTTGTGAGCAGGTTCCTCTTAATTTTCCTCTGTCGCTCACCATTCTTCACGGACAGCGGTCCAATTGACTAAGATGATCGAATTTGGGATACCCACAGCAGCATTGGCTGTTAATCGCCGCCTTTATGTCATCTTCCGCATTCCACCATCGAAATCACAACTCCTGCAATCTCCAGCTCGCAGACGCAACATGATCTTGGTTGATTTAGCCATTTGTCTGCTGCCCCTTGTTCCCTATATCGCTTTGCCCTTCGCTGCCCAGGTCAATTCGCCGCGACGCTTTGACATTCTGGCCACTGTAGGTTGCATACCAGCATTCGAGGATAACAGGCCCAATTACGTCATGAGGTATGGCGTCCAAGGGCTTGTTATTTTTGCGGCGTTGGGTTACGGCCTACTTTCTGCCAAAGCCGCTGCCCGCGGCGGCGCGAGTCCTCGAATCTTCATCAACGATGCTGCAGCACAACATCGTGATCTAAGCTTTTGGCGTTATGTTCGGACCACTATTTTCGCTAGCGGAGGACTAATCGCATGCGTCCTCCCGTCAACATGTCTTGCCGTTGCAGCCCTTCCAACGCTTGCAGCAGTTGCTGGAGTTCGACATGGTCAAGTCAAACTCGAGGACTGGACTGCCAGCTTTACGGCCCAGACATCAGTGGAATTTGCCCGATGGTCGATGGGGCCAGTCTACGCGCTTTTCGCCTTCGCTCTTTTGGGGACTGGGAAAGACGCTTGGCTCTGCTATTCCAGGTTGTATAGCGCGATGCGATTTCCCCGCCGTTCGAGCAGCACAACAGTGGGAGTCAGCAACATCGAGTTGCCAACCATTCCTGGACTGTCGATCCCGCCCAAGGTTCAATATGGAACCAGCCGTCCTCTCTCCTTGAGCGGCCCATCGACAACAATCTTCGTGGGAGATCTGGGAAGAAAAGTGCCGGAATTCCGGAGCAGCTTAGGCACGTATTCGAGTCACGACGAGTCCGAGTATAACGTCTCCAGCAACTCGAGCATGGAAAGTGGTAAATTTGGGCACGGACGGGAAAAGGATGTCGCAGTTCTTGATTGGAGGGAAAAGAATTTCCCTGAAAGAGCTGAAAGTCCAATCGGTGGACCAACAATGCTGCCAACTGTTCTTCCTCTACGGATTACGAGGACTGGGAGAGTTGGTGCGAATCATCCCCAGCAGATACCAGCGGCGTTGGTAGGAAGAAAAATTGCGTGAACGTTGTAAAAGAGGTTGTGCTGTGGATGGCCCTTTGTATTTGGACCTCGAGTTTAGACTGAATCTTTTCTGGTTGACATGGAAGGTTATGTTTGGTGGCAAGCCGCTGCCCGCACGAAGCAATAAGATATCGAGAAGGAAGCTGCTTAGTCATCGTCCTCCTTGTTTCGTCCATCATGCACAAACGAAATCCATATCGCCAACCACCGGACTTTACCCAGCTCGCTCAAGCATACCCTCCGTTAAAATCTTGGTTCGCACCCTTGTATTTCTAGCTCCAGTGTTAACGCGAACCGCAGCGTGATCAAACAAGGAGCGAACGTCTCAATTGACTTCAAAAACGAAGTCTCGCAAAGGTACTAGTCAATTGTCCTGCTTAGCCTAATCCTCATGCGTCACAGGCGTCTTACAGAGGCACTCTTACACCGTGACTTTGGCCTGAGTTTGGAGCTTCCCCCGAACCGTCTCTGTCCACCGGTAGTCGCTTGAGTAAAAGCGTCCGTCGACGTCTAAAATCGATTCACAGGTACCCAATAGGTGGGTTCTGCATACTCTAAGGCCGCAGTGTTAACCGCCTCAAAGGCTCAATTATGTGCTTTGGGTCGAAGACATCGTGCAAGCTCACGAGCATGGTCAAGTCTGTGGCTTAGATATGTAAATGACCTTCTCTTTATTTCTGCAACTCGACTTATGCAGACAGAGGAACTGGCGCGTCCGTCATATACCCGCTCCTTGCCTGTAAGACGAACGCAGATTGGTGTTTCATCGCCACAGGTGTGTTTGTTGGTTGTCTTCAATTTTCTCTGATATCTTATAACCAAGCAGACATTGACGCGCTATCCCTCAGTGTCGCTCGACAAAACATCACAGCCAATAATATGCAAGATCGTATTCGACTTGTCGAAAGTACACTTGAAGGGCCGATATTTGGCCCACTCCTGCATGACCCCACTCTAACGTAAATTCTTTTTTTTTCCTGTACAAGGCTAATTTCTCCTCCAGAATAACATTCACCATGTGCAATCCACCTTTCTACAGCAGTCATGCTGATGTCCAAGTCTCGGCAGCGGCCAAAGAGTTCGAACCTTATGCGGTTTGTACTGGCGCAGACGTCGAAATGATCACAGCTGGAGGGGAGTCTGCCTTCGTTCGGAAGATGGTGGAGGAGAGCATTCACATTGGGACCCGATGTCGGTGAGTTGGCCAGTTTTTTCCCCCCTTTCGTGTCGTCAACTTCAATCCAGATGGTATACCTCTATGCTCGGGAAACTTTCGTCGCTTTCTCAAGTAGTTGAAGCTCTACGATTACACTCCGTCCGTCTTCGACGTAGTCCATTGTCCATTCTGATATTGAGCAGATAGACAACTACGCTATTACCGAATTCGTGCAAGGAACCACGCGAAGATGGGCCATAGCGTGGTCTCTTGGTCCTCTGCGCCTTCCCGATGTACGTCCAGCATTGGCTGAGATTTTACACTTGCTGAGCAAGCTATAGCCATTAGCCCGAATATCGTCGCACCAAGTCCACGCGTTAATACCTTCTCGCAACACACTTTATCAGCCGTTTACCGGCATACAAGAGGCGGAAAGGGTGAAATGGAACCATGTGTTGCACGCTGAATTGGTGCGAGTCGACGGGACAACTGTCTCCGTTTATGGTGATGGAGCCTGTTTGGTGTCTGCTGCTAAAAACACTTGGTCCAGAAGCGCACGGAGGAAACAAAAGCAGAGTGACGACACTGAGATGACGGATGTGGACCCAGAACTTCGATGTACTGTTCGTTGGCTATTCGAGGAAATGGGAACACGGTTGGAACACCAATGGGTGGAAGGAAGAGATCGACAACTCTTCGAGAGTTTTGCTGGTCATGTCAATAGGAAGGTGGTTGAGGCGATAAGGTTGGGTAGCCATTAGGTACGAATAACGCATCCCGAACTCCAACAGAGTCTTCCATGCTCAAAAGGCAAAATAGTCGAACGAACTGAGCTGCCGGATGACCTTCGATGATGAACACACAATATAAGGGATAAAATCGGGATTCACAGTTTTTGCTGTCAGTGCATGTCACGTAAGCAGGCACCGATCCGTCGGCACTGCTTTTGATCAAATGTCCATTTGTGCAGAAATGGGGGCGGCCTCTTGGCCTTTGGCCGGCCTCCGCAACTTTGCGGCATCGACATTATTTGCAAACTTGAACATGACTCCAACGACCATATATCAACCCAAAGACAGGGGACCTTTCATCGGACTTTTCCCTCGTTCACCATGTCGAATCCTTTACCACAAGAATTGCTTGACTCCATCGTCGACTTTGTCCCATCCCATGAATACCAAACTTTGGCGTCGTGCTCTTTGGCATTTCGTGGTCTAGCTACCCCCGCTCGTCCGCGTCAATTCCATACTATCACTTTGATGCATGGACCACCAGGGCGTTCCAAGGCACGACGTTCACAAATAACCCCCTCCCAAAAGTTCTCGGCTCTACTTGAACGCTCCCCAGACATCGCGAAGCTCATTAAGACCCTCAATATCATTGATGGTGAGGATGAACGCTACTGGACTACGAATCGGAATGCGGGTCGAGCCCTGGCCATGGTCATACCCCTTCTTACCGCGCTCGAAAACCTATCTTTCCGGGTGGAAGGTCGTACCCTCACGCGATGGAGCGCGCTGGCCGCTGGTGTCAAGGCCGCCCTTAAAGATATCGCGCCACAGCTGCAGGGTATCCATTTCTGCGGACTCATCTTCGACTCTGCCCCGGCGGTGAAAGAGATTTTCACCATCCTACAAGCATCCATGCCGAGTAGGTTGAAGGAGCTGTCTCTATCATTCGAAGCGGACGGTCCTCCCCTCGGAGAAATTAGAACAGAAACTGGCGAAAACTGGCGACTCCAGCTGCAGTCTCTCGTCTTCTCAGATCACGAAATAGGCGGACAAATGACTAATTTTGTCACAAAAGTCGTCGACCTTTCTTGCCTCCGCTCCCTGTCTTTCAGCGGCCTTGCAGAGGAAGAGCTTGACGTGTTCTTCCGCGCACTCCCCCCAGCCAATGTCATCGAAGAGTTCACTGTTTGGTTTATATCTGGTTCGTGGTGTTTTTTTCCCTTCACATGAACGTTTACCCTTGTGAACGAACAGACTATCTTCCCCCGCAAGGACCGCCCAATTTCGCGACCCATTTCCCGCGACTACGTCGCTTATATCTCTCAGCTTTCTTTCCTCTTGCAGTCTTTCGTGGTGTCTTGGAAAACTGTCTGTCAATCCCAACCCTCTCCCTCGATTCTATCACCTGCGAGTCACCCCATTTCCAGTTCCTCTTCGATGGGACACAGGCCGATGAACAAGCCGAATGGCAGCGTTTCGTAGAAGTCCTAAAACGCTTTCCGAAATCGGTGCAAGGAATGCAATTTGGAATCAGCAGTTGGTTGACGAACACTAAGCCTGCCGTTGAGTGCTCTCGACGTGTCGCCTCTATCGTCGACCATCTTGATGCCAGCCATTTGCTTCGAGTCGAAACGGTCTTGCGTGCGTAGTCTCTTTCGCGCCAAGTAATCACTGACCGTTCTGGCAGCGCATGCCCTCATCCATTCGTTTTATACCCCGAAAGCTGAACAGTAGTCATACATCTATATCTGCCCACCGCACCATGTTTCCCTTTTCTACTTGTTCAATCCATCTGTCGACCTTCTTGATCCATAAGCCCGCATTGCACTGGAGCAGGGCTTCATAAAAGTCTTGCTTCATGTCATTTTCCTCAAGGGGAAATGCTGCCCGATAAACCTTCTTCAATTGTGTCACGTCGTACTCCATCTGATGTATCCAGTACAATTCGTTCTTGCCCTCGTTGTCCAGCTCTGCCGATACAAACTCGGGGTCCTCGTCTTCGTTACCGTACTCATCTCGTTGCGGCTCCTCCTCCCGCGCGCCGTCCCTGACAAATGCAGGCAATTTTGTGGCCATCCAAAGCGGCAACGCGGACACGCATTCCCAGTCTACGATGGCGGTAATAACTCCAGCATCATTAACGAGAATGTTGCTCAAATTGAGGTCGTCGTGCCAGAGCACCGTCGACTCGTGATCCGATGGCTCGAATATCTTCGGGAGAAGCGAAAGGAGGTGTTCCGCTGTCCTCAGTATTTCCATCGCATCCTCACGGTCATCGTCATCATCGGCTTTGTTGGCGACGTCTGTTTGCTCGGAGATAAGGAGTTTCAGCAGAGACTCGAGCCAGTCATGACTGCAACGAAAGGGCCCTCGCGGCACGTCATATGGGAGGCGATTACCCATGAAAAATTCATGTGAAACGACTGGTCCAGGAACATCTTCTGAATGAAGCGTTCCGATACCAGTGAAGCGACGAGAGAAGAGCTGGGCTTGATATTTTGCGATGTCTTCGACAAACGAGGTCTTCTGCGTCAGGGTCATTTTCCGCCATCGTTTGTTTGCTGGCTGACCAAGCACAAGTTGCATGAGAATCCATTCGAAGCCGATTTCATTCTTGTTTGTCGAATCGAAAGCAACAACTTTTGGAACCGGTATCTCGGTGTTTTTGTGCACCCACTGCAATGTGGCGACCTCCCCGAGCGTCTTTTGGGAGGGATATACCGGTAATGAGACGCGCATCAACAGGTTGTCGCCAGGAGTGGAGATCAAATAGAGCTTGTTGAATGCCCCGGAGGCATAGAATGATACTGCACAGGGGGATTCAGGCCCTAGAGCCAGGTGTCGACGACAAACAATTTCGATTGCAGTTATTGATGGCTCACGGGTCCAGAGCGGAATGAGTTGGAGGCCGCTATCATCCCACTCTAACCCATCCTGACTGTCGGAGGTCATGCTGAGGAAGCGAGAGAGAGGGGGAAATGACGGTCGACGTGGTTAAAGGGTAAGATGGATTCATAACTGTCACATGCATGCATGCACCTCCAATTACTGGTTCACATTTTAATCGTTCAAATGTAGTCCACTTCTTCATTGGCATATAATAGAGACGGGATATACTGCACTCAAGGCCACTTCACTTCGAGTTGGAACTATTTCGCGACTCCACTGAACTCCTCGATGATTAAATCTTGACTTTACTCTTCAAGTCGGCTCTGATCTCCTCCGGGGTCCTATTTTGGTCGTCACACTCTCCCCCTCTCAGACCAAATTCACAGTCTGACTGCGGGAGACAACCGGGGTCCATGGGTCGTCCGACGGGACTAAAGTCGGGCCCGCGACAGTTGCTGGTGCAATCTTCTTCAACGTAGTTTCCGTTGTCCCTTTGTTGACCTGAACTTGCAAGTTGTGTTTAGCAGGCGTAACGACGACCTCCTTGCCATTCTCCTTCTTCGTCTCTGCCTTCGTCATCTAAGAAATCTGTGTAAGTACGTGTTGGTGGACCGTTTTGAACATACGCCTTGCATGTCAAGTCGGAAATTGGTGTCCTTGTAAAGGGTTCCAGCAGTGGTCGGCAGCCCTTCGAGCTTGTCATCCGGTATAGAGTCGATGAATTCGTTGAGCGCCTTTGATGCTCTCCCCATGGCTCGAGCTGTAATCGCGGTGGGAGTACGACGAGGGAAAACTTGACAGGATAGGCGCCATTATAAGGTTCCCAACCAAGCCAACTGCCAGCTTGCCTTCCATCTACGCTGTGGTCCGCAGGAAAAAATAGTCGACTTCTAGTTGCTGTTTCTTCGAGCCAATCCGAGTCACATTTCCAGAAAATCGGTGCTACAGTACTGCGATGATCAGCGATATCGAAAGAGTCAGGAATGGGTGCAGGACGTACTCTCATTTCGAGTTCAACTTCATGACTGGGTCGTATATTATCTCGGTCCGAAAGTTATTGGGAGACTTGTTTCGGCAAGCCAAAGAAGTTTGATATGACCACCAATTGATTGAGCGTATTCGGCATGTGGTTGTTCTCGATAGAGAGCCTCTGGGCATGGAAGACCATCCAGTTTTTCAAAGCGAGAGAAGTGAGAGAAAATTGTGTATCACATGATCTGGAGTTGCTTATTCACGACCTACAACTTGAAGAGTTCGATCACTGGCCAAGAATCGCTTCCAGCCTCAGGAAAGAAATTTGCTCCCCGCCACATCTGCCTGCATCGTCTCTGTTACTAGTACGCGACAGCACTGCACAGTGCAGGGCAAGCTCTTTGCAGAGTCTGCACTTCCTCCCTCCTCAATTAAGTTTTCGCCTCACTTTGGCGTAATGAGCGGTGAGATTACAAGTACAAGGAGCAACTACGGATACATAAAGTCAAATACAAACGGTGCGTCGTTCACGCCCCCAAAAAAGAGTGCTAATTATTGTTTTTTTTGTTCTAGAAGTGAGCCTCTGCTACCACTCCGCTGGCAGGGTCTGGAAATATCCAACATGATATTGATCCCCTTCCCAAATGACCCAGTCGTCATTATAACGGCCATCCAATTCAAACCCCGTCAGACGCGTATGGTCCCACCTTGTCCGTAATGGTGGTCCGAGACGTATTCGACCTGTGTACTCGTCTCTCCAAGTGTAAATGCGGAAGCTCCCATCTTCATTTTCCTGCGAACCAGTGAACGGCTGGTGGCGGGTCAAGCAACCTTTGTCCCAGTCTGCCGTGGCTACTTCTGGGGGTCCGTGAAACGGCGGCGGCCAAACTGCTGGAGATGCGGCAGCCTTGTACGTGGCTATCTGGAGCGAGATGTGTTTGGATGATGGTGGCGGGACTACAGGGCCGATTTTAGATGACCAACCAGGAGATCCTCGTCGTTCAGCAGGCAACCGAGCGGTTTGCGGGGGAGCAGGGGCCACATGCGCTGTGGTATCCTGGCTTACCAGGTCGTTCATTTCTAGCGACAACGGCAAAACAAGAGCCGGAGGACGGCGATGCTGGTGGATGAATTGGCGGGCACCATTCGCGACTCCGTTTGTCAGGCGTTGATATGCGCTGAATGGCTGTTTTCCTAACCCAAGCAGCCCAACGGCGAAATAGGCGAACACGGGTCCCTGTGTCCAGCGACTATATTCAAGTGCGATTTGAACTGCGGAATTGGCGTTCCAAATCTCGCCAGGGACCATCGCCCCGTTAGCCGCGTTGATGAAAGTTTCGCGCGTTCGGAGGGTCACAATGTTGAGAAGAATCGATGGCGCAAAGGCCACCAGAAGACCACCATTGACAAAGGCAACGGTTTTGAAATATTGGTGCTGGTCCAACCCTGTGTACTCCGCGAACCATTGCTGGATCTTTTCTTTTTGCGCGACCGCCGTGACTACTGCGAGCAAAGCGTAGTGGAAAGCCCACAGAACGACGATTATTGGAGGACCATATATGATGATATATGTCGAACTGTTGCTCGACAAGGCGGGGACACAGCCAATGCCTTCGAAGACCGCGAACTTGCGTTTCTGATAAAAATTCGGGAGGATTGCAAGATAAACGAGTGGGAGGATGCAATGTGCGAGGTCAACGACGACCATTCTTCGCCTGGCTCTTAGTGGCACGGTCAACCCTTGTGCCGCGCCGCTCAGAATGGTATATAAGCGGCGATTTATCGCGAGCGCGGCGCTTGGGACACCAATCATGGCGGCTTGGTTGAAAACCATGGCTGCCAAACAAATTAGTGAACGAGCAGCTGGGACAAAGAATTGACGCACAAGTTGTGCAGAAGGTGGACGTGAAGACTTCGGCTCTCGCGTTGACAACTCCATTGAGGCAGGCCACGAATATCCAGGCAAGGAGGACGAGTGTCGCAGTATTCCAAGCATACAATGACGCGCAGACCGGGAAGATCAACGAAGCCATGGCACCCGACGACAGCCCAGTATAGAGCGCCATGTATGATGAAATGCCGGTGGATGTGGTTGGGTTGGAGTTCAAGTTGTTCACGTGCGGCGTGACGGGCCGAACAAAGGAGAACGCTGCACAATGGATGGCTGATTATGCTATACTCTCTTGAGCTTCATCGAAAGTCCCCGTCTGAAAACGAAACACCCATTTCTCTTGCGCTGGCCGAATCTCATCTTCCCCCCATTTCAACTGGAGCGTTTGTCCGTAACGCCATTCGAACCGTTCTGCCGTCTTAGGATTAGTTTTTCGAAGCCGTTGCCCTCGACGGAATGACTAACCACCAATCAATATGTACCCGTCGCCCTCCAATACAACCTTCTTCTGCTCAATCGGATTGGTCAGATTCTGGAACACAATCGCTTCAACAGCGGTCTGCAAAGCTCAACTGACGCGTCGATTTCACCGTCAATTGCTCACCGTGATGTCTTGTTGGGAATTGCAGAACACTGCGACCTCTTCACGCGTCGGGTATCTTGTTTGACGCGTCAATTTGTAAAGGTAGCAAATCGACAACTTGAAGAAGATACCTCTGCAACGGTTTAACGAACACTTGTACGACCGTTGACACGTTGAGCGTGTTTTGCTGTGGGAAGAACAATAGTTTGGCCTCTCTCAAACGCAGAGAGTGTGGTTCGTCTACGTTCTTTGGTGTGATCATTAGAGGCGAAGCGAAGCGAAGTCTGGTCTGGTGACGTCATTGATTGGAATACAGACGATAGGTAGTATAGTAGTACGTGTAGTTAGCGAACGAAGAGCGAGCGTTTGTTTCCGAAAGCGTGTGCGTAATTGAATAACTTACAACTTGTCCATTGAAACAATTCTCCAAAGGTGTCCATGATATGTGCATATTGTCCATCGGGCACTCAACTCCAGAAAGCCCACCACCTCTTCTTCCGCTTCGACAGCTCGGTCAAGTCTGGAGAACTACGTCCCCGCCTGTTTTTGGGGCTGAGTTTGAAGTCGTCAGCGGTATTTCCGCCAAAGAATCGGCTTCCTCGAGAGCCCCATGTCCGTGTGGTAGCAGGAGACCGGAAGGATGATGGTGGGGCTTTAGGAATGACAATCGGGCTTGGCTGTGTGGCCTTGACCTGCGCTGTAGGAGCACTATCAGATCTCCGTCGGCCACTGGGACTCCGCAAAAGCGGTGGTTCCACAACCGGAAAAACAGCTGGCTGTCCGCTCGCCCGTCTCGGTTTCTTACTTTGTGGTGATGTTTGCGGCGAATGAGAAGGTGTTCGGCTTTGTGGTTGCTCGACAGCCGGCTCGCCTTCATCTTCGCCACTACCATTTCGACTCTCTGGCGGAGTGGGCAGCCCGAACGGTGTTTTGTCGAGTTCATCTTCCCCATCTGATTCCTCGTCCTTCTCGACGACAACACTGGCAATCCAGCGGCCTGATCTTACACCTTCTTCACGTCGTTTCCCTTTGACATCAGGAATGGAGGATTTCTCTGTCTCGAGAGCGCCAACCAGGATGCTTTCCAACGCATCTACAGTTGACGAAATTGCACGTTCGGCAACGACATACGCTTGAGGCTTCATGGGCGGCCTAGCTCCGGACGGTGAAGTTGCGGAAGGCGAATAGCTTTCCAGGAAGGCTCCCAAGGCATTGGAAAGCTTGGCGCTGCGATAACTGGCAGGAAGAATGTGTACGATATGGGCACTTGTTCGGGGTGCGAAAGAAGCAACACCGTAAAGCGAGCCTCGCGGGCTGCCCGGCATGCTTTTACTTGTCTGGAAAAACGAGCGTGATGGAGACGACGGCCTTTTGGTGTTGGCCATGGATTCCGTCGCGCCGCCAATAATAGACCCCGCACGACTCGCACTTCTACTCGGTCCCATCCCACTACTGACGCTTCCGCGTCGGCTACCCGGGAGGCTGCCGATATACGAGTAGGAAGTGGTTGCGCTCGCATTAGGGCTGGTGGCGAATGACGGACCCGAGAGGAAGCTCGCTGCTAGTGTGCTAACAAGCACGACATGTTTCAAGACTCCCTTCTCGGGTTGAGCGGCGGGTAAAAAGGATATTAGTGCGTCGAATGCACGTGTGCCATCGTTTATGGGAGCTTTTGATGACATCCGTTTGGAAGAAGTAGACAGTCGTTTAGAATTGGGTTGCTGAACTGAAAGTCGACTGGATGATGTTTTCTTGTTCAGGGATGTTGAAGAGGAGAAAAAGAAGCCGCTGCGAACGGAGTTGGACGTGGTAGACGCGACAGAAAGAGCGGATGGTGGTCTAAGGCGACCGGGTGGATATGGACTATTATTGCTGCTAACCGGTGCTAGGGTAGATCCACGTTTAGCTTTGCTTGGGCTCTGAATGTAGTCGTTTGACAATGTGGGTGAAGGATTTCCTGGGTCAGTTAATGGCTCCACAATGGAAAACGATCCATTAGAAGCTTGTCCGAGCTGCGCAATATCTGGTTTGGAGCCGGGAAGAGGAGGAGAAACAACGACTTGGGCTCGCCAAGCACGCGCGACGTTAGCGGCAGCTTCAAGAATGGCTACGAGAGCAAGCGCAAAAGCTGGGGAGGCCGGCGCGAGTTGTTCTGATAGATGGAGAACTCGGATTGCCGCATGGCGATTTGAAGAGCTACCAGCAGCAGCGACAAGAGAGCTTCGAGTGGGAGGTGAATGGGTGACGAGCAAAAGAAGACTGTGGTCAAAGGTCGATGAGCGCAAAAGTGGCGCCAACGCGTGTGGACTTGGTGCTATGAGAGAGTCGATATAATCGAAATAAAAGCAAGTATAGATAGCTCACCTCCAAGAACGAGAAGAACGTTGGGTCCCAGTGTGAAGGCATGGCTGAGGGAAGCGAGGTCATGGGCAATCCACGGTGTGTCCGGATTCATCACAGGCCCACGCTCCACATGTGGCTGTCGGTTATCTTGAGGAGTAAAGGGATCGAGGGGAAGTCGGGGGCGAAAGACATCTGAGGCTGTTGGGCGACGTGTCTCTGTTGGTGAGGACATGGTCGTGAGCAGCAAACGAGGCTTGGCCTGACAAAAATGCCAGTTATGCACGTCATATCACGTAAGACATCAATCGCGCTTCCGCCAAGAAATCTTTGTCTGATGGCTACTTGACATCATCGTCTGCGTTTGTGCGGTCACCAGTTACCAGTCGACGACGAGCAGGTACTTGCTGTGAGAGGGTAACATAGCATCGCGTCAAGTAATGCAAAGGCTCAAGTTGATCTCACAGACAATTGCCTATCCACATTCTGACTTTTTACAAGTCAATCACCTCCATGCGTTATGTCTACTTTTAAGTGTGATACGACACACCCAACGGCCACTAAGGACCAATTTGAACGCTCCGCCATAGATCACTGCGGAATTCGACCTTTCCATGCATTAGCTAACGACCAATCTTGTCGTCAACACATACATAGTAAGTAGCGACATACGCTTCGATTCTGCATCTCAACCAAGATCACAAGGCCCTGGACCATCGCAACTGGTATCATGCCATAACCCTTGGGTATTGCTCTGGCGTCGACGAGACTACAGTAAGACTAGTATAAGTAGCTTTGGCCTTGTCAACCCCAGCTTGTGTCCGGCGGCCTTCAGCGCCGAACATCAAAACGACCAAATTTCTCCGAGTCCGTTGAACCGATTATCCTAGCAAGCGGGCCACTTATCCAATGATGACGAACTGCGGTCCAATAGACCGACAAGCTACCAGCCCGCTCTCAATCGACACAGACCGTTGTAATAACCGCTTCCGAGTCAAAATTGCAAGCTTTCTCAACTTTAAACAACCGCAAGTTTAGAACTACACTAGCCGTGCTACATCCACATCGGGGAAGATCCCCGCAACCTCTCGGAAACAAACGCCGACTCGGACCATCAACTGCGTTGTTCGACAGAGACAATTGCCAATTCTAAACTTCAAAGCACTGGCCTGCATGACTTTCTATGTGTCGCCGCTAAGTAATCACAGCTCTTTCGGAGGCCCAGTAAAGTTGCACTATTTTCTTTTTATCCACTTCTGACTTAGATTGCAGGTCGTCACAGATGGTAACAAACACTTGTGGCTAAGGTATGCAATTTACATTCACATAGATTGGTAACTTAGATAATGCAGTCCGGCCCTGAGCCCCATGCAGTCGTATAAGTAAGTTGTGGTCCGTGAGGGATAAACATATGCTAGTCGGAAGAGAAACAAGGTGAGGACAGGCACACACACATGAGAGAATTGTCATAACGCTTGGCCAGCGCTACCAAACGAGTCCCCTCCGGCACTCGTTCTCCGCGGATGTCCCGGACGGTGATCTGGGTTACGGCCTTGGGAGTAATAATTTTCGCGCTCGTCTGTTGCTGTGAGTCCAGAAAGCGACCTTTCACGCGCAAAAGACGTGATGCTGTCTCGATGTCTGGCGGTGCCGATGCCAGCCATCGACAAAGGGCGTTGCTCAGGCTCAGAAACGCGGCCATCTTCGTCTTGGAGGAAGGGAACAGCAGCACCAGAGCTGGATGACGGTATGCGCTCTATTGCCCGCTGGTTCAAAAGCGGAGCATGGTCTTGTGGTGAGAGAGGAAGAGGTGTGACTGGTTCGGCCTCCTGTTGTGGATGCAGCGCCAGAGTCTGCACAACATCGTGGTGGTCCTTTCCTTCTGGAATCGCATCGATCTGGGTCTGGTCCGTACTTACGGTACGCAACGACTGCATATACCGTTGTTGTTTCGGCACATCGTCATCGGCCGGAAGGGAGTCATCATCTCTCGAAACATCACGATATGTCCCCGACATCTTTTTGTCTCCCAAATCATACTCCCCAGCCGCCCGCAATCCTTCTCCGCCGTTTCGCTTGAGATGCCTCCTCACAATGAACCATCTCAAAGCGAACAGTAGCACACACAACCCCGCGAAACTACCCAGACCAACCAAAACAGCAATGCCGACGTTGTGAATGCCCTTTTTGCCACCCCCTGAGGGGGTCGTGGTTCCGTGACCACCCAAAGGCTGGTTTAATACCCGAACACGATGGAACTCGTCTATCGCAACAATCGGGTCGGTTAAGCTTAATAGTCCCAGTCGAGGACGGATGGGACGCGATAAACTAGCCGCATTGCTTGTGTTGCTCGCACTGGCAAAGGGCGGGAAGGTGCCGTTGGTTGCAGGAACGTCATAAGCCATGACCGTGTAAACGTTTCGCATGAACGGGACACCAAGCACCATGTCGCCAATGCCAGATGTAGGATTGCGCAGTGTGGCATCTGCGCTCGTTTGGATGAGGCCGATACAGCTCGAGGGATTGGCGGAGTTGACCGGTGGGAGGGCGGAGAGGTCAAGGGGGTGTAATGGGATTTCTTCGCGAGAATCGAGGGTGAATGTCATGTTGAGTGGTGTCGTACAAGGAATATAGTCTAATTAGGGGTTACTCCCAACACAAAAATAGGATGAAAAAAACGCACAAAATCCATCCTGAGCCCGCTGTATTGAAAGTGCGCCATAAATAGCATCAGCTATTGCTGTAGTCGTGAGAATTACAGGCATTCCGGTGTCGAGCACGGCGCTAGGGTACACGGTTCCACTCACACCTCGCCCCAGAGTAATTGGGGTCCGGGAATTGCTTGTGTAGACGGTGATTCCGTGGACACCGGATTTCCAGAATAAAGGGCCGTTGGTCGTTGGCCCATAGAGCATTTCATAGGATATCTTGGACGGATCAGATACCAGTGCGGCAGGGTGTCGGCCAATTCCCAAAATACTTGGGACTTTGTCGCTGCCGGGTCGTTCGAGGGCAACGGAGAGGAATGGAGAGGACGGAGCTACTCCGTTCGGCGTTATTGAGAGCAGATTGGAGGCCCAAACAGCCCCGTCTGGGGCATCTCCGGTTTGAGGACGAATATGGTCAGCGATGATGGAGTTGCCAGGTAAGGCCAGACCAAGGATCCCTGAAAATCTTGATTCGAGAGGTTCAGAGTCGACCTTGTTGGCAGCAGCAAGTGCCTGGTTGGATATGCTATAACCGCCGACGGTAACTGTGTCCCAGTAAACGGGCCCAGACACACTCCCCACGAGGTAGGTGATGTTGAAATCGGCGGGGGCAGGGGTGCCGGTTATTGAAGGGTCATAACGAGGAGTTGAGCTGCACGCAGAGGAGCTGCAGGCCGTAGACGCAATCCACTACGATGATGAGCTGTGATAACCTTCTGAGATTATAGGCGCACCAAGTCAGATGAACCAGTGTCAACTTGCAATGAAAAGTTTTTCGGTTTTTTATCGAGGTCCCCAACAAGGACGGGCAATGTGTATGCTCTGCAAACCGTCAGAAAATATGTCGTGAAATTACGGTAGAAGACACGAAATTCCTCCACTGTCGGTTGCGCGCTTCACAGCCACCCCCGCACGTTCCGCAACTGCCAATGCAATCCAAAGAAGAAGAGTTTTTCAAACAGACGTACATATTGTACGGGCCGTCTTCCAGGTATTGCAATGGGAGGACAATCCCTTCAGACCCCCCACCCCCTTCCAATCCTCGGGTGCTCAGGGCGGAATGCCGTCGGGGAGTGTCTTGGATGGCCGCAGGATTCCTAGCCGTTGCTCGTGCTTTCCCTTTGGCCTGTCCGTTCAGGCCCAGCCCTACCATGATCCTTCCGCCTGGTCTGCTTGTTGAGACGGTGATTAAACGGGCCACGCAACCGCAGCGGAATGGTGCTGCCCGTCGTTTGGTAGGGAAGGTGGCGGGTCACGCAGAAACGGGGAAAGGAGAGCCGCCAGACCACCCACTGAAGAGGCAAGCGCTCAACAGTGCGGTTCCGGCGTTATGAAGCCGTGGATCGAGACTTTGAAATCCAAGTGCAAATTTAGACACACAGCCGAGCTGTCAAAGGGTATCCTGACAAAGGGATCACCCGAAGTCTAGGCAAGAAGGATATAGGCCGGAAGAAAGCAGAGTTGTAGTTACAGTACTGGAGTAGCTAACGATCTGTGGGTTTACAATCTAAAGCTTATCCAAGAGCTTATCAGGCCTCTGAAAGATTGCTCGATGCTGGGGAAAGTGTTGGATTGCGAAAATCTACTCAGTGCAGATCAATGGTGATCGTGCATGCCTGCTCGTGCCGAGCAGCTATGTATTTTTGGTTGGTTCAACGACTTAGGTAGTACCGACACAGTTTCTGATTAAGTTAGAGGTGCAAGGAAGTGTTCATCTCCGAGTCAGGCACACTAGTATATAATCAGGCCTTGAAGTTATAGCGCAGAAATTCTTGAAGACCATCTCAAAGCCTCAGTCAAAGGGCCGAAGACACCGGCTCCGAGAGCTCACCCCGGATGTCGGTGTGAACATATTGCGCTGTTGGCCCTCGGGACAACAAAATTCCAGTCAAACGGTCTACGGCGGTAGGAAAGCCATACCCCGGGCCTTCCCAGGTCAGCCCGAAGAGATATGCGAAGCTCCCGTTGCCTGAGCGATTAATAATCCGTCGGATTGTGTAAGGTGTCTATTGGGCGACGAAAATATGCTCGAACATATAATCGGACGCGATACGGTTGCCGTAGTCCTTGGAACCTTTCGTTGTGTCGACTCTCGAGGAGTAAGTGTCATATTGACACACTGAACAAAGGAGCATAATAAACTCGGCAACGGCAGTCGACGACTAGGTGGTTGATTCTTTGTTGATTCTTTAGCTGACTGCGCTGACTGCACTTGCCCTAAGATTAGACGAGAGCCTCCAGTCAACAGTTAGAAGGGGGGCAAGCAGTATGTCGGGCAGTGCATTGACAAAGTTGATGTCCCGGTGATGTTCTTGAATCTGGGCAGGGGTTAAGGAGGACACTTGCAGTGACAGTGCAATATAGGACGGCATATGGAAGGATGCATGTTGGCCATGCCAACACGTTGCAATGAGGGTGAAGATTGAAACAGCCAGTATCGTGCGAACTTTTCAAGTGTCAATCGGGTCCCATCAATTTGCATCACCACTCGCGGAGCGGTCTTTGTCCCCAATTTGTCGCCAACGGTGACCATCTCTTCCTTTTGCGCATCCACCTCCATATTTTTTCGTTTTCCACCCGCCTCCATCCGTTGTGAACCCTTCCCCTCGCCGTAGCCTGGGAAGAAAACATCCGCGGCTTGCTCAGCAAAAGCACGTCAGCCACCCACCCACACATCGACTTCGACGATGGGCAACTGTGGCTCCCAGGAGGACCGCTCTGGCAAAGAACGCAGCGATGCCATTGACCGACAACTCGAGGAGGATAGTAAAAAGTTCAAGAAAGAGGCGAAGATATTGCTACTTGGTGGGTCGTCCGTCTTTCATGGAGCAGGTCTTTGTCGGGGCGGGCGGCGCAGGACGTCTCCGTCTCAGCGTAGACTTCGGTCGAATGCTATGACGGGGAGTGACTGTCAATCCCGAGAGATCGTCGCCCGGCAATCGTTGACGCTGCAGTGGCTCTGTCCGCCCTCAGATAGCTAATGGTTCTTTCACAGGCAGCGGCGAGTCGGGCAAGTCAACCATTGTCAAACAGGTGCGTCGCTTTACCCTTCTCCTCCCGTATACTCTCTAAGCCCCCACTGAAGATGAAGATCATTCACCTTGACGGATACACACACGACGAGCTCGTCGCATACCGACCCACAATCCATAAGAACGTTCTCGATTCTGTCCAGACCGTCATTCTCGCCATGCGGAAAATCGGAGTCGACCCCGTACGGTTCTCCAATCGAGCTTTGACCGAGAAAGTCCTCGACGCCGCTTCTGCAACCGACACACCAGCATTCCTTTCACCCGAAATCGCAGACGCTATTCACCAGCTTATGCAAGACCCCATAATAACGAAGATTCTCGACGAGCATGCCAGCGAGTTCTACCTCATGGACAGCGCAAACTAGTGGGTCAACGAATGACCTCTTTCTTCTACGACTTATCTCCCTTGGCAGCTTCTTCACGGATGTACTCCGGATAGGCGCACCAGAGTATGTGCCAACGGAGACGGACGTGTTGCGGGCACGAGCCAAGACGACCGGCATCTCAGAAACGCGGTTTAACATGGGTCAACTAGCGTGAGTTTATGCGTTTGGTGTTGTCTGCTCCTGACCAACGACATGCAGTATTCATATGTTTGACGTTGGTGGACAGCGATCAGAACGAAAGAAGTGGATCCATTGCTTCGAGAGGTTCGCCTGTTCTGTTCCATCAATGTGGACGTTTATTCACGTCAATCTCCCAGCGTCACAAGCATCATCTTCTGCGCCGCTTTAAGCGAGTACGACCAAGTGCTGCTTGAAGCACAGACGCAGAATCGAATGCAAGAGTCGCTAGTTCTTTTCGACTCTGTGATCAACTCGCGGTGGTTCTTGCGGACATCAATCATCCTTTTCCTCAACAAGATCGATGTGTTCAAAGCAAAATTGCCCAAGGTGCCACTGAACAAGTACTTCCCGGAGTATATCGGCGGTTCCGATATCAACAATGCTGCGCGCTTCATTCTATGGCGATTCATGCAGGCCAACCGGGCAAGACTGAGCGTGTACCCACAGTCCGTTATCTCGTTCCCCTTGATGTCACAGCCCTAACATCCGTTGTAGCCTGACGCAAGCAACGGACACGTCGAATATACGACTGGTCTTCGCTGCGGTCAAGGAAACGATCCTACAGAACGCCTTGAAGGACTCTGGGATCTTATAATTTGTCTCGCTTGTTGTGTTAACTTTTTTATTTTTTCTCCCATCTGTGAGTCCTGAATTATTGCCGTTGACATTTCTGACCTTGATTAACATTTTTGGTATGGCAGGTTGTTTGTCGCTCGCATCTACCCTCATTTGTATCACCACCACCCCACATTGCATCTTCTCCCAGCGTAACCTTAACCCCCCTTGACCCCTCGCTCTCGCTTTTCCCTTCTTCCTGTTTCAAGTTTGCTACCTACGGATTTATACGATGAGATGAATGCATGCCCGCGTATTACATATAAAAATCACGTAATAGTTCTAACATCCTGGAAACTTTCATAGATCCTCTTGCCATAAAGAGCGTGCTTTGGGGGCTGACAAGTCACATTTTGTGCCAATTTTCAATTTGGGAAGAGGACTTCGAGTGCTACACAGAAAATTCAGGGTTAAGAGAGTACAGACAAGCCAAGAAATCTTATAGAGTAACCCATATGCAGTATAGTCCACCACCACAAATATCTGGAAACCGAGAGGGGGGAAGTGCCAAAGCCTCAGGGAATTGAACGAACAGACGATTTTCTTTCCTTGGTGGCATAGTCGGCGGCTGGAGCAGGGGAGTCTAAGCCTAACTGGCCGCTCAGAGGAATACCTGTGTGATCTATGACCCATCGCGCTGTTTGATTTTTGAAGGCATGCTGTTGGCAATTGCGCATGGTCTTGAGCTGCTGACATAGAACAGACCGAGCAGGTTTGAGCGCTAAGCTTTGAGTACTGAGTCTTATCCGTATGGGCGCCGTCAGAGCTTGAGGTTTGGAGAGTATGTCGTTGACTGTTTTTGGGCCGTACCGGTGATTTTTGGTCGATGTTGGGATGCGGGATAATGCTCAGGCAGTGCTCTATTCGTTGCAGAATATGAATGGCGGACGTTGTGCGCGCTTGCATACAGGTCAAAGCCTCGTTGATGAAGGAAACCATGGAGAACAGTGGCCTTATTCATCGCATCGTTGTTAAAGAGAGCGGTGCACGTGATCTGCAACAACTTGCTCTCAACTTGTCTCAACAAACCTGGCAATGGTCTTCTCTTCCCCCCTACACCATCCTCCACCTGAAGCGCTTATGTCCTCCGGATAACGAGAACCTCGGAAATACTCGGCGAATCATGACGACTCACCTGCGTCGAGTTGGAGAATTTAAACGCGGAGGTTTGACCTTTTTCGCGCCACCGAGGCGTCATAACCAGTGTCGCTATAGCCGCGTGCACCTTAGACCAATACAACGGCTGTTTATGGTCTCAGACTTTATCCGTTCCGTTGTCTACGATCCAGACATATCGATGGGTATAAATGCTCGAATCCTGCGCCTTGGCTATTCAACTCCCCTCGGAACTCAGAGGTTTCCTTAACTCCTTTGCGCAATAACGACCTCTAACGACTGACAAACAACGAAAAAAACAACTATGTACGCAATCAACTTAAAACTCGCCGGTCTCGCGGTGTTCCTCGCAACGAGCGGCATCGAGTCGGTGTCCGCCATCCCCAGGTACCCCTCCTTTTCTCTTCTCCAGTTTGGCCCGGTCGTTCTCATCTCCTTCCTTTTCCAGAGCAAAGGATATCTTTGCACGGCAAACATCGTGCCCTTCAGGCAGTTACTTCAATACGACAATCAGAGCTGGCGGCGCTTGTACTTCGTGCGAGCCGGGAAGCTACTGCGGTGGTGGCAACAGTGGCAAGCGCCAGTGCAACAGCGGGACATTCCAACCCGCTTCTGGCCAAACGTCTTGTATTCCTGCCAGCGCTGGAAGTTATGTTCCCAACAACGGAGCGTCTTCTCAGTTGCCGTGCTACCTGGGTGGCTATCAACCCCGTACATCTATCTCTACTCTGCCAAGTCTCAATCGTGCTTACACTTATCTTAGGCCCCGGACAAAACTTCTGTTATGGCGCACCTTCGGGTCGGTTCGCGGGTCAGACGGGAATGAAAGGAGTGTGCGGTGCTTGCTGTGGCTGGACGACTACCCAAAGCAACAACAACGCGTTTGTGGTTAAGTGCGGGGGCTCCACTCCCTTCTCTGGCCGCGCGTCTGGCTCGGGATGTGTCTCCACCCGCCAGGGTTGTGACCCTGTCGCTACCTGCCAGCAAGCACCCAATGGAGCGTGCCGTATGTCCTCTCTCGTCTCGCTATTTCTACTTCAAACTCATTTCGCTTGTAGCTGACCAATCCTTCGAGTTTGTCGAGCCCCCTCCCGTTTATCCCAGTTCTGCCCAGGGCCCACCGAGCTCGTCGTTACCCGCGCAGTCCAGCTCGGCAATCGCTCAGTCCAGCTCGTCCCGCTCCAGTTCATCCACCCGGCCTACTGGTGGGTTCTTGCCCCCCCTGCCTTCTTCCTCGGTTCGTCCATCTGGCTCGGTTGGCCCATCTGGCTCGGTTAGCCCATCTGGCTCCGTCGGCCCGTCCGGCTCTGTAGGACCCTCTGGCTCAGTCTCGCCATCCGGATCAGTCGGACCATCCGGTTCGGTTGGGCCATCTGGCTCAGTCGGACCCTCTGGCTCGGTTGCTCCCTCCGGCTCAGTTTCCCCTTCCGGTTCGGTCGCGCCTTCCGGATCAGTATCCCCGTCTGGCTCAGTTGGACCATCTGGCTCAGTTTCTGGCTCAGTTGTTCTGCCATCGGGATCCAGCTCACTCTTGCCTTCTGGCTCTGTTATCCCATCAAGCTCCCTTTCCGGCTCGATTGTCCTACCATCTGGCTCCAGCATTGTACCTTCGGGCTCAATCTCCCTTTCCGTCTCTGGCTCGTCTGTGCTCCCATCCGGCTCGGTTTCGGTTTCGCCATCAGGGTCGGTTGTGTTGCCCTCCGGCTCGCTGTCCGTTTCCTCCTCAGGGTCGGTTGTACTGCCATCCGGCTCCCTCTCCATTTCGCCCTCCATTTCGCTGCCCTCCATTTCCCTTTCCGCCTCTGCTTCCGCTTCATCGGCCAGCGGATCACTTTCGCCATCTTCAGCATCTGGCTCGGCGTCGTCGATCTCGGCTTCTTCGGTTTCTGCGTCCGCGTCTTCATCTTCCGCCGTGCCCAGCCCAACGCCATCTCTTTTGTGAGTCATGGACAGTGTTTTATTTCTCTATTCCTAACATTTCGACAGGGCTGCAAACAACATCCAAGTAAACGCCGCTGACACCGGTGCCTCCCTCGGTTTCTTGGCGCTTAGCGGTGCTCAGTAAGTCGTCAAGCTCAAGATAGGGTTCTTCTTGCTGATCTGCTACGCCAGAGACCGTTACGTTGTTTCAAACGATCTCAATGGCGCGAGCGTGTTCCTCGGAATGGTCTTCGATGGTACGACCAACAACGTCCTGTTCCAAGATGTGGTAAGTACAACTGTCGCATTCTTTCCTTTGACTATAGCCGACTCTTCAATAAGCTGGCCTCCGCCGCGAACCAATATCTTGCTGGTATCCTCGCCACCGCTACGACGTTCCTCTCCACCACCAACACCAACTCGGCAATCTTGGGAGACTCCGTTACCAGTGCGTGCTTTTCCTCATTGTGACCACAATTACTAATTTATGACGGCAGCTAACCCGGGTGACCCACCACAGATTGGTGACTCTGTCTCTATCCCCGGCTCTGCGTACGAGTCGGCCATCTGGACGTACAACACTGTGTCTGGTGCGCTCACGCCGACATGGATTAACCCCGACTTTGCCTCCACGCCCGTCACTATCGTGTATGACCTTGTTGGGGCGACACTTCTCCTCACTTCCAACCCGAGCGGTGTCATCCTCAGCCGCCCCGGGTCGGTGGCAGTTGTAAGTTCAATTTTTTTCCTTCTATCGTACTGTTCTGACGTGGCTTTGGCAGACTTTCAACTTGGAGTTCTAAGCGGCGGGATCTTATACTTTCTGTTCTGTTTTGTATGTTGGCCTTGGACGCTGTTTCGACTTCAAATAGACATTTTGTGCCCTTGTTTCAACTGGCTTCGTTTTTCTAAGCAGTTGTTGACTAAGCTTGAGGTTCGATGTCTGCACCAATAGACTCCGAGTCGGACCAAACATCACGGACCAAGCTACAAAAGAAAGAAATCCGCCTGGGGAGTGTTCATTGGCTAGATACACAAATTACAATCACAATCAAAGGTCACAGGCGCACAGTTTCCAGTGCCTTCTCTTCGTCTTCGAATCCACTGGACGTACTCGACGTTGTCTTTCCAGGAGCGCTCCAGTTTAGCCGGCTGGGCGGCCCGGGCAGGGTCCTCTGTGACGCCACCACCGTCGAGCCGTTGCCGTCCTGCGTCCAGCCAAGCCCGATCCGCGCATGGATAAGCACCGTCGTGATTGCAAATGCCGCGCCGGCGGTACCGGTCGAGATGAACTCGCCCGCAAGCCATTTAAATTGGAACGAAAAGAGCATCAGGATCGCGACCGCGCTAGGGGGCTGCTGTCAGCATTTTTTGCCACTGGGCTGTGGGGGCGGGAACTTACGTTTGAAGTGCGGCACTTTCCACCAGGACACCGAGTAAAGACTAAGGTGGTAGTGCTGAGATGGGACTACCTTTCTAAAATTATGGCGAAGACGCACCGTAAGCTGCACAGATTGGTTTTGCTGTTTCAACTTGCCGCCGAAGGCGCCTTGCACCTTCAGAATCCTGACGAAAATCATGACTGGAGGAACGATTAATACCAGCAAGAAGGGGTCAGCAGAGAGCATACCAGAGCTATATAAGCTGATACTGGGATTCTGCATCAGCGTGGAGTCCCAGCAAGGACAGTGGCAAGAACATACATGATGGAGGTGATCAATTTGCAGGTGAGCCAACCGTCGGAGAGCGCGAGATAGTCTTCGCCGCGTTTTGACACCGCCGCACGGACAACTAGGCCAATCGCAGAGACTACACATCGTCAAACAATGGAGGCATTTGGGAAATGTAGGTGCTCACCGATCTGGACAACGAGGAGGGCTCCCGGAACAATCATAACCTTGCGGTCGCGACAGAATATGACGTAAAGACGATGCAGCTATAGCAGGCCCGCTCAGTGACTCGGAAGGAGCTGACGAAACGCTTCGGGTACATACGACGAAGGAGTCCGTGATGGTGTGGCTGATGACTAGCAGCGCGATGTTTATAACAAAGAGCGGTCGAGTGAGGTTGGAGTAGAATGCGGCGGCAGCCGCCCCGCCACCAAGGTAGCCCAACGCGTAGATAGTCTGGTACATCGTGCTCACCCAGTGCTGCAAATGCTGTTGAGACCGACGGATACAAAGTCACCAATACGCACGATGGACACGGCGACGAACTGGATAGTAAGCCCAAGAAGCACCCACGCAGCGGGCCGGTTCTTCGGGGGCATACCATGGCGCCGACAAAAGAGATACACTGTTGTTACAAACAGAACAAAGTAAAGGCCGTAGAAGAGCGCCTCGATCAGCGCCTCGATGAGGTTTCCAGCGACAAGGGCGTCCATGGCCATGAAGAGCAGAAAAACGGAAGAAAAGAGGGTGGAAGACGAAGGAGAGGAAGGAATAAGCGCTTCATCTAGGAACCTACGTCTAAAGTGGAGAACTTGGCGTGCAGATCCAAAACATGCAGACGAGTGATCGCAACATGATCGTAAATGTGATGGTCGCTGATAGGATGACGGGCTCGGGGAGAGCGGGAGCCAATCAGGTTTCAAAAAGATGAGATAACGGATGCTAATCTTGGTTCAGGATTCTCTCAAACACCAGATGCCTGCTACTCAACTTATGGTCCATGGATGTTAGACGAGGGCTCCAATCACCAACAGTCACGCCACCTGACAGCCAGTGACAGGTCATACAGAGTTGCGGCTTGCCAGTCTCGAAATGGTAAAACACACACGATCTGAGTTGCATAAAATTTTTGCAAGGCTGCTGAAGCAGCAGAGATGTCTCATGGAATATTTCCAAGTTTAGGCCAGTTTTGAAAATCTGAGCTGAAGAAATAAGTCAAAAACACTGCACCATAGCGAAAAGCAAGATACATAGCGATCGATATACGTTTTAGTACACTTCCTACCCCTCCTCGTCCGCCTCCGAGTCGCTCTCGTACTGGCTGAACCCAAGATCCTTCACACTCGACACCGCCACCAACAGCGGGTGGTTCGCGTCAAACGCAGACAGCATCTTCGCCATGTCCTCCAGTGCAAAGTCCTCAATCTCTTCGTATAGCGCCAGCTCCTCCCGGTCCTCCTCCGCCTGGTTCGCACTCCGCGCTTTTCTCGCTCGCCGCTTGTCAGCAAGCGACTGGAGCTGTCGTTTTGTCGCGTCGATCACGCCGTTTTGGTATTCCACGGGCAGCGCAGCGGGGCCACCGATAACCCGGACCGCGTCATTGAAGCATTTGTACAGCGAGCTTAGAAAAGACGAGTCATGCTCCGTTGTAATTCCGCCGATAAGCTGAATGAACGTCGCCGCGACCATCTGGTTCGTTAGTGTGCTGCTATTTTTTCCGCTCGCTAGTAGCATCGGAATCAGCCTAGGCATCCCAGTAAATGACTTGAATTGTAGACTAAGCAAATCTTACATTGCAGCAGCCTCACGGACCCCGTCATGGAAGTAAAACCGCAGCGAGGGTAGCGTGACCTCGAATGTCTGGGATAGATACGGTGCAAACCGCGGTCCCAAGGTCGAGCAATAAATGACTAGTGTCTCGAATGCCTGGCATTTTTCCTCGAGTGCAGATGTCCTGATGCCCAATGTCTGGCCGTCCATGTTGACTGTCTCCCAGCCATCGCGCTCCTCGTTGTCTTCCTCGTCGTCTAGAGCTCGGTTACTTTGGTTAACGTTGATAATGGCAAACTGACCATAAACAGATATATCCGTCTTGGCGCTGGCCGTTGACAAGAGACTCGGCATGACGACTGGAAGATATGGCTCGAATTCAGTACCCATTGCCTGGCACACCTTTGCCCAGGTTGCGATCAAATAGTACCCTATTTGTGTGTCGCCTGGATCCGAGGGGCTTTCTGAGGTCTAATCAGACAAAGCATTGGACTGGGCGGCAGATCCCACTTTGTATCCGGATAAGCAAATCAACTAGCGTATGTGCATCAGGAAGGAACAGTTCTGGCCCAACGGCAATGGCTGAAGATATTCATTAGAAAGAGCCTAACAACACAAAGAACAAACCAATGAGGCCAGCGCATTCCATTGCTTTTGCTCGTAGTTTTCGGTATTCGGTCCCCTCCGCATTACTCAAAACGTTCATGAGGAGCGGCATGATGGAGGAGTAGTACTATCTCGGTCAGACAAATTCATCGACAATTTCACGCAAACCTTTCCGAACGTCGTCTCGCTCGCATCCGCGACCATTGCTAGGGTTGTGATGGCCTGTTCTTGCACATAACGTTTAACGTTGGCTGGGTCATTTGTTGGGTCGAGCAGTCGCAACAAGCGTTCGACGATAGGATCGAGGTAAGGCAATAAAACGTCCTTCGCCACGCCTTCACAAAAGTTGATAAGTGCGGCTGCTGCATGAGAATGTACTCTGATGGGGATGTCAGCATAGATAAGGGAGCTGCAATAATACCAACCGTGGTTCTGGATCCTCTAAGGTTGGTATCAGGACAGAAAATAGTTGTTGATGATAGCGTTCTTGGATAACTTCCTCGAGATCTGTGCATAATTGACCCCTGGAGAGTGATGAGAGCTCTTCAAGAGAATAAGAGAGGACATACACGCATTGACTGGCCGCATATCGCACCCTGGGATGTAGATCGCGAAACATAGGGGTCACAAGCTCAATAACCTTGCCCAGCTCGTTCTCCATCACTTTCGCTGTGCCTTCAGCAATGGCCGCGACCGCCATGAGACCCGCATGCCTCACGCGCCAGTCATAATGCGCCATCATCGCGGGGATGTGCTGCTTGATGTTATTCTTGATTCCATCAAAAAGAGAGAGAGAACCTGGAACGCTGGGGGGAGCACCGCCCGTCCGCCAACCGCACATGCCAGTCTGTCCAAACTCTGTTCATACATCGCAGGAGCACTGTCGCTATCGGATGTCGAGGCTGACGAAGGCTGGAATGTATTCTATCAGTCAACGAACCGAAAAGAGAAATGTAACCCACATCCTCGTCCAACCATGCCCTCAAACCCTCGCCATCCTGATCTTCTTCAAATTCACCCATTCCCTCGAGACAAGCTCGCACGATAATGGGCACCCAGCCATCTATACGCCGGACCATGCTGGCCTTTGCCTCGGAAAGCGACACCATAAACTCCAGGGCTGCAAGCCGCATCGTTTGGCGCTCGTCTGCATCAAGATCTCGCGCGGCCCGTTCGCTTTCCGCATCAGGTGATGTGTTTTGTGGTTGCTGTGGAGCGGCACCAGGCGACGACGGTGATGCTGGTGGTGGAAAAGCGAAGGCACCACCACCGCCATTGGAATGTCGGTCTGTGGATGCGCCGTTTGTCTCTCCCATACGAGAGACTGTTGGCGTTTCACCAGGGTCGGGGCTCGGGAGAATTAAGGCGGGGAAAAATGTCAGCAAAGCGGCAAGATGTGGCTGAAAGAGTCCGGGATGCGACGAGCACAAGGGGGTCAGGGTGGTCAGAAAGGTGGTGAGATTTACGTAGGGTGAGGGTCCGATATCAATTTCTGTTGTTCTGGTAGCTGAAGCACGGATAGGGTGAGCTGTTGCAAGTTGGCCTGGCGCGGGGAGCATCTGAACGAGCGAATGTAATGTCTCGAGCATCGGATGCAGTAAAGCGAGGGACTGGCTTAGTTGACCCGGTTCAGCAGCTGTAAGATATGCCACAGATGCCGAGAGGGCCGCTTGTTTGACCTAGAATAGTTATCAGTACAAGTCTCGATATATTGTAGCAATGACCTCAATCGAATCGCCCTCTTGCAGTCCCCGCTGGAACACACCCAAAACTGCGTCCGTTTGCAGATCCATAACCAGGTTGGGACAGCCTGAGAATGTCCGATACGCGCTTTCTCGCAACGCCTCCAGTGGTACAGCCCCACCAGCTTCTCCTTGGGCCATACTGAAAACAAGCGCCTGTAGCGCATGCCATGGGCGGCCCCGTCGCATTCCCTCGTTTGCGAGATCGCACACAGCGTCGACGGCCTTATGCCTGACTGACTGTGTGAGTTCGGATTGGAGGGTATGGAGCATGAGTCGCTCGAGAGTGGTGAGGGTATTCGCTGATAGTTGGTCATAGAGTGTGAGTCGGGCCTGGTAGGCAGCCTGTTGCCGCTCTGCGGACTCCCCCGCCTCCTGACTGGCGCCCGATGATGGTGGGGCGACGGGTGCTGGCCTGAACAGCAGTCGTCTCAACAAGACGAGTGAGAATGAGCGCATCTGAGAATTTTTTTAGTTCTTTTCGATGGGGAATCGGAGCCTGATCAACGCACCACCTCAGTGTCTGCAGAAATCGCGAACTGGGCCAGGGCAAGCAGATAGAGCTCGGGGGTGTGGGCCAACCGCTCGTTCACCGCTGTCTCCGCACTGATATAGACGTTGAGCAACGAGTAGGAAAGCGAAACTGGGTACCACACCTGGAGCGAATATCATTGTCGCCCAGAAGGAGATTGGAGAGGATCTGGGTGAGTTCTTGAGTAATGGCGGGCGGGACAACAGACATGGAGGATAAATTCAAGGTCGCATCACTGTGACTTTGCTTCACGCGATGTGTCTATGATTTCTTCGGCTTCCATTCTTTCGGCCGCTTCACGAGCGATGGATGACGTGCAATGGCCAGGCATTTGACCCCTTGAAACATGCATATCTTCCAACTCTATCACTCGAAAGAAAACATCGGCTTCCCTCAGAGGTACCACTGTCACCCAGAAACCACGTGGGCGTGTCACAAACATGAACTCTCCTGACTTCACTCCAACCGAAACAAAAATACAGCAGTGCCGCCGATTTTCGTCAACATTTAGATCCCAACAAACATCCCTTGGGGACTTTGTCGCTAGGCTGTGTCATGATGCTTCAAGATACACAAACCGACGGCGTTTAACGTGGTGTCCACCATGGTAGTCCTTTCACAGTCGCAGAGGTCTTCCATCCGCCATGGCCCTTCGAGTTTATCAGGTGCTTTGTTATATTTAATCTCTGCGTCCGATTTCTAAAACTCTCCAGTCAACAACATCCCTTCTCATGAAACGATGACTGCAGCTTGCAGAGTGTGTCAGCTCAGCTTGAAGAGTTTTGGGGAATACTGATAAGTGGCAGACAAGAGCAGGTAATCGATGTCCGACTTACGCCTCCTCGGTCGGAAAGCGCCCTTGAAGTCGTGGTGAGGAGCCTCGAGTATCGTAACGGTCTGCTAGAGGTGAATCTCCCTGATTCTAGAGTGTTTCTTCTCTCAAACCTCCACAGTTGGCCCTAGAGCTGGGATTGCGGAGTTATGATGAAGGCCTCCGAACCACGCTCGAAACTGATGAGACGCAAATACCCTCTTTCGTCTTCGAGCACATATTGGGCGACGAAACGATCGAACGAGAGGCTCTCCGGCTCCAAGCAAATGATGCTCAAGTCTTCATGGATATTTTGCAGACGGTATGCTCGTGGTACTTGGGGTAATTGGTCTGACCTGGAAGAAGTGTATCGACCAAGGTTCATCAGTTCTTGAACAGAACAGTCATCTACGCCGGAAAGTTCGACGCCTCCAGCACAAAAACATGTTATAACATTCCTTCTCCCTTATTCATCCATGGGGTTTCCGGGCGAAAAGAACACCCGTCTTTTACTGGGGGATTCGGAGAGATATACCACGCATCATATGCAGGCAAACCCGTGGCTCTTAAACGCTTGCGCTACTTCCTTCAAATCTCGAAGGATCCTCGAGTCAATCTGGTAAGAAGACCGCATAATGGACAAGTAGTTTTACATCAACTTGGCTAGAAATTTCTTCGCGAAGCTTTACTTTGGCGCCAACTACGACACCCTCATATTCTTCAATTTCTTGGCCTCGACAACGAAAATTTTCCAACCTCCTTCAGCATGGTCTCTGCGTGGATGGACAATGGCAATATTCTCCAATACCTCAAGCGGAGGGTAATACTGATATCGAAAGACTGGTAATGCGTGCTGCTGTTGTTCCAGATTTAACTCTCATATTCTCACAGCTTTATGAGATCGCTCAAGGATTGCAATATTTGCACTCGCGTCAAATAGTGCATGGGGATTTACGAGGGGTGCGGTTTGTTTCATTGACTTTTATGATTCCAACTGACCTGCCCGCAGGTTGACATTCTAATCACCTCCGACTCCTGTGCATGTTTGACCGATTTTGGACTCAGTATCTTCTCTGATGCGTCAGAGTCGATGCGCTCTTCCAACCGAGCCGGAAGTTTATATTGGATGGCTCCGGAGTTGATCGACCCTGAACGGTATGGGCTCACGAGCAAATTTTTCGCGGACACCAGCCAGTGATATTTATGCACTCGCGTGTGTTTGTGTGGAGCTATACACAGGTCGACCTCCTTTTGGCGACCTCTCTGAGCCAACCGCCCTTCTGAAGATAGTCAATTCAGAACGAATCGCTCGTTCAACAGTTCCTTCGATATCTGATCCACTCTGGAGCTTCATCACGACTTATTGGGCTGAAGATTATTCATCGAGACCCAGTAGCTCAACTGTTGTAAGACAGTTGAAGTGGCCGCAACAAACAGAGCAACAAATTTTACTCCTTTCGGACTCGCATATCATGAAGCAGGGGCGTCCGTTACCCCCGTTGCCCACTTTGCTGAACAATGCATCATCTCCGCTCACGACTTCTACGGAGAATTTTAGAAAATGCGCCACCGAGTATCATATCGTGACTTTCGTATTGAAACCCATGGGCCATAACCATTCTATACCTGGTCCTAATACCAGCATTTGTATCCGTCTCTCCAAGTGCAAAAAATCAGAAGGCTGCCGAGTCCGGATCAGAGGGGCCCAGACTTTTCTTCCACTGACCATCGCGAGTCCGACTGGCGTGTCGCATCTGTCTGTAATCTATATCTCGCTCCACCTCAATCAATTGGGATTCAGAGGCCCAGTTGTTAGCCCCCGCAATGACTCGGAGCAAGTTGCCAACTGGACAACTTACAAACATCCTTTTCTCATGTTTGGCCGTTCACACGAAACACGAAACAGCGGAACGGGCTAGCTAATGCACAGCCGGTTTAATCTGTTGTTCTTTGCCAAAATCATGATCATTTGGGCGTCTAACAGCACCTAACACTTTTGAGAGCACCCATAGCTCCTGCTCAACCCACTCTGCAACAGAGCTGGTTGTATGCTACCCTTGCCACCACATTCAGCTTTGTCGTACGGATTCTCTGTGTCAGTCGCAATTCCGGTCTTAGTAGTGGCGCGCGTAAGTGGTTGTTGCTTGTTTGTAGTATGAGTGAGAAGCTGAAGCATTTTGTAGCATGAACTTGAATCAGCGTAGAGCTCCCGGTGCGACGGACAGTCGTCTCCTTGCGACCGAATTGTACAGCGCCGTTGGTGTCATTATCGACAGTGTAGAATGTCGCAAGGCTCTGCTCGAGGTGAGTGAGATACTTATTCAGATGAGTGCACCAGAACTCAGCTAAAAAGCTATCAGCTGTCGTCAGAACTGGGCCTTGAGAGCAACGACAAATTACGCAAAGCATTGCAAGCTGACGAAGAACACCTCATTTTGCTTCTGGTGTCCGTTTTACACAGTAGAAGTGCCGAAAAAGAAGTTCTCTGTCTTCAAGGACACTCTGCACAGTGCTTTCTCGACGTGGTACAAGATGTAGGTCGACTCCCCAATAGGCCTCTCGCTTGCTGAATCGACACTCCAAGGCGCTCGACCACGGGTCACTTTCTGACGCAGAAGACGCCAAAAAAGCCAGACGAATAATCCACAAACTGTCCGAAGCTTGCGGGTTGTTACCTACAGCTCTCTACATTTCCGGTGTCACCGAGCGAGAGGCCCATCCTCAGTTCGGCGGTGGTTATGGCGATATCTATCGAGCGTTATACCAACCAACCAGTTGCTGTCAAATACATGCGCCACTTTTTGCGAGGCTCTGGGGCTCATCGCCAGCGCCTGGTACGTTTCTAAGGACTATTTTAGAACACTTTATTTACCACCACACAGCGATTTCTACGCGAAGCACTGGTTTGGCGTGATCTCCACCATCCCTTCATCCTCCCCCTTTTGGGTATCGACAATGAAAGCTTCCCACTGTCTCTCTGTCTTGTGTCTCCGTGGATGGAACATGGGACTGTGGTCAAATATCTCAATGAACATGGGCGAAAAGACGTGGATCGACTGGTACTACTTTCTTCGTGATGTCGCAAGGTCGTCCACTTAATCGTTGATACCACCAGTTGTTTGAGATCGCCCAGGGGCTTGAATACCTTCACTCGCGCAACATTGTCCATGGGGATTTGAGAGGGGTATGCCCAATTATCAAGGAATCGTGAAATACTAATTATTTCGAGGCAAATATTCTTATAGGTCCTGAACATCATGCATGTCTCACCGATTTCGGCCTAAGCGTCTTTTCCAATGCCTCGTCTTCAATGCGAACCTCGACAAGAGCCGGTTGTATTTACTGGATGGCACCCGAACTCATCGACCCTGATCGGTTCGGACTCGCGGGAAAGTTTGTGCGTACACCTGCGAGTGATATCTACGCCTTTGCCTGTGTTTGTTATGAGGTTGGTTTCCATCCAATGTTTAGCAGTTATGTTCACCAAGTTTCAACAGTTATATGTTGGCAAAGCGCCGTTCGCAAATCTGGCTGAACCCACAGCTTTGTTGAGGATTGTCAATGGGGGGAGAGCAACGCGACCACACCCAGCAGATGTTACGTTCCCGGACGAACTCTGGGATCAGATCAATTCCTGCTGGGTTGAGACACCATCACTACGCCCAACGATCAATGAGGTGGTAGAAGACATATCGAGAGATGCAGAGTCAACCTCAGTAACGCGGCCCCCGAATTTGGCACATAACTCTCCCGATGAGTCACAATCTGACACACAAAGTTTGTTTGCGTTTCCTTCCGAGAGCGAACCCAATCCTGTGCGGATGCCCATGGGCATCGCACATGGGCATGTGCCCATGGGTACCCATGGGCATGTCCTGCAGGATAGGTCTATCCATCCTGCAGGATGGGTCTATCCTGTAGGATAGGTACATATCCTACAGGATGGTTGCATTGTCCTACAGGATGGTTACATTGTCCTGCAGGATGGATAGACCTATCTTGTCCTGTAGGATAGATAGACCCATCCTACAGGATAGATACACCACCAGAGTGCTCACAGCTGTGGGCCAGCTGGACATTCCAGGTGGTCTCCACATCAACCAACATCTGGGTCCAGATGGGTTCCACCTGATCTCCAGCAGAATTCTCCAGGTGGAAAATTCCAGCTGGAATTCAGATGGCACTTTCAGCTGGAATTCAAATGGAATAATTGTCTATATTTTTGGAACCATTATACTGCTGTTGAGAAGCTACTAGGACCAGCTATATGTTGCATTCATTATGATTCATGCTCTAATATTCAACAATATAATGTTTCTCAGATGACTTTAGGGCCGGGCTCGACCAGAACTTGTGGGAGGTTGATTGTCGGGGATTAGTACAATCTGTCCCGGTGAAACGTGCAACGGACAGCGGGAGGAGCAGATCAATTGATCTCATGTGGAAACTGGGTGGTCTAGCCCAGAAACACTGAGGAACACACAGAAACACAACAGAATCCTGCTATATTCTGGAACAACAATGGAGGACAGAGGTGAGTGACTAAAGAGGCAGTGCTAATGTGACGGAGGAATGTAGGTAAGGCTCCCAGACTTACACCCTCCCCCACTTAGAACAAGACCCAATCCATGAGGAGAGACAGTACCAAAAGGAAGAAGAACCAACAAGTTGCAAGACCGAGAAGTCCGCCCTGAGCAGACGACAGGATATAGGGCCGATACAGGGAACCCCCCTGTAAGAACCGTACACCGAGCGGCATAGTCCAGAACGCCCCAATGGGAACATGCGAGTAGACCCGAACGAAGAAGGTGATTAAAGTGGGAATAAGATAATGAAATAAGGCCGAAATCTTGCTAGTCATCACGAGTTGCGAGGTCGTCATCGGAGTCGGAGTCGTCATCGTCATCAGAGTCAAAAACATTGTCGATAGGGAAACGAGGCCTGATACCAGCCACACGACGAGATGCTCCCGGATAGATGCCCGGTGTTACCAAACAGCGCTCCCATTCACTATCGGAGTCCACATCCGAACCACTCCGTATCACAGCAGCTGCAACGGGGACACGGGCAACATAAGCAGGAATACCAAGTGCCGAGTTCCCTTTGCATTCACGTTTGCGATGTGGAACCCAATCCTTGTCGGTAGGCGTCAAGCGGCAGTTGAAGCACCCGCCCGCAGCGCTGATACGATCACGGTCGGCTTGGGTGAGCGGTGGGACGGATGACGAGAGAGCAGCAGGAGCAGGAGCAGAGGGAGCGGCAGAACGGGAAGGAACAGAAAAAGAAGGAGCTGCACGGAGTCGAATCGAGCCATTGAGGATGGCCGCGTCCCAGAGGCCAGTCATGAGGCTGACGAGCGCGCGTTGTAGCGAATGGAATGGAGGTTGAAGCCAGGCGAAATCTTGGTATTCGTGCAAAGGACGGGGTGCGAGAAGGCGAGGACGTGATATTTAATAACGGTATCGGAAAGCTTCCACTCGGGGCCAGCTGCATTCAGAACTCGGTTGGCACGCTCGAAACGTTCGATGAAACCTTTGAAAGTGTCATCACCCTGCTTGACACTGTAGACTTCAAGCATTGCATCCATCCGCCAAGTCGGGGCCACGAATTTGTCGCGCAAGGCATTCGTGAAGTCGTCCCAAGACTTCAGGCGCTGCAAGTCCTCGCGGTTGGTATCCCACCATTCTGCGAGCGACTCTTCCTCCAACTGCTTACCAGCGAGCGTAATCAGCGTAGCCGCTGTGAGCTTGAGATCGGGGTTCCAGACTGCCCATGTGGCGTGCTCGTCCTGGCAGCGGCCAACCCAGCTGCGAACCGAGAGCGGAGTCGGCTTCTCCGTGAACGTGGGGAATGTGAGTTTCGTCATGCGAGGCGCGTGGGTGGGTGGCTTAGGTGGAACGGGGACGGTGGGAGTGGGAGGAAAGAGATGGGGAGGGGGCTGGTGGTGGGAAACGGGCTCGGCCAGCGGCGACTGCAAGAGAGACACGGTAGGCGAGCGAGAGCGCGCGCGAGACGGCGAGGCGAGACGGCGAGGGTGAGCGAGATAGTCGAGGAGAGCGTGGCGAGGGGGACGCGTCGGCCGAGCGAGAACGAGTGCGAGACGGCGACCGGGGCGCAAAAGGGTCGTCAGATGCGGCCGGAGACTCGGCCACGTCGGTCAAGGGGCCGGACCGGTGTCGTTGTCGCTGTGCAGTGGCAGGGCGCGACGACGCGTTAGAGGTCGCCGCGACGGTCGATCTGCGCGGATTGGGCGCCAGTGGGGGCAAGGGGACAAGAGTCGGCACGCGTTGGAGGCGGGGTCGAGACGAGGGAGGCGCGAAGAGAGGCGGGGAGGCTGCTACGTGGCAAGAGGGAGGTGGGAACGCGCGTGACAGGACGTGGGAATCCGCCGCGAGCCTTCGCGCGCAATCGCCCGCGACGACGTCGCTTAACTCGCCAAGCCCGAGATCGGCCGAAGAAGCTCGGGCGAGGCCGTCGGGAGGCCGGGAAAGCCGCCGGGTGCGTCGGGAGAGGTCCGGGAAGGCCGGGAAGACGCCCGAATGGACCAGGGATGCTCGTAGGGATGTAGTTTTACGATTTAAGGCCAGGAAAACAGGTAGTGGGTTGTGAAAAAAGTGGAAACTGGGTGGTCTAGCCCAGAAACACTGAGGAACACACAGAAACACAACAGAATCCTGCTATATTCTGGAACAACAATGGAGGACAGAGGTGAGTGACTAAAGAGGCAGTGCTAATGTGACGGAGGAATGTAGGTAAGGCTCCCAGGCTTACATCATGCCCATATCAGTCAACGAAATTTTTCATGTCACACCACTTTCCTCTCTTTCCTCTCCCCTTCACCGGCTGCCCCCACGACATGACCGACTGCAACTGCGACAAAATACCGTCATGTATGTTCCCTCTAGCCCCACTACATCCACTTACTCAGATCTAGGTCAGCCGCGGCGCCGCGCCTGGCAGTGCACTCACACTCTGGGCTAATCTTGGCCAGGAATGGCCCTGGGGGGCGTCTTGCATGCACAGGGAGACACCGAAGACGGAACAGAGCTCCATCTGCGCTCTCCGAGGTCTGCGGCGGGTATGCGGGTGTTGAGCTCGTCGTTGCTGTTGATCGCGTTCTGCGCAAGACTGGTGAGCGCCGAGCTCATTCCTTGTTCGTTCTGGCTGATGTTCTGAGTGTAGGTCCTGCCGGCCTAGACCACCCGTTCTTGAAGCTTCCGAGCGGAACGGGCAGCGGCTGGCTCAGCGCACAGCCCACTCGGGTGCGCACAATTCAAGGCTGGTGGGCAGAGTTCTCACGCGCTCAGCCTAGAACTTACAGGGCAAGGACAGAGAGCAGTCTCCTCCGCCTCCCGTAAATCTTAACCGAAACGAGCGAGCACTTGGGTCGGTGTCGGCCGGCTGGTGTTTTTCGAGATGCATCTTGTCTTGTCTCCTGTCGGTGAGTCGATTCAGCCTTTGCGTTGAACTCAAATGCTAATCATCATATTTCTAAAGCGCCGATGCAGGTTTTTTGTCAATGCAGCGCGCGCGCCCCGTTTGCTGCCCCGTTCTGGCCGGCTGGGTGGGACAAGCAGTGCGTACCATTATTATGACTTAGGAACTGCCTCATCGTATATAGGACTTTTGCACGGTGACCCCCGTCATCGGCGCAGCCATTGGCAGCGCATTGGTTTGTTCAGCGGGCCGGCGGCCGACAACGATGGCCCCATGGCTGGTAATGAAGAGGGTGGGGGTGAGGATATCGTACACTTTGTAAATAGCCTCAAAAATGCATGAATTCTCGCACATGACCATTGAGTGATATATATATATATATACCAAGACATGAGGTAGTTAATATCTAGACTACCAGAGAAACTCCCTGGAGCTCACCTAGAGCTCCAGCTGGTTCCCAGAGACTCTGGAACCATCATGGACCCATTTGCGACCAAAGATGGAAACCAGGTGTTGCAGATCTGGGAACCAGCCAGAGATCACACGTGTCCACCGGGGATTTTCCGGCTGTGACACATGTGGAACCCCGTTGGCGGTGTATACATATTTTTATATAAGAATATCAGCAAGGGTTTCATGTCAATAATACGTTACAACGTGACTGCTCAGCGTGTTTGATGCTTTGCTTCCTGCTGCCACCTACCGCGATTGGTACAGGGCAAAGGGGAGGATGTCATCACCTGTGTTTTGTTCCCCACCACCACCACTCTCTCCACTACCTTACTGCAACCCTCTTCACCCCAGTTACATTCAAATTGCCCCAGTCCATCTCCAACCACACCAGTGCCTGAAGTTGCCCCGTTCACATGGCTACTACAGCCCCAACATGTCCGCCCTGTCCCTTGCATTCTTTCCCACCCCGCCACTCCTTCCCCTCTGAGCTCTCTCCCCAACACCGCTCGCAAGCATGACCATCATATGGCATAGGAGTGATGAGTCGTCACACAGCCCTCACACTTGCCCGCCCGCCAAACTAGCCGCGTGGCAAGCAGGCCAGGGCCGGTCGTTGGGTCCAGACATTCTAAAGTTTACATAGGAATATATAGTTTTGAGTAACAAAGAGCCTCCACACTCTCAGAAATTTTATGCAAATTTTGATGTGTGACAAAAAATCAGGCTGCGGCTAGTGGTCTGCTGGCTTTGGCTTTGGTACCAGGGCCAAAGCCAAGCCAGAAATCTTGGCCTGTGTTGGCTTTGGCCTGGCTTAAGGGTTTAGAAAGCCAAAGCCAGGCCAAAAGCCAATGGCTTTCATTATGATCATTGATAGCTGATTTAACTACCCAAAAAGGAAATTATTCAGTGATATGTTAGCCTAGAAGGGTCATTGCTAGTATCTAAAGGCTTTATAGATGCTCTACAGTTTGCCTTCTTACCAGTCTTTGAACTAGATCAAATATTTAATATTGTTTCTGATGCCAACATCTGTCCAACAGCACCGGATCAAACTCAGCCGAGGCCATGGCCTGGGCCAAAGCCAAGCTAAAGCCAGGCCAAAGCCAGCTCAGTTGGCCCGGCCTGAGGTTTTGCTAGGCCAAAGCTAAGGAAAGCCGGGCCAAAGCCATGGCTTTCAGGCCAAGCCAAGGCCAGAAGACCACTAGCTGCGGCCAACTATTTTGAAAACAGCTGTAATTCCATCCTGCAGGATGGGTCTATTTATCCTGTAGGACAGGTATATTGCCATCCTGTAGGACAAATAGGATAGCTATCCTACACCGCCAAAGAGCCGTCATCCAGTGACGGGCTGTCGTGGTCAGATGGCTTCAGCAGAACGGGTAGCTGGGGAGTGCTGGCCCACAGATGCCCGTTATCTGGGGGCATCAGCTGGCGACTAGCTCAACAACCAGCTTGACAGCAGCTGGATAAGATAGCAACGACATGTATTTATGACAGCTACTCCTAATCCACTATTGGTACTCTTCATCGCTGGTCTCATAAGCTTGTGCATCTGTTTCCGACACCTGATCACTGTCCGACACTTCCTCGGAATCACTTGAAGCCTCCTCCGCTGCCAGCGCCTTCACCGTTTTTGTTATCGTTCGCTTGGTTCGTCCTGCTGCCAAACTTGTGCTTCCCGAAATCGCCACAGAGACTGCGATGGGGATGGCATTAGCCTGTGCCTTTGGCTTTTTCTTCTTGGGAGCAGCCTTGCGAGCGCGCTTGCGTGCTGGTGCTGACTCAGCATCGGAGTTGTTGTCCTTGGCTCGACGGCGCTTGGCCCGCTGCATGGTGGTTCCCACTGCGTCTGACGCGGGATTGGCAACTCTATCACTTGCTCCTTTGGCTCCCTTCACAGTATTCCGATTGCGAAGCTGCGTTGCGAACTCGATGTGCTTTGCTGGACGGTCGTCGAAGAGTGGAACAGGTGCCCAGAGATGGCGGGGAAGCGTTGCGCGCAGGAGGTGGGCATTATGGAAAGAATGGAGGTTGATGATGTAGCGGTCAAGGTCCTTGTGCACGACAAAGTGCTCTGTCTTTTCAGATGCGACGCGTTCTTGGATAATGGCACGGGAACCAGTGGCGGCGCATTGGGCCGCACGACAGTCATGTTGTGCATTGAAACTGAAGCTGACATTCTAGAATAATCAGTGTGTAAGTGAAATATAGCACTGGTTGAAGCAGCCATACCTTGGTTGGAGTGATAAAAAGCAGTGTTTCGCCATTGGGGCGAATCAACGCCGGCATCCCATATACCGGATCGCGGACTGCCGATGTCTGGAAGCGCTCCAAAACAGCAAGGTTGACCTCGGTCCCTTTGAGGATCTCTACAAACGCGCGCAGGAACTACAGTCTACTTGGTGTTAGGATGCTGAATGACACCAAAGAAGATACTTACGTGAGTTGCTAGCCACGATACGAAAACCCAAGACCCGACACGACATTCGTCCTGCGATTGGCATATAAAAGATTTTCCGGAGTCCCAGACGGAGTTCGATGGCGTAGTCACGATAGTTTGTCGCTTTCGATGCTGTTGTAGCGTTTAATTCGCGCAATAGACGCTTATCTTCACCCCGTATGAGTGGAGTCAATTTGACAATCCCTGTAGATAATCATGAGAAGGGGCTGTAAGAGAATGCAGCACATACCAATATCCGCGCTTGTTTGCGGTGTCCAGCCTAAGAGTTTCTGCAGGATAGGGTGTTTCTCCAAGTAATGGCGCACACCAGTACCCGCTCGGACCCATTTCTGCTCGCCTTTGGCCGCCCAAAGTCCCCCCGTTAGCCGATGTTTGAGCCCTTCCTGGTCTCCCAACTGAAGAGCAATATCGCGACTGGGTGCCAGATGATTTGATAGTATCGAGCAATATCGGAAAATCGCGTTGAAACTCTCGAAGAGCTCTGTTGCAAGGCCAATGAGTGGCCCGAATTCTGTCGCGTCGTCGTCCGCAGCGTGTGCAAGCAGGTGGTACTTGATTTTTGTGACGATTTTGGAAGGGTCGATAACGGCGACAGCATCAAGCAGGTTTGCGACCGCTGTTTCAAGGTCGGTCTAGAGCAGAAATGAGAATGTGCAAGGTATAACGAGACAGACGTACATGATACTGAGTCATGTCGTAGATTTCGGGGACCCAGAGCAACGCAGAGAGCTCGCCTAATGCTCGCCATGCAGCGAGATGGTCGTCCGAGACCAAATCGTGCACATGGAATATGCCCGTCTGAACAACAGTCTTGAGTTGTTTCCCGATGAGTGAATTGGCATATTGCATAATGTACTTGGCGCGAATGGCATGAATCGAAAGCCCGCTCGTCTCAGTCGCTTGTAAGCGCTGCGAATATGTTGTCTTCTCCTTGTCGGACCAGCCTGTGTGCGAGATGTGCCACACGTACTTGACTGCACCAAGGAGAATTGTGTGTAAGAGTTCGATGGGTGTATCGCGTGTAGGATCGAACGCTATAGGTTTGCATCAATACTCATGCTTATGACGCAATTGGTCAAACTGTACCTGTTGTTCGCAAGAAAGCACTATAGATCTTTTCGTCGTTCTCATCTACCCACTTCATGAGCTCCGCTTTGATGTTTGTTGCTGGTCGTTCGGGGTCGGCAACACTCAGTTGCGCAAAACGGGCTTCGAGACCTATGATCCATTGCTGTGTGTATGCGTCTTTCACGCCCGTGTTCCGCTGGATCTTCTGGAGCTTGTCCATTGTTGTCCCACCACACACATGCCGGACTTGGAGCCGCAACTCATCGAGGACATATTCTTTCGTTCGCGGAACACCCGGCTGTGGTTATAAGCTGATTATATGCCAATATAACGAAAAGCAAACCTTGAATAGCTCTTCATACCCAACATTCGAGTGCTTGTGCGCTTTCGGACCGCCCACCTTGCATTTTCGACAATAGTAGTTGGCCTGGCCACCCATATGAGACGATACCTCGCTCTGCATTGGGTTGTCGGAAGGGCCGGCATTACAGTAAACACATATCTTTGTCGTATTTCCTGCGTCGTCTTGGACAACAATCGGCTTGGTGTGCGTGGCTCTGATATTATCAGCAAGAATACCAAAACTATATATGGAGGCGCGCACTCAATGGCGGTCTTGAATTCACGATATTGCTCAGATATGGATGCGTTGGGGGGAGGTCGAGACGAAATGGATATGATATTCTTGCTGAAGCAGTTTTCGAGGCAGATTGCGATGCGTCATGTACGCATTCCAATGCTTATTCCACGATTTTGAACGATTTCCGGATACGTCATCGCCAAAGTAGTCGACGAGGCTGGTGTACATTGGACAGCCTCCCGCAATTGCGCGTTTACGGTTGGGCATCCTTGCGGGGTGTCCCTTTGAGAATGTCGCCGCTGCTTGCAATGAGTCAAAGAAGCATTGATTGTGAACGACACTTACCGCTCCACTGCGGTACTGCTCCAAGATCAACCAGGTCCAGATAGTTTTCCTTCATCTCCGTTGCCTCAACAATAGACGTTGTCGAATCGTCAATCACTGCTGCACCAGCCTGCTGGGAGTGAGCCTGAGTTGCACAAAGAGATGGATATGATGCGGACCTCGTCCATTCTGACGCTGTAGCAGTCTGCGCAAATGGCAGAGTTCATGGTGACCCAGCGTATGGGAATAACAAACCGACCGTCCTTGAGGCGGCAGAGCTCGTTGACATAGAAATGGGCATTTCCGGCATCATACATCGGACTCAGCGCATCGAGGTCCATATTTTTCCTCCATTTTTGTGCGTGCCAGATTTCGCGAATGATGCCGTCAGTAGGGATTTCGGGGTAGACGCGAATGTGTTTCCGGATGGCAGGATTGGCCCAATCCTGAAGTCATAAGCGTGTCTTCGACAGTATGAATAAGTACTTACATGTGCGATAATTGCGCAAGGATTGTTCATGAAAAAAACGTTGCCCAGCGGCGACAGGCAAGGGAGAGTGGGAATTCCCGATTCGACTCGAATTTCCTTCTGAACTCGGTTGAGGCCTTCGAGAGAAGGAACATCTTGAGCTCCCGTTTCGCGCATGATCCACAGGATAACGCGCATGAGAGATTTCGAGACCCGAAGTCGCGGCAGGTTGTCCAGAATATCAAGAAGGAACATCTGCACCATGTTCAATTCAGCAAAAAGCAGGGCATCTCGAAAAGGGCAGAAAACACACCGTTTTATTTGGATATGGAAAGTATCCAGCCGTTGGCGAGGTTCTCTGGGTGCCAGCAGTTTGAATGTCCTCCTCAGTGGGCCCAGCAACACCTGTAAGGCGATTTTTAGATGGAGAAAGAAGGCGTGAATGAAACGGACATCGACAGCAGAATCAAGTCCGCATGTCACATGTCTGCTGTCATCCCACGTTGACGACAACACCCACCCGCGTTGGCCAGCAGCTCAGCGAGGAAGTCCTCCTCCTCCTCGCGCTCATTCAGCGCCTCCTCCACCGTCCCATCTCCAAATCCCAACCGTCGTGTCACTCCCTCCGGGTCCCACAGCCCAAAAAGCTCCACCTGTCGATCCAAGAGGCTGTGAGCCACTCGACTATCTTGTCTCGTGTCCAGCCCTGCACTGAAGGCTGCCCCGTCCTCCTCATACGCGCGCCACATCTCAGCCTCTGCCATACTTGGCACACCCGCGACACGCTGCATTGGGACTGGGGCGAGGATAGGGTGGGGTGTTTGTCGTAGCGCCACTCGGATGCGAGCAGCCGCTTCTTGCTCTGACTCCAGGTCCTTCAGTCGCTGCTGCCCAGCGCTGACAACCGCCAATGATTTACGATGGTCTGCTGAGTCCTCGTGTTTGGTCGCGCTTCTCCTCGCAATCCACACGTGCCGTTCTGGGGGGTTTCCGGCAGAGCAAGCTCGACACAAAACTCGGTCATCTTCACGGCGTGTTATCCAAACTGCAACTGGTGAGTGTCCTGTCTGTTCCCGTTGCCGCTACTGATTCGCACCATCTTCATTTAGCCCCGCCCCACTTCCTCGGGCTGGCATTGGTCGTCCACAAGGCGAAAAGTGAGACTCCCCTCTCGGCAACTTTCACCCCTCCACCCCCCCCTCCAGCTATTGTCCAGCCATTCGAATCATCCCTATCATCTGTCCACCACATGTCCACCACCCTGAATCATATCGAAGACTTGTTTGTCCCAAATCCGACCACAAGATCATCATACGGCGTAAAACTACTTAAAAAAGCGCGACAACACCCCCAATCCTCCTCGACGTCTTCGTTCCACACACCCTCAATGTCTGAACCCAGTACTCCCACTGCCAGTCGTCTCAACAACATCTTCGGCGCCATGCAGCAACTGACGCCTGACTTCGCGTTCAACAACCCCGGCAGCCTTGATACTGGCATAGACGAGCTTCAACCCCTCCCCAGTCTCAACCTTATTCCGCACCAGAACGCAAGAGAAGCTGTGGAACGATTCGCTGCGTCGCGTCAACTTCATCAAGACCAGACAGCTGAATGTGTTGGAACTCTCGTGGTATGTTTTCTTCGTTATTCCTATATGCTATGCTTAGGCAAATCATACTGTAGGAAGCGGAGACTGTTGTTCTCGCCAAAATCTTGGCCGAAGTCATGGCCCTCAAGAACTTCGTTGGGAACATCATCGTTGCCACACCACCCTATGCCATGTCGGATGCTACGCGTGTATGTACCGTTCCTCTTCTTGGTGTATTCCCTGAATACTTTCTCAGCGCGGCCTCACCAAGTTCGGGCTTGCGGCCCCTTTTATCGTCGCAACTTAGCGCTTATAAAGGCAAGACTCCCGTCAATATCATCTTGGTACGAGTTCCTTTCCGTGATACGTTGGCTGACAGTGCCCAGAACATTCTCAAGCATCATCGTTTCGACCTCCCTCCCGGTATCGAGAACAAACCAGCCGATTACGAGACCGTGAAGAAGGAGATTCAAGAAATCCTTACCCAGCTCCGCTCGAAGATTAAGAAGCAGGTACGTGTCATGTTCGCATACTTCTGTGTCTGATATATTCCACATAGGTCGCCCTTTCAGTCCAGTACAATCGCAATGACGACACCTTCGGTCCGGCCAACCAACACGTCAACGTTTATGCTCTTGCGGAGGAGCTTGTGGAAGGCACCAACTGTGTCGTCACTATCGAGCTCTGCGCGCGTGTCGCACTCATTGTAAGCTGCTCTACTCTCCCATCCTTGTGTTGTGGTCTGATTAGATGGCAGCGCGACGTTTACATGCAGCACCGCTCCCACCCCAAATTCTGGAACAAGGTTGACGAGTACCTTGTGGCAATTCGCACGCAGGCGAAGGGCGATACACGCATGATTACTCGGTAAGCCCGAGTTCTCTATCTATCCCTGTACATTTCCAACCCTCTTCAGTGCTTTCCGCAACATTCTCGAGCACGACCGCGCAAATCATGGTGTCAACAATTACACGATCAACGCGACTGTCGGTGACGCTGTTCAGCAGCAGGTTTCGAGTGTCATTGATGCGACACTGATGAATGCAGCCTCCTCCGCTAACGCCAACAGCATGGACACTACCAATTAGCTATAGATTTACATGATGTAAATACATATGTCAAAGCCTTATTTGAATGTCCGTGGAAGCTTTTTGTGTGTCCGTTGAAGCCTTGCCACAAGGTGGTACAACAATGCTGATCCACCCCCTTCTCCAGGTTGCCACCAGCTGGACCTGGCCACCAGCTGGTGTCATTTGCGACTGACCCCAACTTCCAGCTGTTCACCCCCTCTATGCCATCCGACGACGACAGATGTCATGGATGTCAGAATCAGCCGCTGACCGGGTGGAGATCCCGTTGCGGTGTATAGGATTGGTACAAGTATCCTACAGGTTATATTAGCAGTATCAATACTACAGGACAGATATCTGCTATGTATCCTATAGAGAACTATTCCTACAGGACTGGTTGGTTAACCTATAGGACACGGGTTCAAGCATCCTATAGGATAAGTACACCTATCCTACAGGATAAATAGACCCATCCTGCAGGTTATGCCCATATCAGATTACCATGGGAAAATGCCCATGGGCATGTGCACAGGATTGGGCGCATTCTGTTCCTTCCAACGATCCGGAGGTCGAATTGAATGCGGATGTCCTGCGTGCTCTGCAAGACTGTCGTGCCGCCTTGTCGAATGCGACACGGCTCACAAAGGCTCTCCAATTAGACTTGCAACATGCGCCCCCAGTCCTCCATGCGGTACGTTGTTTTGAGCAACCGCCGACTCTCATTCATCCCACTTGCGGTAGCTTCGGGACAAATGCATCTCGTGGCAGGAGCGCATATCCATGCAAATACCTTGGGCAGCCAACCTGGCGCGGCAAAGTGCGCGAGGCATCGCTCAAGGCCTGCATCTCCATCTAGTCGTGACAAATGACCGACTCCTGGCTGCTCTCCGCCTCTTCGACGAAGTTGGACCCACTGATTGGGAGCCTGTGCAGCAATATATGGCTGACAACGCCTCCACGCTGTTTGCAGTTGAAGAGCAGGGATCGACAGCACCGATGAAGATCCGGAAGCCTTTGTTTGGAAGTCTTTCTCTTTCGCATTTGATACCCAAGAAACGGGGACGGGGGCTTTCCACCACAAGTTCGAGCGAGCAATCGGTTACAACAAGTCTGTCAGTCTCATTCTTCCCATCACAAATGCTGAATATTAGCAGCCAAGTCGAACACAGAGACGGTTTCACTCTTTTCTTCGAAAGATTCTCTTAAAAGCAAGAGTAGACCAAAGCCCTCGCCAAAGTTTGATCGTGAGTTCCGTTGCACCCAAAGTGGTGGGTCCTCATCAGCCTATAGCGACGTCCAGCTTTCTTCAGCTGAATTAAATTAAAGGCACACTTGGTTTGTTACTTAGACATTATCCTACAACATGTTATCATACATAAAAGCATTAGTGTCGAGGTAAAGAGGCTAATTCCGTCCCATCAGGTTTAGAGAGTGTCCGCTCGTTTTCATTTTCACTGCTAACGCTTTGGGGGCGAGCCCTCGGTCTGTCGAAGTTTACGGTCGGTAATGTGGGGAAGGTTAAGTTTTTTCCTTCGCGGACAAGCCCCAGCTTGGTCCGCCGATAGACACGGCATGCCATGATGCTGGTCAACACTAAACTCGGGATGACGGCGACAATGTGGTAGATACCGAGGTCCTGTGGAGCATAGACCAGCGCAATTGCGACAACATTGACGAGCACAGTGATCCTGGAGCGGGTTAGACCATAAGCAGACGCGTCGCGAGTGCTTACATGTAGTAAACCTGGCCCTCGGTCAACAGCGTTTTCGAAAACGCCGGCAGGTTTTTTCCGCTGATGAACCATCTAGCGCGGTCCCAGCTGCAGGCTGTCCCCCTAGCAGAGTCGGTGGGGTCGACATCGAGACCGTAGTTCCCCACGAGTTGGTAGGAGATCGTGAGGAAGACAGCAGTGTCGTAGACAAGGATGGTGATACCGGCTGCTCCGCTATAGTCGTCCGAGCTCGTGTAGAGACATACGTTGTTGACGGAAGCCGCTTTTCCGACGATGGGAATGAGGAGGGACGTGCCGAGCACGCAGAGCCAGAGCAACGCGAAAGTGAAAGTGATCGCCCGATTGAAACCGGAGACCGCGCGTAAACGGGCATAGAAGAGGTAGGCGGAGCCGGTGGTGGCGATGGGATAGAAGGCCTCAAATGCGTGGAGGGATGCGGCACAGTCTTGCAAAGGATACGCTGCAAGGTATCAAATACAGTAATAAGGACGCAAGTGACACACTTGAAAATAAAAGAATGCCCAGAGAATATATCAACGAGCCTACTCTGAAACAAACCTTCTGAGTAAAGAGAAAGTCATTTGTGGAGGAGGAAACACACCTTGAGGCGATATAGGCAACGGAGGCCAGCCCAAACTTTGACTTTTTCAACATCCGATACTCAGCTTGCAAGTTGTTGAGAACATCCCAGACGCAGACCTGGTCGCAAGTTAGATACTGGTCTGACTAGAAAATAGCAACGCACAGAAGCCGTCCCAGCAAAGACAAGCGACACGACCTGAAGCTGGCGGTGCAGAGCTGGGGAGAAAGAGGTCACGGCAGTAGGGCCGGACATGGGCCCAAGGAGGAACCGCGTCCTCTCGACTTTTGGTTCGGTGGCTGGTAGTTGGTGGTGAGATTGGCCTTCGGCACTTGCCCCTCCATAAAAGCACTAGACGAGGCGCGGTAAAGACTGTGATGGTTGACTTTGATGAAACGGAAGCATTCGTTGATTGCCGAGATCAGTATAGTCGTGGTGTAGGCGCACTTGAGTCCCCAATCGCCGTTCTTCTGCTTATTGGGGGCAAGGCGGGGCGTAGGTATGCAACCCTGAGCTACTCAACCTGAGTTTGGGCCGATACTTTCTCAGGCTATTTTGGTCTTTAAGAGCTGATCGCGTATTAATACCCGTGAGAATCATGTGATTTTAGATATTAATATGCAGCGCCTTCTTTCGAAGTTCATGCGCGTCGTGGGGAAGCTATGTAGGTCACGCCGACTCACGGAAGACGCGAAATCCATACTCACTCAGACTTGTTCATACTGTAGGTGAAATCATACAGCGTGACGGTAGATGAGTCATGCAGACCTTTTCTTTGCTTCCGACCGTCATGTCAATTCCACAAGAACTGCTTGACCTCATCGTGCACTATATCCCGAACGACGCTGACCTCGACAACACGTTGAGAGTATGCACGTACACATTTCGCGGTCTTGCGGGACCAGCTCGTCTGCGTTTGCTTCGTTCTCTACAATTGACGCCTATCGTTACCAATGGAGGGATTCATATGGCAAACAAATGTCAGAGGCTGCTTAAACTGCTCGACTCGCCCAGGAATATGGGTGCCTTAATTCACGCTCTTCACATTGTTGAAAGCCCCTCAGACGAATTGCCATGGATTGTCAAAGCGTCCCGCACACTCTCCCTCATACTGCCGTCTCTCGTCAATCTCCGGCACTTTTATCTGCGCTCCAAACTCCAGACTCTCCAATGGGAGTTGTTTTCACGCTCGTTCAAGGCTGCAATTGAAAAGATTGCTTCTCAGCTTGACACCCTGTCTTTACGTGGCGTGTTTATAAAACTCACCGATACTGCCCATCGACAACAAATACTGGCGATTATCGCCAAGTCTCCCAAACTGACACGAGTGGTCCTCTGTTTTCGAGAGCCGTGGTATTACGAGGAGGCAGAGTTTCCTCTCTTACCTGAGCGTCAGGCAGGTGGCGGTCTAGAGTCGCTTGTTGTCGGTGGCCGCAGTATGCCAACCCAAGTGGTTTTCGGCCCACTCGACTTGACCTTTTTGCGGGTCCTCGCGGTACAGTCCCATTCGGAGTCTTTGACACCGTTGGTCCAAGTCTGTGCTCGTGCAAAAATGCTCGAAGAGCTGTATATGTGGCCAGGAACACGTATTGTGGCTCTTGCTCCCTCGGTTTCCCGTTGAACTCACATATACGCCAGAGTATGGATTGCAGCTGGGGTCAATCGGTCTTTCTGCGTTCCCTCGTCTTCGTGTTCTCCACATCTGTGACAGGTGGGAACCCCCAAGTCTGCGCCAGGTCGTGGAAGAATGCTGCACAATACCGACTCTTCAGCACGTGTCGTTCGAATTCAGGATGTACGTCTCCTCCATCCCCCGCCCATCAATGAGCGCGGACCAGATTGACGCATGGAACGCGCTTGGCGCAGCGGTTACCGCTCGTCCGTCTACCCTCGAAGATGTCCGTGTCACGATTCCAGTCTTGTATGCCCAGGATAAGCTGTGGGCGGACGACTTCTTGGCTCAGCATGCTATGGGTGATTTCATTGCTATACGGGTGCGTGCATACGAGGTGAGCGTGAGGTTACAGTTGTAGTACTTATGGACCTGAATATTGGGTAGAATCCACGAGACGACCCGAACTGGTGGGGATGAATTGACGGGGAAGTTGGACGATAATAGCTGCTGTTGGCACCTTGATTTTATCTTGTCCGGACTGTTTGTCAGACACTAACTAAGCTCTCTTGCCCATCTGGTTCTTTTTCCTTCGACTTGGTTGAAACCTAGCTGCTCAAAGCATGATGCCATCTAAGTTGACATCCACAACTTGTATAACCAAGCGGCTACATTTACAACTTCAAAAAATTACGGATTTCAGGGTGACTAGACAATACTGGGGGCGCTTCGGAGAGCAACCGTTAAAAAAGAAAACTGGCTTTGACTGTGCCAATGGCTGTTTGATATCAGAGTTCACCCATACTCAATAGCCAGTAGCTGAATATTTTACATATCCATTGACCTGATGCTACTGACTTGCAATTACGAGTGGTTAGAGGCAGTGCGAATAATTATAAGTAAACTAAGTAGTGTAAGTGTTCATGGTCTACAGGAGGATAAGATTGGTAGCATTTAATATGCTTGATTGGGTACTAGAAAGTCCAGAACGCGCACTTCCGCAGAGGTGGCGACGACCAGACGGCCCGAGAGCGCGTCCATATCGTAGGAGCGCAGCTGGTTACGCCTGACTCCGGCGCTTTCGAGACTGAACACCGAGGCCGACGACGCCGGGACCAGCTCCTCCGGTTCCGCTGGCAGCGGTGCGACGCTTACGACGATGTCCGTTTGCAGGAGCCACGTGCGGATCAGGTCACGCTGCGCGTTCTGCGCGTGCTGCAGCGGCCGCGGGTCAAAGAACCCCATCTGCTCCTCCGGCACGTCCGCGCTGCTGACGCCCATCAGACGCGGCAGGGCCCGCGGCAGGCCGGCATCAGGTGCGGCCATCAGATGGAAGACGCACGCCACAAATGCGATGTCGCCGTCCCGCTCGCCGTAGACATCGAAGACGACCTGCGAGTTGGGCGGCGCAAGCAACCAGTCCGCTTGCCGGGTGAGTTCTATTTCGCTATCAAATATCCCGGTGATATGCGACACCGCCATGGACGGGTAAAACGAGTTGACGGTCTCTCTCGCGAGCGGAGAGTCGGTGGGCTGCAGAGGCGGGATGTCGAATAGCCACTGGCCGCGGGAGTCTTGACAAATAATCGTGGTGGGGGAGACCAGAATCTGTTGTGTATCAGTAAGTACTATTTCCAAATACCGTACAACAGGAGACAGACACTACTATAGACAGTGTGGACATTAATAGTCACGCATATGTCTTCCATGAAGTCCCAAACGGTCACAACCATGTTGTAGTGGAACGTGAACCGATTTGGGGTGAGAGCGTAAGCATGGAGGTTGTGTGCAGGAACGCGGTATTCGCCGATTTTCTTGAATTCATGTGTGGGTCCCAGCTCTACCTCGAATGCTGTGATGTCTATGGCAACGCTGTACAATTTCTCAGCTACTGAATAAGAAAAGAAATGATCATCACGGACCCACTTAGACGATGGCACACAACTACCCGCGCCACACCCTCCCGTTCTGCCGCCTGCAGCAAGAGCACGAACGGCTCGTGAGGCAGAGTGGTGCTTGCAAGCGGGTACGGATTGATCAGCGACGACGGGCCATAGCCCAAGTCCCACAAACACAGCAGACCAGAAACAGCACTCGTGACAAGGAATCGACCGCCTGGAACCAGCCGAGTTTGGCTGAGGCTCTGTTGGCCGGACCGCGCAAGGCGGGGCGCCAGCAGCCGCATCGCAAACGGGTCGAGCATTTTTTTCTCCCGTCAGAGAAGACTGTCGGAGCGCGTCGATAAAGCGTGCAGGAGCAGTCGCAGCGTTGACAAGGTCGGCGAGCGTCATTTGGTCGAAGGGGTATGTGCTTGTAGGAATCGCATGGACCACACAGAGACGCCGAAGCGCTTCAATCCACACTGTACGGTGGGTCGTGGCCGCCTGCATGGCTTTTGAACACTAAATTGAAGTATGTGTGTGTTACTATGAACAATTTAAGGAGGGTTGATTGACCTGCCGAAGGGAGATGATGTCCAGTGGCTGCATGTAGCTTTGGATGAGGATGAGGGCATCGAGCGGGAGCTCTGTGAAGAGGGGCTTCATGGTCGTTGTAATCAAGAAAAAACCCACATCATTATTCACGTCACGGCAGTCACGCCGTCTGTGACGCGACGTGGCTTTCTCTGTTCACCACTTCATCCCATCGATGTTGCAGACACGTCAGTCCTCCAATTCGCTTCCGCCAACACGATCGTTATAATCACGAATATAAGTCGTGAGAGACTTCAAATTTTTGTGGCTCAGGCTTCATGAGCTATGGAGCGCGGCTGGACTGGGAAGTTCCTGAACTTGTTCTTGTGCCAGTGCGCCAAATTTACTGCTTTCCGCACAACTTGACTTAAGATTTGCCTCTTCATCTTGTGGCCGCCACAATGGCTCCGATTCCTTCGAGTTTAGATCCCTGAGTGCTTCGCTACAAGATTTCCTACATTGAAATTGTCCCATCCATCCAATCCAAATGTCGCTACCCACACTGGCATTAAATCTCAATGTCCTCGCCCTCGAGCCACGCCTTGCACTGGGCCAACAGCCTATCATGTGCCTCCCCGCGCATCTGCGGCATATCAGTCTTTACTTTCACCCCCATGCACACCTCCTGGCAGTAGGCGAGGAAGCGGTACCCCTCCGGTAGCTTCGCAAGCCGAGCATCATCCAACTCCGGCACGCGCCGCGGGTCCACCGGCACAAGCCGGTCCTTCTCGTAGAAATGGCGCACGAAAACCGCGCCCCACGTGTCTTGGCACGGGTCGCGCGCGAAGAACATGCAGAAACGGCAGTCGCACTCGGCGTCCACCGCGATCCTGCCCGCCATCATGATCAGCACGTGCGCAGCATGTGACCGCGCCGCTCACCCGCCCGGCAGCACGAAGCGCTGCGTGATGGTCGCCTTCATCTTGACGACGGCGCGGCGGGCGTCCGGCTTGATGTCTACCGAGCAGCCGTGGACGCGGTGCATGATGTGTGCTCCGGCATCCATCCCCGCCTGTGACACTGCAATGAACTCCTCCAACCCGATCCGTCCCGTCCATGTTGTGTAGACCACCGCGCCCGGGTGAAAAAGCGACCGGAAGTTCTCCCACTCCCGTGCGTCACTGCGGAAATTAGATTCGAATAGATGGGGCATTAATCGCGCACCGGTACATCGGCCAGCCCTCTGCGAGTTCCCGCAGTTTGAAGCGGTGCATTGCCAGCTCATCTGGCCCGTTGTTGCGGACCGCGTGTGCCGGGTGCCAACCGGCGGGAAGCGCATGCAACGGGAGCGCATTTTTGCCCTTCAAGTTGTTAGCGTCCCCGTCGCTGTCGGGCATGGCCAGAAGGCAATATTCGCAGGGGGAGAAGTCGAATACGCTGCGTGTTTATATGCCCCGCGACTTGGACGCCGTCTCCAGATCGGAGCTAATCCCCGCAACGGCGACGGGGACAGCGCCCGCGACTAGTTCGGCCCACGAGCTACGAAGTGCACGCGGAGCATCTACTCGACAGCATAAGCGAGTGCTAGAAGCACCAGAAAACGAAGAGCTAGCGAGAACGAAAGTCGTGATAAGTCAGTCTCGCTTCTTTGATCGCTGTTGACGACGATCCAAGAGGTGTCCTGCCAATCATCGCACCAAGTTCACCTTGCTTTGCAACTCAAGCCGAGGTACCCCATCACGTCATGCCAACGTACAAGGCCGGAAGCAAATATTGATTTATCTGCGCAAAGGCAAGGCGTGCACGCTAGACAAAAATCATCGTGTTGATTTAAATCACCCGCGCCGCGACCGTGACTACGTCGGGCCACGACCTGGACGCGGAGCCAATTGAGATAAGTAAAGCGAGTCAAGTAAATACAGTCTGGAAACAAGATTTACACGAAACACGACAGCAAAGACGAGAGCAAGAGGTATGTAAGGAGAATATATGAGCCGCCAACTATAAGTAACCCAAATCAGCTACGACCACCGCCATGGTGCATATGCCAACCACCCTCCCCGCCTCCACCCGTCTGGTCATACGCCATCCACGCCTGGGCCCCGCTCTGGATGAACGCACCGACATCGAACATGCCTGTCTCCGGCTGCGCGAGGTATGCAGCTGGTGCGAACATCGGCGGGGCATAGGGCTGCTGTGGATGTGGATGTTGCTGATGCCGATATCCACTGGGCCCCGGCACGCCCACGTGACCGCCTGGATAATGCCCCGACGCGTGTTCCCACTCCAATTCCATCGCGGCCAAGTTCTGCCGCACCGGGATTTGCGCCTGCGTCTGCTCTTCCCCATGCCAGTGATGCGTGACTTGTGTCGTCTGGGGCGGACGATGATGCAGCTCCAATGGTGGTGGTGGTGGTGAGGCCGGGACGTCCTCCACCGGCTGCGCGCGAATCAGTTTTGTCGTCGTGCCCAACAAGTCCTCCGGGTTCCCCCCGCAAATTCGACGTGGGGAACGCCATCCGGCCTGCAAGCGGAACAGCCGGCGGCCGGCCCGGCGGGTGTCCGGCCTCTGAATCCGGCTCCCGCCCCGTGTGCAAATCGGGCCCGACGCCAGTTCGCCCTTCCGCTGCGCGTTGCATCTCCCGGCCCGCCCGCGCCGCGAGCCCTCTGGCACGCTCTGCCGCAACACGTGCACGCTCACCGTCCGCCCTCCCAAACAGCTCGATTGCAGCTTGCAGCCCATCATACGCGGCGGCCGCCAGAGGATGCGCTGGGGCAACAAGCACCAGTACCGCGAGACATACGCTAGCAGTAAACGTATGGAACGTAAAGTACCACATCCGACTTGAGAGCGCTGTAAATGGTTGTTCAGAAAATCTCGATTACTAACAAGAGACTACTAACCTGGATGGAGCGCAAACAGCCCCCCGCGCATTATCAATGATGGCACGCGCCGCCCGGACAAGACTGTCCACACTCTCGCGGTACCGTGACGTCGCTAGCCCGCCCGCACCCTCCATCAGCGCGCGACAAAACGGGCCACGGTGGAGGTGCAGCAACGTCAAAAAGTACATATTTGTCAGCGACGCGATTTGCGCGTCCCTTCTCAAGTCCCCCTCTGCCCCAAGCGCATGTGTGGGTAGCGTCGCAATCGGATGTACCACGGCATCAGACAACATCCACCCAGGTAACGCAGCGTAGCTCTTGTTGATCTCCCCGTCGAGCTCGAGGATCACGGAATATGTCGGCCCCGCGGCGCCGAATACTCGGTCCGCGATCCGCCCAAGCAGTCTCGCAAAACGGAACTTGTACACGTGCCAACGCGTGTGCGAGAACGCGCTATTGACCGGGTCGTCATCAGAGGGTAGTGGGGTGTCACAGGTTGTGGGCATTTCACAGTCGTCTGCAAAGGGTATCAGTTGAGATCATGTCAAGAGGCATATTGGGGGACTGCATAGGGCTGCCTGAAGCAACACTACGTAGCTTTCTCTGCCTCTTGGAAGCAAAGAAATCTAGCAGCAAGGGTAAATCTTGGAGTAGAAGATACCAAATTGAAGCAGGCTATTTCACGCAGTCCCCGATAGTATCAAGTACACTCACGATGTGCATCGCTCTGGCTGTAAGGCCGGCCAAACGTAAAAGACTGCTGTAATGACGTCAAACACAGAGATCACGTGGTGACAAAAACGCACAATCCGATCATACATATGTGTCTCCCAAAAAACACGTCGGCGCTCCTCAAGTTCAGGCCCAGGTAGGCCCCACCTTGAGCCATCACGGTGACACCCCTGGGCCTGGATAGACCGCATCGCCATTCCTAACAACTGCCACGCTGGCTCGCCGCCCGCCTCGCCCTGAGTGCTGAGGAAATAGAGGGCCATTAAATGGAGAGTCTGGACGGCGGGGATTGTGTCGAGTTTGAGCGGGATCGTCACGTTAAGGGCAGCGACCGCGAGCTCGAAGTAGCGTGCCGCAACAGGTGTGAGGGTTTCAGGTGGGTGGTTCAGGTCAAAGTAGGTGCCAACAGCAAGCACCATGCTGACCAGCGCGAGGATGTGGAGATTTGTTGGGGCGTAGGGGCCAGCGCGGTCGGGGTATATAGCGGGGAGGTGGGTGTTGAAGAATATCTTCTCCGGAATGATTTCGTACATGAATGCGGCGTTAGCAAAGTAGATGTGTGCTATTCTGATGGCGTCGTCGTAGCGGGGAAGACAGCCCATTTTGGTGAGAATGGCCATTTGTTGAGGAGAAACAGAGCGGTCTGTCTGCATAACCGTTAGTTAGAGCAGCATTCTGCAACCAGAAACACGCACCGAGTTCTCGTCTGAGCTGCCACGGCTGTGGTTTCCTTTCCACAAATCTGTGAGGTATGCTGCTCCACCTGACGGCCCCACATAACGCGAGCGCTTGTCGCTGTCGATGGTGAGGGTGCCAAAGCCAAGCGTTACGTCCGTGGACTGGTCCGTATTGGACAGTGTGCGCGGTCGTTTGGCTCGACTCGGTTCGCTTGTTGGCGGGGCTGTCCCGGGAATAGGCACCCCAGCGCTGTCCACAGTCAGAAGATGTTAATAATGGAACTGTGACACGCACCCCGTCAACGCCTGCTCCAGCTCTTGGATACGCTTTTGCATCGCTGCGTCACGCGCAACAAACATGGCGACCTCAGAGTGCTCCTGGTCCGCCCCGGGCTTGGCGGAGGGCAAAGACTGTTCAAGGCGTTTAAGGAAACCACGCTTGCCCTTCTCGAGCGTGCCAGAGGGACATAGGTTGGCGCATCCACGGCGGATGCAGGAGGAACATGGAAAAACACGGTCGCAGCTGTGACCCGTTAGCACGCCCTCTCCCCGACTACAAAACGGACCGTAGTTTTAGCCGCCGACATTCAGCGCAAGACGTCACTTGCGACTTGCGCGGGCCAGCGGCAGAGGTAGAAGGGCTGTTGGCTGGCTCATCCATCCATGTCTTGGTCAGGCGAGGAGTGGTGGTATAATGGGGGAGAGAGCAAGAGAAAAAACGATCACCGGCGTGACGTACGTGCGGGAAGGACACGGGTCACACGGTTGTCAAGCGGAGTCGCCGTCACTTAGCCTGAGTGACGGCGAAGTTCTGCTGCTCAACTTGTACACAACACAGGATGGACAGTCTAACAACAATGAAGAAACGACACGACACTCTACAGTTGGTCTCCAGCAAAGCGCAGTTGGCCGATACTGCTCGGTCTATAAAATTAAGTCACTGAACTCCGGGGTCGGATCCGTCCAAGATCCGTCGGTTCCGAGTGCGTGGATCTTCGAAGCTATGATAACTCAACTGTGTTTCCCTACGCCCGGTTGTCTGCCTTTCTTACTGACGTGATCAACTCTGGTAATAAGTACTGACCTCATTGTCTTTAGGTCCTCTAGTGCCCCATTTCAAGTTCTCTGCCAGACTCGGAGAGCCCAACACTGTCACGGAGTGAACAGTAAATGTTGGGACATTGCTTGAGGTACCACGAGTTGACATTGAGTTGGATACTCGTCTGCAGGGCAGCTAATGGCAGGATTAAATTGAGGTGCCAACAACAGCTATTATCGTCCAACCTCCCCGTCAATTCATCCCCACCAGTTCGGGTCATCTCGTGGATTCTACCCAAGATTCAGGTCCATAAGTAGAACAACTGTAACATCACGCTTACCTCGTCGGCGCGCACCCTTATAGCGATGAAATCCCCCAGAGCATGCTGCGCCAAGAAGTTGTCTGCCCATAGCTTATCCTGGGCATACAAGACGGGAATTGTGACACGGACATCTTCGAGGGTAGACGGACGAGCGGTAACCACTGCGCCAAGCGCGTTCCATGCGTCAATCTGGTCCGCGCTCATTGATGGGCGGGGGATGGAGGAGACGTACAGCCTGAATTCGAACGACAGGTGCTGCAGAGTCGGTATTGTGCAGCATTCTTTCACGACCTGGCGCAGACTTAGGGGTTCCCACCTGTCACAGATGTGGAGAACACGAAGACGAGGGAACGCAGAAAGACCGATTGACCCCAGCTGCAATCCATACTCTGGCGTATATGTGAGTTCAACGGGAAACCGAGGGAGCAAGAGCCACAATACGTGTTTCCGGCCACATATACAGCTCTTCGAGCATTTTTGCACGAGCACAGACTTGGACCAACGGTGTCAAATACTCCGAATGGGACTGTACCGCGAGGACCCGCAAAAAGGTCAAGTCGAGTGGGCCGAAAACCACTTGGGTTGGCATACTGCGGCCACCGACAACAAGCGACTCTAGACCGCCACCTGCCTGACGCTCAGATAAGAGAGGAAACTCTGCCTCCTCGTAATACCACGGCTCTGGAAAACAGAGGACCACTCGTCTCAGCTTGGGAGACTTGGCGATAATCGCCAGTATTTGTTGTCGATGGGCAGTATCGCTGAGTTTTATAAACACGCCGCGTAAAGACAGGGTGTCAAGCTGAGAAGCGATCTTTTCAATTGCAGCCTTGAACGAGCGTGAAAACAACTCCCATTGGAGAGTCTGGAGTTTGGAGCGCAGATAAAAGTGCCGGAGATTGACGAGAGACGGTAGTATGAGGGAGAGTGTGCGGGACGCTTTGACAATCCATGGCAATTCGTCTGAGGGGCTTTCAACAATGTGAAGAGCGTGAATTAAGGCACCCATATTCCTGGGCGAGTCGAGCAGTTTAAACAGCCTCTGACATTTGTTTGCCATGTGAATCCCTCCATTGGCACCGACAGGCATCAATTGTAGAGAACGAAGCAAACGCAGACGAGCTGGTCCCGCAAGACCGCGAAATGTGTACGTGCATGCTCTCAACGTGTTGTCGAGGTCGGCGTCGTTCGGGATATAGTGCACGATGAGGTCAAGCAGTTCTTGTGGAATTGACATGACGGTCAAGGACTCGGGAAAAAGCTCTGCATGACTCATCCACCGTCACATGGTCAGACTCGGACTGGACCTTGGTAAATTAATAAAGTGATTATGCTCCCAAACAGGGCGGCCAACCAACCGATAACAAACCATGGGATCTGAGAGTAAACATGCGACTTCCACGCTTCAATGATCATTGGAACTGAAATTTTAATTTTAAATTCAAACGGTGGCCCTTGCCCAACATCAACTACAGTACTTAGTATCGACTCGGAGTCCGACACAACTGACAATTCGGCCATGGTATTATTCGATCTGGTACAAATTAAGCAGCTATATCACGGTGACATCCATTATAGCGCATTTCAAGTCCATCCAAGTGCATTCTAGTCCAACTCTGGCACTTTCCAAGGGTAGCTTTTCCGCAAGGGATCCTCCCCCTTCACGCCGAGGTGCCTGCGCAACAGGTCCGCGACATGCTGGACGTTGATCTCCAGGTCGAAACTGTCGTGCCTCGGTGGCGGGACCACGATTGCGGCATACGTCTGCGAAAGCAACGACGCTTCCTCGTGAATCATCATGGCAATCCGGTTCTCGGTCATGAACTCGAGAATGAAGGTGTCTTTCTGTGCCCTATTCTTTGGTCAGAAAACGGAAGAAGACTGTGTCTGGGCAACATACCATCGGTGGTTTATCATTGCTCCGCCATGTGGGCCGACGATGGCGAGCGCGTTTTGCGAGACATACGAAAAGAGCTCGTCGACAGTATGGAATGAGTCCGCATTGAATATGACCATTTCTTCCCCCAAATTGCGCTCTTCGAGGACGGACTTGATGGTGGCCAGAACCGCTTCCTCGTTGATGACCCATCGTCCATTTGAGGCCTGCCCAGCGGAGCGCGACATATAGAGCACCTACATACACATGTGAGTCTTGTTCAAGACGAAAAATAAACGAGTACCTTCTTGCGCTGGACGGATGTCGAATGCCGGTCTGGGACGCCAAGAACTTCGAGTAACCGTAGGGACGGCCACGGATGTACCAAAACTGCTCGGCATGAGAAGATGAGCCGCCTGGCAGCAATCGACTTGTGTTGATGGACGACATGATTTTCAGGAAATCCCATACGCTTCCATAGCTCCTGGACTGTTTTGGAGCCAACTTGACCGGTTAGGACGGCCACGTTTCCCCGCATTTCTTGGTAGAGATGGGAACCTTGGACTACGATGTGCGTTACACGGTCCAGAAAGTGTTGGAACGAGTTGGCGTCGGGAGAAAGCGCAATAAGGGCATTTGGGAATGCTTTGGCCATCTTGTCTGCAGCGAGCGGCTCAATGGATGTCGTGCTGACACCTTTGGACATGCATGCTCTGTCTGACCATATGTCCGGGCCGAAACTACGGGTATATTGTACGTCGTGAAAAACCTGAGCACAGAATCTTGAGCCGAAATCGACTTGGAAGAGCTGAGAACGCACATAATTTTGTCCCGACTGCCCACTGTATCTGACCCAGCCTTCGACAAGATGGGCCCGATCGCGGTATTCAGGATCATTTTGGGCGAATTTCTGCCACACATCGCGCTGGCTGTCTGTCGCAAAATAAGGCTGGCGCAGCTCGAAGTCAGGGTACAAAAGCTCCTCTGAGTGGATGACATGCGACATTTTCTTGGCAAGACAGGGCGCATAGTGCTCCGGCATAGCAAATGAACAACTCGATAGAGCCAGAGGGGCCCATTGAGAGCTGGCGTTGGCCACCGACGACGAGCGCTCAAGAGCTTGTGCATATTGGAAGGGGGAAGGGGTGGCGGGATCAACGCGGTACCAGGCGTGAAGGAATATCAACGCGGCAGACGCGTTAACAATCAGGACAGCTAGGTATATTCTGCGTTTGGAAGAGCGTAGCGAGTTCATGAGAAAGAGCGAGGGGGTTGCATAGAGTGTTAAAGGCACCACCGGAGATGTAAAAGAGTGCGGAATCGAAGTGGTGAGCGCTAAGTCAAGGATGAAAATGGAAAGAAAGCCGAGGGTAATCCAAGGGTAATATCGGTTTCATCAGCTTTCCGCAGTCGACAAGTCTCCATAGCAAATGTGAGTTCCTGGTTCTAAGCCACAACTGAGCCATGGCCAACGAAGTCACTCGCGCTCTTGACAATAATGAGTGTGTCGGAATCAAGTTGTAAAACGGCAACACTCAGGCTACCAAGCAACAACTTTGGGCATCTCGGAGTTCCACGTGATCCAGCCTTTTTTCCTTCCGACTCCCAAGATGTTCTCCGCACGTCGTTCTCTCCGCCAGCTCGCCTCAACTTCTGCCCGTCTTTCGTTAAGGCAGCTGGCTGTCGCGCCCCTTCTTCCGCGCACCGCGCTCCAGGCGACTCGCTCATTTTCAGCCACCAGTCGCGCTCTCAAAGCTGGATCCTGTTTGTTTTCTAAAAACGTATAGACCTTTCTTGACTTGTATTCCAGCGGATATCTCCCTTTCACAAAAGCTCTCAGAGGAACTGAAGTACGAGAAAGAGGCCGAAGAAGGGCAGGAGCCAGAATTCGTGCGCGACTTCGCGTCGCAGGGTATATGGCAGGTCGGAAACGTCCAAACCTCTTCCATTCTGTTTTCTAAAGCTCCTAACAGATCAAAGACACGCCTGGCGACAATGAAATTGTGCTGACCCGACAGTTTGGCAACGAGAGGTCAGACTTAGTCTTCACTTCGCAATCACACAAGTTTGACAAACATGGCAGCATTCGGCTCGTATTCTCTGTTGCTGACCTGCAAAATCAGGAACCAAATGAGTTTGACGAGGAGGCAGGGGAGGAACGTCCGGAGGAGGAGGAGCAGCAACAGGATATCATGCGTGCTGTTCTCACTATCACCAAAGTTCGTTTGTTCGTCCCCCCGTCTGGCTTTTGCACTCAAGAAACTTTCAGTCGCCTACCAGTGGAGCGCTTGAGGTAGACATGACCGCACAGAACGGCCAGTTCCTCGTCGAGAACGTTACGTTCTACCCCGACACGAAGCTGGGCCAAGACACCAGTGTCGATGCTGATTGGAAGCGTCGTGGGCTGTACCTGGGGCCTGAGGTGCCGTTTTGAAAATTTGAAGGATGCTTTTAACTGACGACTGCGCAGTTCAGCACCCTTGACGTTACTCTCCAAGAGGAGTTCGAGAAATACCTTGCCGAACGCGATATCGGCGAATCCCTTGCACTGTTCATTCCCGACTACGCTCATCATAAGGAACAGAAGGTCAGCTTCAGTTTTGTTTCCTCGTCCTAACAACTGACGCATTTTGTAGGAGTATGTTCGATGGCTGAGCAACGTCCAGAAATTTGTCGATATATGATCCCGTAGACGTTTCAAAAGTATCTAATATTTACTTAGCTACCACCACTCAATACTATTGACTACCATTTCTGGAACAGGTTGGTGCTCTAAGTCGCAAGGTACACAGAGTCGATAGCGCCTGAGATCCTTGCAGCAATATGGGCATCGACTTGAGCCCAGTAATCTTCCTTATACTTGGAGCCTCTCAGCCAGTCGGAAATATAACTGCCCTGTCCTAACAGTACCATGACAAACCTCTGTTCTACCTTGACGATGCCCAATTCTTCTACTGAGAACTTTCTCGTCAACCTTGTATAAAGCACAGCAAAGGCGCGCAACCCAAGACATGAACTGAAGATAAGCTGCCAGGTTTTAACTGTCGGCAAACTCTCTAATGCGAGATGGGTGAGGCTCGGGAGGAGCGCCAGCCTCTTCCAGCGCTCCTCGATCAGGGTTGACGAGAATCCAGCATCCGACGCGGTTCCAAAAAGCGACAAGTGGGACAGTTGGGCGAATGCGGGGTGGCTGAGCGACGATACGGCCGACCGCGAGCCAGAAAGAGTGGCAAAGTCGCAGTAAAGGCGCTGTAGACTTCCGGTCTGAAGAAGATGCAGCGATGGATACACCGGCCCACCGATGATTTCGTCGTCAAACAAAAGGAAGGGTGACGGCCAGAGGAGGAGGTTTTGGGTCCCAGAGAATGTCGACAGCGCGCGATTGATGTCCGCCGCTTGGAAGGAGATGAGCAGGACATTGCGGACTGTGGCATTGAGAAAGCCAGCGGGCTTGTGCTGGAGTATGTAGTCGAATGATTTCAGGTCCCAGATGTGCTCTTTATCCATAATGTTACCGACAGCCAACTTGAATATCAGAGTGTGGTAGAGAATTGGTTCCGTCCTGCAACATGTACTTCAACTGTGGTTCATAGGGCTATTTTTAACTTGCCATCGTTGCACGCGCTGCGCGACACGAGCTAGAGTTGGAACTAGTCGCTTGTCTGCATGCGCGAGGGAAGAGAATATCAGATACTCCAGTTCAGCTGGTAGACGGCTCATAAGTTATTTATCATCGGACCAAATCGCGATACTGTGCTGTGACGGCGAGCACGTGACCACGTCACGCGATGAGCACCTTTCCACCGACCACAACAAGCGCAACTCAAAAGAAGGAGCGCAAGTACGCGGAGCTTGCCAGGTCAGACGCGTCTCTATTCCATCACGCCAGCCAATCCATTATATATCAGCGCGCTCCAGAGGATGTCCAAAACCATGGCGCAAACGGCCGATTTGTGCCAAGAGGTGCAGCTTGATCTCCATGCGATGCGGGATTTTGCTGGCATCGATGCCGCAAAGTATGCGTCCTTCATCCTGAAATGATTGACTGCTTTAAAGTGGCTAGATTTATGACTGTGGCAGCGCAGATAAACAGACTTCAAGACGAGGAAGAGAGATCCACAATGGAATAATACACTTTGTACCTCTATGGACCGTCACACCTCCCACAGAGAGTCACTAACTCAGTGTCTGACGCTGGCCATCGCTGCTCCAGAATTAATCCACCAAATTCATCTTCGACCTGAACTTGAAGACGGGCATGATCGAATCATCGATGTGGGACGACTGTTGGCTGTGCCACCGCCCTTCGGTGAACGAGTCAAGACCAATGTGGACATACAGATGACCGATGTGGCAAGGCCTTTGAGCGAATGAAGAATTGCTGGACATCAGTTTGGGCAGAAAGTGCTGGATTATCATGGCCAACAGTTCAACACGCTGCTCATTGCGGCTGCCTCAACAGTCGCGCCTCCGTGTGTATTATTTAAAACTACTTTGGCTCACGATTTGGTATTCCCCGTTCCAACACGAAATTCCGTCCAACCCCTCGTGTTCGTTCACCTGCCAGCCAGGCCGTGCAAAGGGAACTTGGAAAGGGTCAAAACATCTCCTCTGACTATGGCTACGCATCGTTGTCATGCAGTCGAGAGGAGCAGAGAAGTGTGTCATTCTTCGCTGGCGGCGGGGTATGTCGTCGGCGTTAAGTTTCTGGTCCACAGTCCGTCTGGGAGGATGCGGCCGAGGTGCAAGCCGAGAGGATTGGAGAAGTAGCACCTGAGGGACGCTGTGAATCGCAAAGCCTTAGTTTCACAAGCCAGTTGTATGTTGGCAGTGCCTCCCGACATTGGAATTATATGCCACCAGCTTTCCCGGGGTGATCGAACACGAATCCCTTCCACAGGATCTTACAGGGTGATTTGCCCCAATCTGGCTATGCGCTCCACAAATCCATTTGCTGGCAAGCAGCCGAGTGTGGAGAATGTATGGTGGTCACCAGTGACATCTCAAGCTTGGGTGGCCTATAATTTTGCCAACAGCTGTAAAGAGGATGTACATGTAGGTTCAAATTCTTGCGGGCTGACGCACAGGCAGTGAATATTACGTGGGCAAGCCGACTAACTTAGGAGTTAGGACGAGATTCACGAGAAACAGAAAAGAAGCATACTCGTACAGTATCAACAAAAGGAAGAAAGGAATATTAAATGAACGCTGTAAGTGTGCCTGGCTCGATGGATGTAGCTATAACTGGTATCGAAAGGTGCGTATTTTGTCTAGTATTACATGGTGTGGGGCAGTCTTTGCGTTAGGGGATAGATCGTACAAGAGGGGAATAGCGAGATAAAAAGCGCAGCCACGACGAGGCAAGGAAAAGGTGTGACCATGTTCCTTGTACAACCACCGACCGGCCAAGCACGGGCCAACATGAGAGAAAAAAAATAAATTGGATTGAAACGGCGTAACGAGGGACGAGGAAGAATAAGAAACCAGACTGTGGACCGACAAAAGCCAGCAAGAGGCGAGGCGACGTGTATGAGATGATGGGAAGGCCTTGACTTTCGCCCGAGTAAACGGTGCAAAGACGCCAACGGGAAAGCCCCAACATCCTTTACTGGTTGTCTTTCTTCTTCTGCTTGCGCGGAGGTGTCACGGGCCGCCCAACATTTATTCCGCCGTATGGATACTTCGCTTTTTTCTCAGCTGGCTTCAAAATCTTGATGCGGATAAGGGAAAGAAGAACCAATGACTCATTTCACGCACTTGGAAGGAGCACAATAGTGTCTCGTCAACACTCATCATAGCACCCGCGTTGTCAAACTCCCCACAATAGTTCGGCGCTGAGAACAATGTAACCAGATGGCGTCGCGCGAAGAATTCGTATCCATCCTCGACGACCTAGTCCAAATTAGTTGCAGAGAAAGTATTGAAGTGGTTGTCGCACCTGATGTGCTCGGCAGATTAGGTCCATGTCATGTTTTTGCAGGAACCGCGAAACTACGTCCGGTCCGAAAGTGAAGGAGACGCCTCTGTCATTCTCTGACCATCCAGTTATGTCTTTGTCGGGGTCGGACCAAAGGAGGTCGCAGAGCAGACCTGAATCTGTTCAGAATGGAGCTACTAAAGGTAGCAGCAACGGACCGGTGTCAGGCACATCCGTTGGCCGCATCACTCGTCTTATCTGCTCCATCGACTGTAGGTCCGGACTCAATCCACCATGCATCGTGAAAATCTTCTCGTCAATAATCGCGGCAATAGGCAAGCAATTGAAACAGTCGGTGAATGTCTTCCACAATTTGATATTGTAGCGGCGCTTGCCTACACTATCGTGTGAGCGAAAAAAAAGGACCAAAAAATTTGGCCACGTACATTCATCGTAGAACCCGTATATTCTGTTGATACTTGCGCATTCATGGTTTCCGCGAAGTATGAAGAAGTTTTCGGGGTATTTGATCTTGTAGGCTAACAGGAGACATATTGTCTCCAAGCTTTGCTTCCCTCGGTCAACATAGTCGCCGAGGACTACAGACGAGTGAGTATGGCCAATGAGAGAGAGAGTGAGAGCGTACATAGGTAGTTGGCTTCAGGAGGGAAGCCGCCATATTCGAACAAGCGCAGGAGGTCGTAATATTGGCCTGGATAAAAATGAGGGCTTCGTAATGCACAAGCCTAGCCTGACGCACCATGAATGTCACCGCAAATCTTAATTGGGGCCTCCAACTCCAGCAGAATGGGCTGATTTATGAAGATTTCTCGTGCCTTGGTGCAAAGGTATTTGATTTCGTATTCTTGCAGCTGGACGGGTTTTCCCGGACGGTTTCCGCGCACTGAAAAGGAGGGGTTAGGGAATCCGGGTACTGGACTGGGGCTTTTCGGGCGAGACAGTATGGGCATCAAAGACGACAACAGCGGACAGATGTGTCCCCAAAATGACTCGACCAAACACATATGTGCATGGAAGGGCTGCTCCAATACCCCCAAGCCTGTCCACTCATACCCGCCCAACGGTGAAAACGAATGCCAGCGCACTCACCCTCTGCTGAACTGTCAGCAAGCTTGGAATAAAGCGAAAAAAAATCACGAGCCTAGCAGCCGGTCTATCACTGAGTCCAAATCTATTTCAGCAACGACGTCGGCCATATTGAAGTCCAATAGCGGAGGTTCGTGAAGAGGGAGGGCGAGAGAGTCGTTACTCGAGCAGGCGATTTGGGGTGGAAATTAACGGGGATTTCCGGCCGCGTGCAGTCCTAAGACGTCCACAGGTGGGTTTTTGGGAGTTGGGAGAGCAAGGAAAGAGGCGGGCAGGGGCGACGGCGGAACGACGTGAGGGTAAAATCGATAAAGCTGACCAAACACGAGTAAGCCGACGTTTGATGGCAAACTTTCTCTTGTTTCGAACGACCAACCACAATCAACTAACGACCGCGGCCACAAGTTATTGGAACTACAAGTTATCTACATCAAGATAAACGAGAGTCATAAGCAGTACTGTCGCGTATCCAACAACCGCTGCATAGCCGTCACCAGTCGGCATATAGGTCATGCTGCTACTCCAGCTTCGGAATCCTACGATTGGTTGAAGTTATCGCTTTGAACGACTGTTGGGGATTGCGCTGGAAGACAGTTGCCACTCAGCATGCTGCCGCTGATATTGCAAGACCTGACTATATCACTGAATCTCTGCCGAGTTTTCGGGTGGCTTCAAAATTTTCAAAGGATTTTTAGCGTGCGGTACTTCGGCTTGAGTTGTGTCCCCAGTCTCACGAGCCCACAGCCTAGCTTCAGATGGATGGATGCAGTGCCCATGACACACTAAACTGACGTTGACGCGAAGCGAGATAGATTCTTAATTTATGAAGATGATCAAAACTCGGGTTTTCTTTTCCTTCCCATCCCACTCTATTCCTCTCCGACCCTCTCCCCCATCGCGGGCGATGCCGCCAGAAGTTTCGACTCCTCTGAGCTCTTTACAAATGTTTGACCCGACTTCGCTCAGTCCAACAAATCTTCCGAAGGTTTGTTCTCTTCACCAAGCTGTTCCTTCACTAAATTGGAGTACAGAAACTCATTCTACTCACGCTCGCCCTCCTTGATCCTTCATCTCCGTATGTGTTGCGTCTCGCTATTTGCCTGCGCTAACAAATGGACCAGAAAATTCCACGAACTGTCAAGGGAGATCCAAGTGTGGTCAGACAGAGACATCGTTGCAAGCCTAGCAACATACGCCTCGGTCGTCGATACGTTATTCGACGTCCTCAAGGAGGCAGTACGTGTTTTTGTGACTTTTTAATGCATCTGATGGCGGTTAGCATCGGGATACTGCGATCGTCCAGGATGTTTTCGACAAGTTATGCGAAGACATTGAGGCCCTTCACGATCATATGCTCGACCTGCTTCATACCCCGGATACCTACCAAGTCTTTCTTACAAGTTCGGAGGACCAATCCCAGCAATTGCTTGACCTACTCCAAGAAGTGCGTGCTCTTTCATCAGCTTGAGTATTGCTCATCGGCTGGTAATAGCTGCTTGATCTGTTTCCGGACTCGACGGAGCGACCTGTTTTGTCCAAAGCACTGCTTCGAATTTCTCGCGCTTCAGGCCGCCTTCCGACTTGTTTATCGCTGTCAGGTCTCCAAAAGATTGGGAAGCAAGTTGCCGCTGGTGGATTCGCGGACATTTGGAAGGGTCTTATTCGAGGACAAAGTGTCTCCGTCAAGATCATGCGGTTATTCCGCGATGATGACATTCGGGACATTCTGCAAACCTTTGGTCGCGAGGCACTCATCTGGAGACAGCTCTCCCATCCAAACCTCCTGCCGTTCTTTGGCTTGTACTATCTAGACAGCCGGTTGTGCTTAGTTTCTCCTTGGATGGCCGACGGGCATGTTTTGGAGTATCTGAAAACTGCACCGCCGGATACCGACCGAGTGTCTTTGGTACAGAATTCAATTCCCCTTCCCACAAAGCTAATCATAGCACAGATGCTTGATGTGGCTCTCGGCATTGAGTACCTGCACGAAAATAACGTGGTCCATGGAGATCTAAAAGCGGTTTGTTTCTGTCACCTATCTTCCCAAGTATCTAATTAGGTTCAGATGAACATCTTGGTAACACCATCTCATCGTGCTTGCGTGGCGGACTTTGGACTGTCATCCATCACTGATGCGATGACGCTCAAATTCCCGCATTCAACCGCGAGTGTTCGGGGAGGAACGCCCCGCTATCAGGCTCCTGAGCTGATCAACACCGACAATGTCAGCCATTATCCTTCAGACGTGTATGCTTTTGCGTGCGTCTGTTATGAGGTACTAGTAGTTTTTCTCGCTAGTTGTTCCTGGTTTTCTTGATACCATTTTCAGATATGGAGTCAACTACGCCCGTTCCATGAGATTAATCAAGACATCTGGGTTGGTATCCAGGTCTTGGGGGGGCTTCGTCCTACCAAACCCCAGGACATGGCGGAAGAACACCCTCTTTGGCTTTTGCTCCAGGAAGCATGGGTGAAGGATCCTACTGAGCGGCCAACCATGACACACATTGTCCATCGGCTAGTCGGTGACTCAATCGGCGCGACAATTCGCTCATACGGCTCATCGGACTGGGACGAGACATTCAGTTCGAGATTCAGGCGGTCTTTCCAGCCTTGGCCGCTCTTGCCGTCTTTGGACAAAATCAAGCGCCGTCTTGTGGGCAATGGTTCGTCACTTTATCTCATCGTACATGGATACTTAGTCTTGTTTCATGCTAGATGAGGAGCCTCATATGGACTCAGACAGTGCTTCAACCTCTTCGCCCAGACCAGGTCATTAGGATTTCTCTCTGTTGATTATCGATGCTCAAAATTACCACAGAGTTAACTCCACTTCCGCCAATTAGTACTCTGTTTGCATCCACCGGAAGGCGACGACAGAAGAAGTCCCGTCTTCAAAGTCTGTATCTGCCCGTCTCGTGCCTCACCGCCAACCACTACGTCCCCATCCCGACAGACGACCCTGTAGTTGAGGTATTCGTGTCCACTCACGACCTTGAAGTCCATCGTGTTGGCTTGTCACACAATCTTCCCTCCCTGCCGCAAATGAGCCCCAGCTCTTCACAAGACTCCAGCCCTGTCGGCTCTCCGCCGCCAGCAGAGAGACTCCCGGATTTGGAAACGTTGCGTCAAGACTGCCTGCGGATGCTATCAAACCCGCATCCAACGCTGACCCCACGATCAGAACTCGGTTTCTTGACCTCCCCTCAATTGAACGCAATTGACCTCGAGCTTGGTGGTCGCACTCTCATTGACGATGCTCCCATCCCGGAATTTCCGGCGACCCCACGCCTCAGCTGCAGCTCTTCCTTTGAAGACGAACCTCTTATTGATCCCTCGGATCGATGGTCAGAGTCAAATTTGGTCGATACTACCCCCGACCCGGCAGAGACACCGTCTCCAGGCAGCAGTGCAGGGCCGACATCGGACAGTCCCCGGCTTATATATGGTCCTCCACTCCGTTCGAAACGAGCAAGTGATCCACTTCCACTTCGACTAGCTGCCAAGAGGCGACGGACTGAGCCAGCGATGTCCATTCGCTCTCTTTGCGAATAGGTCGAAGACTGCATAACCTAGACCCCTTTCCAAGGGAACTCGTGGGTGTTACAAAACATTGAGGCTTTTCAGGCCTTATACATTCAAGTTACAGTTACACATATTACCCGCAACTTTGTACATTAGACACTTTATCACAACGTATCTCGACGCTTGATTCCAACATGACAACGCAACGGCTTCCGCAAAAAGCCTTCGCGTGTTTCCAACTGGGAAACAGTTAGAAAAAAAGGAAAGTCCAAGTGCATCCTTACCTCCTCTCCTGGGAATTCCAACACAAAGTGGAACCTGCGTAGGATCGAGGCGACAATTATCTGCAGTTCCAGAGACGCCAAATTACGTCCTACACATGCCCTTGGACCGACAGAGAAAGGATTGAACGTTTTTGCCATGAGGTCCTTCTTGTCCTCTTCGAACCACCGTTCAGGGCGATATGCTTCGAAATCCAAACCCCATACCGCTGGATCACGATGAATGGTGTAGCTGGGGACAGAGAGCACCGCTCCTGGGACAAACGTGTGTTCATTGAGTGTCAGACCCTCTGTAGTTGCTTATGTCAGAATTCATCTTCGGCTCTGATCCTACAAACCTTCGGGAACAACGCGAGGAAGTCCTAGCGCACTGGTAGAATGCAGACGAAGAGCTTCGTTGATGCATGCGTCAAGATATGGTAATCGTTTGACCTGTAAGCTGGTTGCAACACGCTCATCTTCGGTGCCAAGCTGCTCGTCGAGTTCTTTGTGGAGCTTATCCTGAACAGCAGGGTTTGCAGCGAGGTAATAGATAATGGCACAAGTCGAACTACGAAAAAACGGTCAGAATACGAGGATGAAGAATAAATACGCCACTGACTTGGAGGTTGTATCACTTCCAGCGATCAGCAGCGTCAGAGCTTCAGCGGTCAACTCTGGACGACCCATCAGGTCACCGTTGTCGTCCTTACCCTGCTGCAGCTTGCTCAACAAATCCACACGGTCTGTAGGCCCACCATCAAGTCGCTTGGCGACAGCGACGATAGCAATCCCGGCCAGCTTTTTGACATCTTGCAGTCCCTTGTTGTACCAGGGGAATTTGCGCATGATTGGTCTGACCCATGCTGGCAAAACACCCATAGACATTGAATACTCGCCGCGACCGTTCAGCACAGCGACAGCGGGGATATGCATCACGGCAGTTTCGTCTTTGGAGTCGAAGGTAACGTCATTTGGCCCGCCCCTTGGAACGGGCGCAGCATCACGGGCGGCTTCAATCATGCCAAACGGCGCACCAAATGCGAGGTCTCCGATGATGTCGAACGCGAGATAGTTGGCCCCTTGAAGGATTCAGTGGAAATTAGAAGGTAAGCATGAGAAGCTCACATGGAAGACAGTCAAGCCAGAGACGGCCATTCCTCCCAGTCCAACCGCTTTCCCCCTCGGCTCCAGACCCTCCCTTCAATGCGCTGTCATATAAACGATCCCATTGCGAGAGCAGACTGTCCACGTATAGTCGGATATGTGGCTCAAATTCGACCACGCTTTTCTGAGAGAAGATGTGGGACACAATCTTGCGTTTCCGGCCATGTTGTTTGCGGTCGCGTGTGTTGAAGAGGCCGCGTTCGATAGAAACAAATGCGTCGTAGAAGGTTGACTTCAAAGCGCCGTTTCCGTGGGCATAGACAACGGCAAGCGCATCGGGGTCCGCTACCGAGACCTCTGAGGGTGAAATGCGAACGAATGGACCTTCACTCAGTCAGCAAGTTGCGCAAGGGACAGTCAAGCCTCTTCCACTCACCATACTTGAGATGCATTTCATGGATAACCTCTGACCTGTGGCCTTGTTGCGAGACATAGCCCAGCCAGGCATCAGAAAATCTTGCAAGTAGTGGTCCTGGGTAGCGTCGTATGCCATATGGGTCGAGGAGATAGAGAATGAGATGGACGCCTACAACAACGGCGGCAGGCAAAGCGACCGCAGTAGCGAGAAGCGTGGAGTAGCTACAGTCTGTGAACGGCATAGGTTGGAAGAAGGGTTGCGTTCTCTGAGAAACACACCCCGGTTAAATAATACTTGCTAGTGGGCAGCAAGAAAGATAGCTCGCGGTCACGCGCTCCGGTGGCAGCGGCACGATCGCACCGAAGTACTTTTTACATCGCTCTCATTGGTCAGCCCGCATTGCGCGACGGGAACGGATACTCGGACATGGGTAGCAACTCGCTGTGGACATATTGTTCAAGTCTACTCCTAGAGTCATGCTACACTCTGAATCTTGACAGAAACAGCTTATCGGTTTTCATTTCCGATCCTGCTCAGCTTCTTCAAACACCCTCATCAACAAATCTCTAAACTCTATAGGTCGCTGCGAATGGATTCCGTGGCCGGTGTTGTCCCACTGTACGAACTCAGCGTCCGGCATTGCTGCTTTAAGGTCTCTCGAGTGTTGCAAATCCATGAGATGGTCCTGGTCGCCACACAGAATAACGACCTTGGGTATCGTGCCCGCAATGCGAGCGAGACGTGTCTCGCTAACGTGGTGGGTGAGGCCCGCGCCGAGCTGAGAGATGTGGCCGATAACTTGTTGTTTAGGTCCAAAGACAACACGTCGAAGATATGTCTGGATGTTCCAAGTTGAGTTAAAAAGAAAAGATAGCTCTTTCATCTTGACCTACCTCCGTTTGTACTTGACGATTGGTCCGACCTGGATCTATCAGGGACGACGCCTCCAGCCAGGATGGGGTATAAAGCATCTTCATGACAGTCGGGGCCTTTTTCTCAGGCTCTGCAATGAAGAGCAGTCTACACAAACGTGAGCCAGCAGTGAGAGTAAAACAGTAAACTCACCGGGTGAGACATTTCACGCCCTCCCACTGAGCCAAGCATTAGAATGCGAAGCAAGAAGTGTCAATTCAACACACGGGGGGTAAATTTTGCCATGGTCGTCCGCCCGGTGTAGTGACAGCAAGTGTCAAAGATGCAATTCGTTCTGGAATACTAGACGCGAGTTCTTTTGATTTTAAGACATCAACAGTATACTTATAGCGAGAGGAGAGAGGGGAACCTTGAGCGATCATTCCGCCTAGACTTGTACCCACGACATGAATCTCTCGTGGCGACTTCCACCCGATATGGTCGAGGAGAGTGACAATATCTTGCGCCATCCCTGAGGTTCTACGCGGACATGAGAAGACATATAGAGGAAGGAGCATATCTCGCACGTATATCGACCAGCAGGATAGCCAGAGTAACCCACTCCACGATTGTCAAACACGAGGACCGAATATTTCTGCGCCAGTTCGCGGACCTGAAATTCCCAAGCGAAGGAGTTGGTGTTGAGCCCGCTAATAAGTACAACGCGCTTGGTCAATGTCAGCTTTGGGGTCCGAAGTCGAGGCATATTAAGTCGACCTGGCGCCCTGTGCCATGTTGTTCATAATAAAGCGAGTGGGTGTGCAGTAAGGAGAGCCCGGAATGCACAGGGCAAAAGCCCTTGCGTACGAGGCTTGCAGGGTCGAACATGGTCGGGTAATCCGACATGTCTTCGTCCGCCATGATGGAGAAAGGCAAGCTTGACACAGCACATGATCGCGATTTCGACAGGCAAGTCATGACAAAGTTTTTTTCAAACCCTTGGTTCTCATGTAGAGTTCTATTTCCAAATAGGTGCACACCTTGGACTTACAACTGAACACATGGTATAACAGAGAGATATGCTACTGCAAATCAAATCATATGTTATATTATGTTCAAGCTATAGTGGCTCTTGAACTCCCATTGGTATTAACATTTTACAAAAGGATTTTTCTTTGCAGGGCCAAGAATTGAGCATTGCATTGCACTGATGCAGCTATTTGTGTGTGTAAAGAAGCCTGTACTACAATGAAATGCATCGCTGATTTGGCTTGTTTCTTGCGATGAATTGTTGTGTCGTTCAGTCATCAACATCGTCGCTATTCATCGATGCGACAAAGGGTGAGAATCCCATCTTTGACACGGTTCAAGTGATGTGGGTTGAACATCGTCGCAGTTTTGGAGGTAAGGTAGACGTGGTGGTTCAGGTTCAAACTACTTTGACACTTCGGCTAGTTCCCAAGGGGAAAATAAGCGACCCATCAAAAGTGTGAGAACCAATTTAAGGGAAATTCGTCGTCCTTTCATTCCCTTTGCCTCTACCGCAACAATTATTTGTGTGCTAGGGCTATACCGGCACCCTGTCCCCCTGCTAACATTCTGTGCGCACATCCCCCCGGGCTGTCCTTCTGACTTTTCTCTTTGTTCGACCTTCTGGCAATGGCAGCTGCGACCCGCCTTGGAAAACGCGCCACTCCGCCGCCAACTCTGACCCCGACGCGTCAAACCAAGCGCCAGTGCACCTCAGATGCGTGGTCCGCGGACAGCCCTCTCAGCAGCGCGGCTTCTACCCCAGAACCGCCGTCTACGCGAACAACGAAACTGGACCACATTGATATAAGCGGCCAGAGACTCAAGCCTACGATCGTTTTCGACACCCTTTGGAAATGGTTAGCGGAGAGGAAAGCGTTGGATGACGAGCGGAGGCAGGGACTGCCGGCACCGTACGTCTTGATGTCAACGCTATCTGTCGAAGCGCGCTAATATAGTCGGCATCTTAGGTGGACAGACGATCGCATTCTTCAGGAATACAAGTTCTGCCAGTCATATCGTGTAATGGACAAAACTTCCCAGTTCCTCATCACCGAAGTCATCGAAAAGGGGTCTCAAGCGCGCGACGAAATCCTTTTCCGAATCCTCCTCTTCCAGTCATTCAACCGTATTGAAACATGGAGGTTACTGCAGAAAGAGCTGGGGAATCTAACTTACAAGGACTTCGACATCGACCGCTACGATAGCGTCCTCAGCAAAGCTAGTAATGGCGGAACTGCAATCTTCACTCATGCATACCTGAAAATTGCCCCCAATGCACTTGACCATACCAAAAACAACTCCGCATCCGGTCATCGCAGGCATTTGAATCTGCTCAAACACTTTATGGATGACCTCCCTGAAGTTCTCCGCTACGCCGAATATGCCGCCGATGTTTACGAGGCGATTGCAGCTTATCCTGGCTGTGCCGCGTTCATCTCGTTCCAAATCCTCATCGCACTGTCCTATTCGAGCCTCATCAACTTTTCTGCCAACGACTTTGTCATTCCAGGATTGGGTTGCTCCTCTGGCCTCGCGAAGATGTTTGGCAACAGCTTGAAGGAGGCGAAGAAAGTCGTCCCAGACATCGAAACCGACATTCTCCGCTGGATGGTCGCAAACCAAGAAGCTCAATTCGATCGCTTGGGCATCACGTTTTCGTTTTTGCGTAATGACAAGGGAGCGGTGTTGAAGCTGGAGCTCCCCGACCTAGAACATGCCGTTTGCGAGGTCGACAAATATGCACGCAAGAAGCACCCCGGTATCAAGAATGGCAAGGCCCAACTCAAGTCAACGTTTGTGCCCACATCCGCATCACTCCCTGCCAAGGTTGTGCTACCAAAAGCATGGTCTCACCCTGCCCGTCGCCGCTCCCATATCAGGGCAGAGAAAATTTCGGTCCACAAAATATATGTCGTAGAGAGCATTCTTGGCGAGAGATTGGGCGGGAAATTGGGCGACAACGAAATGTATTATAGGGTCCATTGGATGGGGTACCCCAAATCGGAGCGAACTTGGGAGCCTCGCAGCGAGCTTATACAAGATGTTCCACAGATGGTTGAAGCATGGGAATCTCGCCGAAAAGAAGCTGGAGTGGACCACCAACAGTGAAATGAACTATTCAGCGTATGAGAGACAAATCCAACAAATCGTTGTGGGCACCCTAAAGTTGTAGTAAAAAAAAGAGCTTAACCTATGAAGCTAATAGTTGATTGAATGCACACCTTGTTCGTCGAGCTCAACGAAAAAGAGAGCAGAAAAACAGGCCATGCCCATGCGTTTGCCAAGTACTCTTGTCGCACTCTCGGCCCAGATACATCGACTTGCAAGGGAGGATAAGACTACTTGTGCCATGGAGTTTCGAACAAGCCGATCGCATACTCGACCCCCGAGAGTTTGTCCGCTTTGGTGGACAACGAGTCCAGTTCGGGCATGACAATAGCCACGGCTATTTGGAGACGAAAATTTGAAGAAGATTCAGTTAGAATCTTTGGAGGCTCCTCCGATGCCAGTGTTGTTGATTGCTGAGGGCGACGGAATCGGTGACGCAGAGTTTCGACCATCCCAGTTGACACAGAGGCTTGTTCTTCGCGTACACGGGCAGAAGAGGCGGAAGACGGGGACGGGGTTCGGTCCCAAATGGTGGCGGCAAGGGGCTGGAAAGTGTTAAATGCTGGATACGCGTCGGAATCTGGGCAGCATACCTGGATAGAGGCCCACTCCTTCGTTTGGGTGTCGAATGAGCACCAAAGGTCCCATATTTTTGGTGGCTCTACTGGACGGATGTCCTCCAAGTTCGTTGTTGTTGGCACATTGCGCCGCTCAGTCCAGCGTTTCCAGAGAAAGAAAGAGGCCATGGCGAAACCGAAAATGCCGACAGCGAGGAACGCCAGTATAAGTGGTGGAGAGGCGGAAAGCGAGAAGCCTTCCGGTTCGCTGCAAGGACTTGTGTTTCGGGAAGAGGGGGAACTGGAGGATTCAGCCATGCTGGTGCATGAGTGTGGAAACTCTGGTGAGGTCGCATGATCACTCGATCGGCAGGTGCCGGCTGGTCTATATTCATCGTGGTCTTGCTGGGCATTTCCAGCTGTGAATAACACCAACTGCAACGCTGGTTGGCGTCACCAATGGCGTCTAAAGCAGGCAAGGTAGCGTAATAGGTGCAGTCGTCAGCCGGATTACCCATCTGACTAATGTGATGCGCCTTTGAGTAATGTTGAAATCCAACCACCAGCAGTTAAAATGACGAACGCCAACGATTGGCCCTTTCCCAACCATGGCCGCCCAAGAAACGTCGCATCTCACTGATCTAACCAAGCTGCAGCGCGAAGCAGACGGCAGCTTCAAGCGCGTTAACTCGACCTTTCGCAATTTTATCCAGAAGGGGGGAACGTTTGAGCCAGAAGAGGGTCGATATCACCTATACGTGTCGTATGCTTGTCGTACGCCGCCTATCTTTGTCTCTTACCCGCATCTGACTTCCGCAGCTTGGGCGACTCGCACCTTGATCGCTCGTAAACTCAAGGGTTTAGAAACTATCATCTGTTTGTCTCTTTCTATTTCATGAGCCTCCTCTAACCACCATTCAGCTGTTACTGTCGTTTCTCCTCATCTGGGAAAAAACGGCTGGCCATTTGCGAACATAGACCCATTTCCTGGTGCTGAGGTTGACCCGCTCTTCAATGCCAACTATATCAAGGACATCTACTTGCGTGCTGATCCCAACTTCTCTTCCCGCTTCACCGTCCCAGTCCTATGGGATAAGAAGCTGAATACGATCGTCAACAACGAATCGTCCGAAATCATTCGCATCTTCAATTCGGCGTTCAACGACTTGCTTCCGTCAGAGAAGGCCACCCTTGATCTGTATCCTGAATCTCTCCGTCAACAAATCGATGAGGTCAACGACTGGGTCTATACGGATATCAATAGTATGTTGCTGAAACTTTCTCCGTCTCTTAAAGAGGCTCAAAATATGTCAGATGGCGTTTACAAAGGGGGGGTTTGCCTCGTCCCAAGCTGCATATGAGACTGCTGTCATTCGGCTATTCGAAGCACTGGACAAGGTCGAGGTCATCCTCAGCGGGCGAGATTTTCTTGTTGGCGACACCCTTACCGAGGCAGATATCAGGCTCTTTGTGACCATCGTGCGTCTTTCTTGATCGCTACATGCCACATTCTCATCGGACCGAAGGTTCGCTTCGACCCGGCATATGTTGGCCAATTCAAGTGCAACATCCGCACAATCCGTGGGGGTTATCCCGCTATCGACTTGTGGGTTTCTCTTATCCGATTCCAAACGTAGATTGAGACGTTTCAGGTGGCTTCGGAAGCTCTATTGGGCCAAGAGCTTCCCGGCGTTCAAAGAATCCACATCCTTTGAGCATATCAAGGGAGGCTATTATGGCGCGCAACCCTTTGTTGGTGAAGTCTTATAGGTAATTAATGATGCTCACCCATTTTTACCAGATAAACCCGACCGGGATTGTTCCCGTTGGTCCTCTCCCACATATACTGCCTCTGTGAAAATAGCCAGACACCATTCACACTATGAATAAACAACATCTTGTTCTGCATTACCAGCTCCGATCTTCTCGGGAAACCATAGTGAACTCGCCGTCAAGTTGAAGTTGTTTGCGCAGTTCTGCTCGCGCTCGAAGATCCTTATCCAGTGAGGGTGACCAAGTATCGCCTACGATTAAGATGCCTCATCATAGGATTTGTTGATATCTGGTGGGTGTGTTCGGCAGATGTGAGAAGGTGCATGTTTGGTTTTAGCATCGAATTTAAACTAACTTCGACTTCGCAGGGAGAGCCCTTGTCAATGGTAATCAACCGACTCGGGCAAACTCAAGTGGGGATGCCAGCGAGTGACGATTAGCTATCTTTTGCTCATCCAGTCGGTTCAGGTGAAGACCCGAGCAGACCTGAATGCGGCAACTGCAGCGCTGGTCACTACTTGGAAATGCGGGCATCGCTAGGTAAATCCGAATCGTGTTTTGATTGCGGGTGCAGATCTCGAGAGAAGCACTGACACGTTCTTGAGTGTTGGCTTCAGTGACGCCACGCATAATTGAACATGAAGAACTGACAGACACCCAAACTTGTAGCAGATATAGATTTGTCGCAACCGCCTTCCCGGGCCCACGCATCATCAGCAGTCGTGCGCTCAAAAGTCCAGAAGCGGTCCAGCTGCCATCCGGGAAAAGGAACCGGTAAGAAGTATGACACGGCCAACAAAGAAAGAAGCAACTTGAAGAAGATGGGAATCAAGCACTCGTTAATTGACATTCAGCGCCTACATTGAAGTTCCAACGGGCCGACACAGGATTCTTCAAACAAACATCCGGGCTTAAATGGTTTTGAAACTTCCCTTACGCCGGGTTCGACCGATGTCCTCTTTGCATGTCTGCCCCTCCAGTATATGACGCCGAAGGTCACTACTCGCAGGCTTCGACGACATCGTTGCCTGCTTACCAACGTCACGATTCCGCAAATGCAGCCATAACATCTACCCAACACACCTTCACGCTCAATGACAGCAAGACCAAGATTCGTGCATCTCTCAGCCTCACGAGTAACGCAACTGCTCCAGAAAGTCTCCCCGTCTTCTTGGAGGGGAACATTGTGAGCGGCTCCCTCGCCGGGAATATTCCTTGGGGGCAGAAGGTTACCCGAATCGTGGTCTTGGTTCGCTATCAGGATGAGTGTGTTGCTGGTCGCTCACCGAATTATTAGGTCCGGGGAGAGATTTGGCTAGGCGGTCCCGCAAACGACGTCAACAGATCGCCGCACCTCCAATCCGACAAACTCAGATTCTTAAATATCGTGGTAACATTATGGGAAAGGGCCCACGGAGCAGAGCTTATCCAAGGAGAGTTCAAGTGGCCGTTTTCTATCCCACTACCGAAGGAGGTTCTACTCAACGACCCTGGAGAGCCAAAAGTACAGCGAAAATATTCCCTCCCGCAAACATTTCTCGAACGTGGTTCACCGGTGACCTTGCACTACTCGATAATGGCGCGAATCGTCTACAAAAACATGTTTCGCGATGTTGACGCAGAGTGAGTTGATGTCCAGGACTCGAATATCTCTGAACCCAATCTCGTCAGAATCAAAACAATGTTCGTTTATGTTCCCGCGATTCGACCAGACCCACCTTCGCGTTTGCGCCAGCTTGCTTATCGAAGCAATTCTTCTATTCCCGGTCCGGAAATTGATCCAGCCGGCTGGTATCTCTGCATGCCAATAGTTGTTCAGGGTATCGTGTTCAACGCCCGCCCCATTCAACTTCAGTGTTTGGTAGGACTTCCATGGACTTTTTCTTAGTACTGACTTGACTTTCAGCTCGCTCTTGCTGAGCCAGTTGAGATTTTCTACGCTTCCAATCTCAGACAGTCTACTCATTCCTAACTTTGCTAGCTCTGTTACACGCGCGGAGGGTTTATACCTTGTCTTCTCACTTATAATTGCGCCGATAAACAAGCACTGGATTTGCTCGCTACTCCATCCGCCATTTCCATCTGTCTACAGCGTAGGATGACCTGTGCACCATTTCGCACAAGCAGTGGCCATTATCCCCTTGCAGCAAATGACGTCCACGAATGCGCTCGAGCAACTTGGTCGCTTGCGGCACCTAATTATCAGCGCCGGGACACACGAGTGTTCGAAGGCGAGATTGCAGTTCCGAAAACTTTAAAGCCGACCTCCGCTCTGGCTCAATTTACTCTTGATGTCGGTATTTTGGCTCTTCACCAATACCTTTTGACCCGGACGACAGTATTATGTTGTACTACAGCCTCCACGCGCGACTGGATTCGCCTCCACTGGTGTCAGTGGCCCACTCTTGAGCCAAGAAGTAAAAATTGCGACTATATTTCCTCGGGTGAGTGCATCAATCGTCGTTTCCAAAACCAGAGAATTAATTGGACAGGGAACGAGACCTCGATCCAATGCTCCTACTAGTATAATTTAAACACCACTTGAAGTAATGAAATGATAGTTTCACTGTGATGGCCTATCGAGTTGTGGTTCTGCGTGCACGCTAAGGTTGAAGACTTGAAGTGCTGATGGACGACTAATCTCACGTGATCGCGGCGGCCAAACTTTACAGCGACCGCCGTTACCAATCATCTCCTTGTCGGTCATGGAATGCGCCAGGTTCATACAAGGAGCATGTCATCCACTCACAAGAGCGTGAAGCCCCCCGCTTGCGACTCTTGCAAGGCCAAACGTGTCCTTTGCCATGCTCAGGTGCTTGAATTCTTGGTTTTGTGAAACTCTGACTCATGCTGGCCAGACAGACGGAAAGCCCTGTCCCCGCTGCGTCGAGAAGAAGATTCTGTGAGCTCTTTCAAGCTTCCGACTGCCTAGAGCTTATGCACCATAGGTGCAAAACAACTTATGTTCCTCGGGGACGGCCCAGGAAACCTACACCAACCGAAACCTCAGAAACTTCTTCAGTAGCCCTTATTCCAGCCAGCAGCAGTAGAGTAACTGGTCTTCTGACCAATCCAGATCTCGTTAAGCATCTGTTCAAATGTGCGTCTCCTTTTATGCTTCCCCCACAATTTCTTTACTTGTACTTCAGGCGTCACCAAACTTCCATTCCACACCCATCCGCTATTCCGGGAGCTCGACCTCGAGAAAACTGTTGCCGCGGCTTCATGGCGCCTAGACCTCCTCCAACCGCATGCCTTCGTTCTTGCGCATTGCATATGCGCCATTGCCGCCACTATTGCCTTCCATCCAGACATCCTCGGTGTTGACATTGACCTCCCCAACTCGCTTTTTGACCCCAAACACTTCTATTTGGGTGCTGATCTTCGACCTTATGGTGCCCGCCGCGCTCAAGCGTGCAGACTGCTTCACGAGGCAGCGATACGTGTCGCAGGAGATGCTCGCATTCACCTTGAAACCTCTGAGTATAATACCTTGTCCTGTTTTATACTGGACAGCCTGGAAGAAGGTGTTTTCTAAAGAATCTTCAGAAACATTAATTGAACTCGAGCAGATGTTGAATCGAGTTCACGTCCATGGGCTGCGAGTTACATGTCTCACGTTCGGACACTGATGGCCTCATGGCCAGACACCCTGCCAAATCGCGGTCATTGGTCGGGCTACATTGTTGGTATATTTTTTGCTTACTCATTTCCTTGCTGAGACAACTTTGAGATGGGAGAGGCGCTTCGAGCGGTCATGCATCGCAAACCTGTTACCATGTCAGTTTATTATCTGCGGTTAACAGTTCCAATACTAATGGTGTCTAGAACGTACGCCGATCAGCTCTGGGTATTACAAGGCCCGCCGCCCTCGCTCGAATCTGTCCTCGAATCATCGCAGAAAGAGCTGGCTACTCTGAAGCATCCTGCATACTTTTGCTTTCGATGCATTGAACCGTGTACAGAAAATTCGCCTTCCCTACGTTATGATAACTCACGGGACGGTCTAGTTCTCTTCCACACCATTACCCTTTGCCGCAACTTTTACGAGAAGATCTCTGGTGGTAAGTTGTCGAGAGCCACATTTCTTATTTGGGTGACCAATTGACAGATTTCGCTCGCCGGCGCCCACTATCCGAACTCGCCTTGCGCGATACGCTTGAAACACTCACCACAATGCATGCTCTGATCACCTTCTGCTTCGCGAAGGTCGACTTCCCAGACCCCCTTTCATTGCGACAAGCACCAGAATTGTTGAGGACAGCAAATCGACCAGAGACATCGGCGCATGTTCGTATATGTGCATCTGGAATGTGTCTTATACTCGTGGGACTCGTGATCACGGTCCACAACGAGCTCGAGAAGAGAGACAATGAAGCAAGATTGTCTTCAACTAGTACTGTCAACGGCATCTCGTCGTCGACGGCAGAAGAACAACCTTCATCACGGCCCGGCCCATCCCCCTGGAGCTCTGCGCGGATTGCTTTCCTTCGCTCACAAGCGCGTGATCTTGCTCTGAGTGTCTTGCCGGACTTGCGCCGAGTCCTGACACTCCAGGAGTTTGCCATTTACGGATATGCGGGGAGGATAGCAAATCTCCTGCGCTGGGCGGAATTCTGTCTCCAGGAGGCGGATCAGAGGGGAGGTATATTGGGTGTTGGGATGGCCATAGGGGACCACGGAGCAGCAGACACTGCACAAACCTACGAACGGTATGATGTTTGTTCTTGATTTTGCGTCTCTTATATGTTGTCAGCATTTTCTTCGAGCTCAAGGGCATCGGCTTCTCACATGCAGGGCCGCAGCTTGATATGCTGATTGAGCGAATGGAGGTACATTTGGCGATGTTTCGTGGAAGTCGCCCTTCTGAAACTATGGAGTCTTCGTCTCGTATGACCTTTGAGGAGCATATGGCCCCGTTTTCGTCAGACACGGATGTGGCGATGATGCCGCCGGAGATGACCTTCCTGTTGGATGGCTTGTGGCTGGTGCCAGGGTTTCAAGTAGAGATATAGCATAGACTGTACATCATTCAAACGCAACTCAATAATTAACTCCTTTCTAAACCGCAGTAAAGTTTAATAAGACTAAGTAAACGGCAACCTTTGCATCGACAACTAGACTACAAGTTCAGCGCTCAGCATCCGATCAGTCACATATTCTTTCTTTTGCCAGGACCCCTGATTATGCCCCAAGAGGTAGGATACCAAAATCCGGACAGATTTTGGAAAATTTCAACCTAGGTTTGACCAGAATCCGGACAAAAATCGGGTTGGAGCCAAAAAAGTTAGAACCAAAGTCCGGACAAGAGATTTTACCCTTAGACAGGTCGGAACCAAGTCCGGACAAATTTTCCTCAGTTGGGTCAGTTTGGTGGGCAATTCACATTGAAATAGACCACATTTAAGAAAAAATCAGGTGGCACATAACGGCTATCAGAGCCTGAAAAACTGTTCTTTAGCTATAATTCCACCTTTTCTCGGCTAACTTTCGCTAATTTAGCGCTTTTTGTCAAGGTCGGATGCGAATCCGGACAAATTTTGCACCTTCGGGGTAGGTCGGATCAAAATCCGGACAAAACAATATGCGTTTGGCGTCCAAAAAACGCGGACAAATTTTTCATTTCACCGATTTCAGAATCCTACCTCTTGGGGGATAATCAGGGGTCCTCTTTTGCCACAATGACCATGGACAATGTCGACAGAAGAAAGCACTGCGGCTCCTCGGCACTTTCTTTGTCCTGCTCGAGCCTCGAGGAAACCCTCTGCGTTCGGTTCCTTGTTTCACAGTAGTTCAAGTTCGCTCACCTCAGAAACAGATTTTTTTGTCTCCAGACTCGCGATTTTTCGGATGCAAGGCGAATATGTCCGGTCTGGGCAGATAACTCGGTCAAAGACACCATTACAAAGCTCGTTTCTTTCAGCTGCTCCAAGCGACCATAGCTTTGAAAGAAGTCTTTTAAGTCACGAAACCAAGGCCTGTCTGTGCTATAAAATGCAGACTCCTTCAGCGTCGAACCTCACCTCTCAATCTTGTCAACAACCCAAGTAACCCCCCAAACCTGCACTTGCCCACCCAACGATCCCGGTCATGCCGCCCTCGCTTTCCATTGTCCCGCCACCGAAACATGTGGTCGCCGCACCACTCCCCTCTCCGCCGTATATTCCCGTGCACAGACGGGCCCAGATGAGTCAGTCCACGCCGCCCACCCCGGGACAGCCGGTGGCACGAGTCTACGTGTTGCTTGACCTCCTCCGACTCCACGATAGCCCGTTGGTCAAACAAACAAGCGAGGCCGCGCTGGTGAAGCTGCGCAAGCACCCCAAGTATCGCATCATCTCTGCCGAAGGGAAGCAGAAGAGGGAGGCGGCTGCGGAAAACAGACAAAAGAAAAACGAGGCGGGGCAGCCTGAGCCCGATCGTGTTCAACAGGAGGGCGTTGCGGCGGCCCACACGATTGGCACCAAGAAAGGTCCGGCATCTCCGGGCCGACGTCGGCTTACCAAGGGCCGTAATGTTGGCAGTGGGCGTCGCAAGATGCATGCCGACGCTGTTAGTTGCCGACGGGCTGCAAGACCCACCACGTTGGCTTAAGTTTGAGAGGTGCATTATTTATCGACTGAGAAAATTCTACGCGAAGGAAGTAGGATAGCTGTAGTTTCACGATCACGACTTGTAACGACACGGAAATTGTAACGAATGCGAAAAGAGAACCTGAGGGGTTCGATGTTTTGTTCTGACCAGCAAGTATCAAGACAAATGCTATTTGTCAAGATACCCGCTACTGAGTCCTTGACTCTCTTGGAGGTCGTTCCAAAGCCGTGCATCCAAGGAAAGGGCGGTTTCGAGGAAGAGACCGAACTCCATGTCTGACGGAAGTACCGGGTCAGAGAAAGCATCATTTGGGGGATACTGTAAGTCCTCCACAGAGAAGCTTGACGATGATGCGGCGAGGGTATAGTCGTCTTGGTTCGCATTGCTAGTGTTCTGGCCCACTGGGAGACGATTCTCGGATTGCAACATCATCCGGTCCAACACAGTAGCGCATCGCCGCGCCACATGGTCCTCTCCTTCAGGCGCTATGCTCTCCAGATGTCGTGTCGCCTTCTTGAGAAGGAGATCGCTTGCACCTAGCAATCGGCCGCATCCCCCAGACGGACTGTCGACGAGGAACTTGACGCCGATGATGTACCCCGCAGCGAGTACGACCATGACAAAGTAGTTGTCCGGTAAAGTCCTGAGCGTCTCCACATCGGTTTGGAGAACATAGACCAAGACTGCTTCGGATGTTTGGATCATGTCGCGGCCCCAGTCAGCGACGACGTTGATACCGCGCGGTCGAAAGTGGTCGTGCCACGAATCTCCAACGGGTATGTGTCCCACGGATGTTCGCGCCTCCCAGAAACCGTGATATAGTACGAGCAGGCGGCAGATTCCGTCGTAGATGTGGAGGGCGTGGAAATAGGACTGCTGGTGGTCCAGCACAACTACGTTAATTCAGTTGATTGCTATGGACACAAAATAGACAAACCCGGCAAGGGAAGTAGAAAGCGACGACCACGTTTTAGATTTTCCAAGATGCTACCGAGGACTTTAATGTTGGCAATCCAATCCTGGGACAACTCACTTGAAGATGGTGTCGTACCAATCATCTGCTTCTCTAGAGGAGTCTATGCGGGAGCTGACACCCTTCTCTGCTACTGAAGACTGCATAGCAACAATGCCCAGCCGCATATCGCCATAGTTGATGATCCCAGAAAATGATTCAGGCAGCTGGACGAATATATTGTCGTCTGCAGATCTTCGTGACAAAGGAATGCGACCAGTTCCAATGCAAAGCCTAGACAACGTAAGAGAGTAGAAAGAGGAGCAGGGCACCTTACATAGACTCAGCATTGACGATCGATATCCACTATGTAATTTATCATAAGCCAATGACTGGTCAGAAGCAAGGAATTTACAAGACGCGCTTGTTCCGACGCCTCCTCCAAGACAGCAAAATCTCCAGCCGATAACTTCCCTCCAGACATTTGGCGCGCCTTGTGCAATTTGTTGGCTTTCGCTGAAGCTTGATTCAACCGCATATTCATGGCCATGCTAACCGCCGAAGCGATGAGCACCCTGCAATCTCGCCTCTCTGACCCGCTTGCATTGGGTTGCAAAGAAAATGGCTCCCACAGTGATGAAATGAGAAGAACTTGAACGGCTTCAATGGAAGCCGATCTACGAGAGCCACTGATGATTTCCAGGATTGAGGCTTCAATGAGAGCAAGCAATTGCGATTGTGTGAAAGCCGGGATGTCCTTGACAAATCTGAGAGCGACAGCACAGCATATAGCATCCAGAAGGGCGCTGTTGGCTTGACGCATGAGCTTGAAGTTGAGCCAAGGCGAGAGCTTTTCGGAAAAACTGCAACCAGGTAAGCCCGCGATGATACGAGGTACCCACTGACATTGTAAGTAATTGGTCTGTTTGCGCCGTTGATAGGATGGCATCGAGAGGTAAAGGTGATTTTAGGGAAATTCGCGCTTCGTCTGACTGCGTCGTGTTGGTGAGATGATGCATCATAAGCATTGGCGCTGACCAGTCAGCCTGGCTGCGGTCTTGACTGACAAAGTCCCAAAGACGGTCTTTTGGCGGAGGAGCTGGGGCTGGTTTTGGTTTTGGTCGGCGCCATCGTGACCAAGTGCACACTATTGGGGGCTCTTCCATCGGGATTCCGTTTGCAGCTGACGGCACAAGGGTTTCTTCATAGCTGCAATGAATGCCAATAACCTTGCACCTATGGCATTGGACAGGATCAGAGGAGGTGTCTATGTGGCGAAGTAAGAAGCCCAGCACACACCTAGAGGACACGAGTCATACCGAGCAGTTCACATCTTGTTTTTTGTTTGCGGCATGATGCGCATGCCTGAGTTTTAGGCTTTTTAGTAGTAGCAGCGGAGGTTGCTACAGATCCTTTCTCTGTTCGAGCGCGTTTCATGCTTGATGAATGGTTCAGAAATTGTGAAAGACAACCGTTACCCAAGTAGGGTCAGCCGCATTACCTCAGAGTGACGGCCGAGGCCCACTGATCAAACTATTGTTGTCAACTTCTCTCATTCTGCCATCTCAACCACCGCCGGTCGAGCTGGTTGAACATCCTCTCATCCTTGGTGGCCGAGCAAGAACTGATTAACATGTCGTAGACGAGCAGCAACTCCTCCAGTATGTTGTCATCGCAAAAGAAACCACCAGCCTGCGACTCTTGTAAAGCCAAGCGAGTGCTTTGCCATCCTCAGGTATGTATGCGGCCTTGCTTTCTACATTTTGACTAGACTCTAATTTTTGTGTTGATAAAAGCCAGATGGTCAGCCGTGTCCGCGATGTGTAGAGAAGCAAATCTTGTGAGGATCCCTGTTACTTCGTCCCGCGGGTTTACTGAGACACCTAAGGTGTAAAACGACGTATATTCCCAGGGGCCGTCGCAAGAAAACAACTTCAGCACTTGATCCATTGGCGCAACAACTGCCTAATATACCTTCCGACCCAGCAATTGAGCTACTATCCAACCCTGAGCTCGTGAAACATCTATTTACCTGTGCGTCTGCGTATTTTAACTGATATCAGGTTCATATAACCTTCCCTAGGTCTTCCCAATCTTCCACAACATCGTCATCCTCTCTTTCAAGACCTTAACGTCGGCAAAGTGCTTGCTGCTGCATCATGGAAACTCGACCTTCTTCATCCACAGCTTTCGGCTCTTGCGCACTGCATATGCGCAGTCACCGCGTCTGTTGCCTTCCACCCTGCCATAGTTGGCTCAGACATTGACTTGCCAAGCTCAATGTCAGACCCCAAATATTTTTATCTGGGTGCTGACCTCCGCGTTTTTGGTTCTCGCCGTTCTCAAGCTCGTAAACTCTTGCAAGAACGTGCATTGCGCGTCGCCCTAGATACTCATGTTCATATCGAAGTTTCGCCATATAACGCGCTTTCTTGTTTCATCCTAGATTCCTTAGAGGAAGGTTTGTCAAAGCTTGGTTCTCACAAACTTGCTCTAACCGGCTTCCAGATATTGAGCATAGCTCGCGCCCATGGGCTGCGAGCTACATGTCCCATTTCAGAACGCTTATGGTGTCAATGCCCGACACACAGCCAGATCGACCCCTGTGGGCTGGATATTTCGTGAGCATTGTTTCCGTCTTTTTTTGGGTGGTTTACTGAACCTGACTGTAGATGGCAGAATCGCTCCGAGCTGTGATGCATCGCAAACCTGTTCTTGTGTGCGTCCTTATTCCATCCAAGATCGCTCTTACTCACAAATGGGGACAGCACTCATGCCGACCAACTCTTCATCTCACAAGGCGCACCTCCTAGTCTTGAATCATTTCTCGAGGCATCTCAAAAGGAAACATCACTTCTATCACCCAAATCTCGCGCCAACTTGGCTTTCGATTGCATCCACCCATGTGAGCACATTTACTCACAGAACGCAGCTATCTTACTCAACAAACCAGTTCTTTTTCATGCCACGAGACTATGTCGGGAATTATATGAGACTATATCGGGTGGTGCGTCCCCTCTCTTTTTTTTAAAAAGCATGGTCAATGTAATTGGGTCAAGATTTTGCTCGACGGCAACCTATATCCGAGCCAGCATTGAGGAACATCGTTGAGACGTTTACCACAATACAGGGCCTTCTCTCATCTTGTTTTGGCGAAATGGACTTCCCGACCGAGTCGATGTTGCAACAAGCCAAAGAGCTTGCACAAACTACTCGCCCAGAAACATCAACCGATCTCCGTCTATGCGCATTCGGGATGTCGGTCATCTTTGCGGGGCTGGTGTTGACCCTACATACGGAACTCGAGCGGCGGGCGGCGGAGGCTGAGGCAGTCGTTCCGAGCTCTCATTCATCAAAACCCGCGATGCCCCAGCAATCTCGCTGGGCTTCAGAACGCATTGCGTTTTTGCGTTCACAAGTGCACGCTCTGGCATTGAGTGCCTTGCCAGACATCAACCGCGTTTTGACTCTTTCTGCTTTTCCATTACGCGGCCTTGCGGGCCTGTGGACGAACATCATGGGCTGGGCGGAGTTTTGCATTCAGGAAGCGGATTGCCGAGGGGGGATAGCAGGGATCGGGACCGGTGCCAATGCCAGAGGAAATGCGACGACCGAGGAGACCGCGCATATTTACGAGCAGTAGGTTGACCACGACATTCGGGGTCATTTTGCTGATTAATACTCTCCAGCATTCTTCATTCGCTCAAGGGGATTGGATACCTGCACGTCAGCCCTCGCCTTGACTCGCTCATAGAACGGATGGAGGCACACTTGGTGGCATATCGGTCCAGCCAACAGCCGTCGACCGCGGATGATATGGCCATGTCCGTCTTCACGTCAAACATGGATTCATTTGGTTCTGGCCCACGAGAAATGGGGCCGGCGTCCGACACGATGTCGTTTTTACTGGACGGATCGTGGATGGTGAATGGTTCGCAGTGGGAATTATAATTGTTCACATAGAGTTCTAACTAGTAACCACAAGTATTGCGTTCATGTTGATCGGTCTTCTTCGTCTTGGAGTCTGTTTATTTGCGCCGCTACAGTCATGAATCTAGCGGCTCCGGGTGGTAACCTACTTTGCAACATCCAGTCCAGCGAAATCCCGCAGCGCATGGAGGTACATTGAAATTCGTCTTGGCAGTAGATTTCACGAATTACTAGTATGATTTAACTACCCTACTAGTCATCAACTCATACAGCCAGTGCAGCAGCAAGCAGGCGCTCATAATCGGGAGTGCCAAAACCGCCTAGTGACCAGTTGAGCCTGAGACAAAGGAATAAGAATACCACGCACTTAACGGGTCCCAGCCTTCCGCTGCATCAAAAGCAGCCTGAGAAAGCGATAAGCCAAAGAAAACGGGAGCGGATATAGCTGATTACCGTCGTCGCAGGACAGTCCCAGCCCGAGTTGTGCAGTACATATAGCTGCATCTATGCAAAAGATGTGGGTACCATCCTAAGGGGGTAATGCAAAAGATGTTGTGACAGATGTATTTCATGAATTTCTCACTGGAATCAAGAGATATGACTAATATGAAAATACATATAGGAAGAGAAATCACCTTTTCTTTGGGCCGAATATTCGTAATATTATATTTGGGACTTATAAGCCCAGGGACCAAAAAAATTAATAATCGATTAAGTAAGGTTGATGTAGCAAGATGCAGTCATCAAAAGCTCTGATGGCAATCAAAAATCGTTCCACATTGATCAACATACCTATATGTGATTGATCTCATCACTGATACCTTGATATTGCAGCCACAAACAAGGAAACAGTGTTATTTAATTTAATTTCCAAGCAGTTGCCCTCATCTTTTGCATTACCCCCCCTAGGATGCTACCCACATCTTTTGCATAGATGCAGCCATATGAGCTGAGTTGTGGCCAATCACGATGCCGTTGAAGACAGAGGGATTCGCGTAGATGAAGGGGTTGAGGAAGCCGAGCACGGGTTTGCCGGCCGCAAGCAGCCTGTCGTTAACCAGAGAAATCATTGCGGCGACGGCTGGCGAGGAAGCAGAGGTCCCGCTGACAGCGCCTACTTGTTCATTGGCTGTTATCAGATAGCCCCAGCCTTGGAGAGACAGGTCGGGGTAGCCCCGTCCAGCGCGGTTGAACTTGGGGAAGCCATCAGGGATGGTCTTGAGGAAGGCATCGACAGCGGCAGTTTGATACGCGGGCTGGGGGAAGACTTCAGAGAAACCGCCACTAGTGAAGTTGACCGCGATCTCTATTCGACTCATAAGTTCGACCAAAAGAAAAGAACGAGCCGCAACTGACCAGGATTAAAGCCGATGGTTGAGCCGACAGAGGTCACGTATGGGCAGGAGGCGGGGAAAACAGAGATGAAGAGCCCGCAGTTAAACCCATCGTCGTGATTCCCACTCACACCACCCTATGATAAAGGTGAGACGGACAAGTTTGTACTATTCGACACCACGAACATCACCAGAAGCAGAGAGAACTGAAACGCCTCGCGCGGATGCAGCAGCATAACCATCGCAGATTTTACTGTGCTTTGTGAGTTTTGCATGGATTGTGGGCAGAAGAAGAAGGCCAACGCGGATCCGAAATTCGACTCCTGGTCACCATAACTTGCGAAATATTCTTAGCAGCAATATGGAATAGGACAAAAAAAGCATCCGCACGAAGTGGTCATAACAGTCGGAGGTACTGGGGTGCTGGCCACGTAGGCTGTGGTATCGAGCAAAGCCGTCGGGAAATCCCACCCGCCTACAGTGAGAAAATGTAGTAGAACAGCAGTGGCGATACCTGTGGCAAGATTGATCAAAATAAATGTAGTCATGAGAGCCAAGCCACAGACCAGCAGCATACTCGATATTAAGTTGAGCTTCAATTCCAGCAGCCCCAGGCCATTGTGGGTTGGTTCCACCGTCAATCGCGACACGAACGAAGGTCTGATTGGCGCCTGCAGAGTAGTCAGGGCGGAATTCCTTCATGAACGCCTTAATTAGATGATCAGAGAAAATCGTAGATATTTAATGTCCATTGTCACCTGCAAGTCGTTTATTTGAGCCCATTGGTTGCCATATCCGGTTACAAGAAGAGGATTGTTCTCTTGAGTCGCTGGGGTCGTTGGAATGTTGTACAGTGCTTGGAGGCATGCCGGAGTGAGAACATTTCTTGGGTTGCTGTCGTTGACGTTGCAGCTTTCAGGCGCTGCGGCATCCCGTTTGGGCACTACACTATCAAATTGAATGGACTTTCGAGGGCGCGTGTCAGGAACAGTGAAAGCCGTGCTGGGGTGAACAACATCAATGTGACCCGCAAGCTCTGAAGGAAGCGACATGGAGAGTGTTCGCATTATGGGGTCGGGCATGTCTGCGTGCGTGAAGTTGGTGTATTTGGCGCCCGAAGAGTTTGTTGGCTTGCGCAACTGGCAACGAGACGGTAATCCACTCCCCAAAAGGTGAAGTAGAAGTGGTCTTCAGTCCGTTTGCCGAAGTGAATGAGTTGAATGCCTTGACGGCTTCATCTGACGGCGCGACGAACGATTTGACCTAGGTAATGTTTTTCAGGGAAAGTAGTTGACGGAAAGGCAACCCACCTCGTCTGCGCTGAGCCAATTTCGGAAGTCTGGGCTTCCAGGCTTGGAGATAGAGGCAAGTTTCTCATGGAGTCCCGCAATGTTGTTCGACGCTAATCCAAAGCGAAGAGTGAGCGGGTGGTTGTCGCCTGCTGGCCCTTTACTGGTGAAGCCGGCTGGGGCACTTTTACGGTGCTCGTACTGGGACGAGATTGCCAGCAGAGACAACGAAAATCAGTGAAAGAGTGCTGAGCAAACGAGTGAAGGACATTGAAAGCATGAAGACCCGTCGTCCGCCTATATCGTAAGCAAAGTCCCATGTTTATACATGGACAAGAAGGAGACGGATGGGATTGATGCTAGAGTCGATACTCCGAAGCCACCGTCAAGCTTGGGCAGCATTTTTCCAAATTTTACCTAGAAACACCCAACGGATCTCCCGAGTCCCATGCGCGGCCATAGACTAACTGCGGATGAAGGCACGAGGTTTACATTGAGAATGGTGGGCGCCGTCATTCCAAGGTTGGATTTCGGTAAAAAAAGTCGTCGACGTCGGGAGCAACATTGCTTTGATCAGATCAATGATTTCTCTGAGTTCACTCACTCTCTACTAAAGCCTCCTTCGAACCAATGTAGTTTGTGCTCGTCACGATGCTCCTCTTCCGCGCTCTTGTCTCCGTTCTTTTAGCTCAAGCAACCTATGCATTGACGCCAGTTGGCCAAACTGCCAAGGGTCAAAAAGTTTACACTGCGCCAATGGGTTCTCGTATTAAACAATCTGGTCGGGACATGGAGGTCTTTGCGCCAAATGGCTCTCTCATTCATACCTTCGCAAACGTCATTCCCATGGGCGGCACCAAACCCAAGCGACAAATCCTCAGTACAACTGAGCTCGTCGCCCAGTTCAATGTTACCCCGAGCGACACAATCGAGTCGTTCACCACGAGTTTCGTCGTACCCCCCGCACCTGAAGTCTTCGATAGCCAAATCATCTTTATGAGCGCCAATATCCGTGTCTTCGACCCGTTAACTGGGCTTGTTTACGCGACTTTGCGCCCTACCCTTCAGGTTAGTTAGATACGACTCATAGTGATACCGGTATCTAATTTACGTTACAGTATGGTGGTAGCTGGCTCCAGGGTGGCTCTTTCTACACATGGGCAATGCAGCTGGAATTTGCTGACCAGGTCATCGTCCAACTGTTTGCAACAGACGACACCGACCTAACTCTCGAGGTCGGCCGAACGCTCGATAGCACTATCTTTCGCGATCACAAATTGGAACAACAATCCCCCGGCTCATTTTGGTACACTGGGAGCTTCCCCAGTGTCACCAACATCAGCGTCGTATCAGTAGGTTGGGATTTCCTTCCAAGCACCATCACTTTTCAGTTGGAGGAGGAAGGCGTTTTCCAGCCTGGCCATTATCCGAAGGGCTCGTTGGTCTTCGAAAACATTAACGTCAATCTGACAAGTGGTCCACCCAAGATGTCGTGGCAACCCAACGTTGATCCCGCCACTCAAGTGGAGTTCAAGGTCGACGTAGATGGCCCCAAGGATGGAAAGGTTGAACTTGTTTTTGCCTCGAACACATAACATATATGTAAATCGAAGTAAAATGCCGATGGTAGTCACGGTTGAAACTTGAATCGATCCATTTACATACTATACTTACGTAATTTCTTGCAAGAGTTTGCCATGAAATTATCACGTTGTCATTGGGTTCTTTCTTTGCGTCGGCCACCACTGGCAGCACCAGCTTCCATCTTGCCATGAGAACGGACCAGTCGCCTTCCACCGGTACCACACGGACTGACCATGTTGACATTGTGCAGCATTGTGAGCCTGTTCAAAGATATCGAGATTAACATACTGACATTGCCAGGAAGCTGGGGCGGAAGGCATGCGGTTGAACTCATCAAAAGACTCTCCGTTGAACTCCGTTTCTCTTTCTCCGAGTCCTTTGCAGCACATGCCAGTGCGCAGCAGCTCTTGCCGTATTACGGGCCAAAACCACCTCCGACGGGTCATATCATAGACTTTGGCCGGCAGGGTACCAAAAAGTACTAAGGGTGGTTTTGTCAAGGGCCACGCCGATTCAGACCACCTCCACCGCCATGGTTCTTCTATCTACCTCGTTCTTTGCGGCTCTCGTTGCAGTGACAGTTGCCACGCCAGCAGAACGGTCAGCCCTTGTCATCCACGAACGCCGCGACACACCTGCTCGAGGCTTTGTCAAAACTGGTCCAGCACCCCCCTCCAGGGAGCTTACTCTCCACATCGCGCTGAAGCCCAACAATATTGCCGGTCTTGAGGAGGAACTATATGCAGTTTCCGACCCCAAAAGTGCGCGCATTTGACACTCGACGAGGCATGTCAGTCCGTACACATTTGTGAACTCACTGACGCGTCAAGTAGGTCGTCAAATACGCTAAGCCCGCCCCGGAGGCACTTTCTGCGGTGAACTCGTGGCTAGAGGCGAATAAGATATCGGCAAAGAGTATCTCGCCCCGCAGGTGATACTCTCCAGTTCACCGTGCCCGTCTCCCAAGCTAGCGCCATGTTGGATGCGGAATTCGCGAAGTTTGCACATTCTGGCAGTAACCAAACTACCATCCGAACGCTGCAGTACTCTCTTCCTGCAGACCTGGCCGGTCATGTTGCCTATGTCCACCCGACGACCAGCTTTACGAATCCGTTTGCCACACCCAAAATCGAGCCCTACGATGTCAAGCGCAAACGTGAGATCGACCCTAGCTGCGCCCGACCGCACTACTCTTTCGTGTTTACTGGAAGAAATGGGCCTCCCCAAAGGGCCTGCGACACAAAGGAAGAACGTGCTCGGGATATCGGGCTTCACCAACGAATTCGCCAACTTTAACGATCTAAAGGTACCGCGTCAATTTGTTTTTCACGACCCGGACTGATTGTGACCAGGATTTCCTCGCCAGATTCCGTCCTGACATGCCTTCGTCTACGAAATTCGATGTACAACTGCTCGATGGAGGCGCCAACACACAGCAAGACCATTTCTCGTTAAAACTGCATGCTGACAAGAAACCAGGCTTCGTGCTTTCGCTGGCCTCGAAGCAGTAGGTCCCGTCAGTAACCCCTTCCTCGTTTGCTGATCTTCAGAGCCTCGATATGGAGTACGCAGTAGGGCTGGCGAACGGAATTCCTGTTCGCTTCATCTCAGTTGGTCCACAAAACAATGATGAGCTGGGTGGCTTTTTGGATCAAGTGAATGCGCTGATCGCCCGACGACTCTCGTCCCACCGTGCTGTAAGGGCAACCCTGGAGACTCCGACGAAAGCCTAGCAGGGGAGGATCCAAAGCGTGAATAAGACTACAGGAAATACACGGAGGGACCGACCTAGCAGGGGAGGATCCAAAGAGAAGAAACTCTAAGGGTCCGCCTGCTAGGGCGCCAACTATATACTGGTCGTCCGTAACTGCCGACGTAGAGCGCAGAAGGCCTGAGCGGCGTCGCAGGCTCTGTCCCAAGGTGATCGTTGGGAGGGTCTTGACGGATCGGTGATTGTGCGGGCGAAGGAGGCCGTGGGACGATGGTCGGGGTGGGTCGGAGCGTCCGAGGGGGCCCGGTCGGATGCGCCTCGGATGCGTTCGGAGGGTCGAAGGAGGCCGTGGGGGTTCCCCTGACATCACCCCCCTTTGAATGCGGCGTCCCGACGCATAGTTCAGAAGGGCAAGGAGTCGAAGGTCGCTGAGGCGATGTGCCGTGGTTTACCTGGGTACCTCCGATAGAAGTCCGCAATTTTGTCTGGCGCGAAGACACGGTCGAACCGAACCCACGAGTCGTGCGAAGCATCGTAGCCTTTCCACCTGACGAAGTAGTTAAGACGCTTATACCTTATCCTGGCATCCAAGATTTCCTCGACTTCCCATTCGGGGACTCCGTCCTCTAGTTCGGGGGGCGGTTCGTCGTAGCCGGGTCGTCCATTGAAGGGGTCATCCTGAGCGAGCTCGAGTTTAACAACGGGGAAGACGGGGTGGAGCTTGGAGTAAGCAGGGGGAGGTCGAGCTTGTAGGCACCTTTGCTAACCTCTGCGAGCACCTTGAACGGTCCGAGGCGCTTGTGGGAGAACTTCTTGGAGGGCCGAGTTGTTCTGATGTCAGAGGCATCTAACCAAACCTTATCACCAACTTGAATATTCGGAGCGTCCGATCGTCTCCGATCGTAGTACCGTTTATACTCGTCTTTGGCTTTGACGAGCGCGGCCTTCCCCTCGGAGACGCCGTTCGCTATCCGATCGCGAAACTTCGTTCACTGACTCCAACTCTGAGCGGGTGCCCGGCTCGAAACCCATTCGGGGAGCCGGCCAGTGTCCGTCATAAAGGGTACCTGTTGAGTGGAGGAGTGAACGTGGTTGTTATAGGCGAACTCAGCGGCAGGGATAAGCTCGTCCCAGTCGTCTTGTTGGTAGTTGGTGAAGATTCGGATGTACTACTCGAGCTCCTGGTTAACGCGCGTTCGGTTTGTCCGTCGGTCTGCGGGTGGTAAGCCGTAGAGGTAGCCGGCTTGACGCCAATTAAGCGCCAGAGTTCGCGCGTAAAGTCAGCGATGAACTGCGAACCACGGTCCGAAATGTACTTCTCGGGGTTCCGTGGTGTCTCCAGACGTTCCGATAGTACAAGCGGGCAGCTCCGACCGCGTCTATTGTCGTATGGCATTCGGTGAAGAGTGAGCGCGTTTCCGAGGGCGTCAACCACTACCATAACCGTGTCATACCCATGGGCCTCGGGAGCTCGGACGATGAAGTCCACAGTGACGGTGTGCCAGCGCTCGGGGGACTTCGGTTGGATGTAGCTCCCCGTGCGGAAGCCTTCGGAGGGCCTTCGTGACGACAGCATAAGTCGCAGGTCGCGACGTAGCGTCCGATATGGCGGGACATCTGTGGCCACCAGTAGTTGCGCGAAACCAACTCCAGGGTCTTGAACCGCCCGGCATGTCCGGCGACACGCGTGTCGTGGCAGAGCTCTATAATGCGCCTCCTCAGGTCTTTGTCTTTGGGGACTACGACCTTGCCGCGGAAGTACAGGAGGTCGCCTGAGACGGCCCACTCGTCCGAACGCGATGAGCGGGGGCCCCGAGCTTGACCTCGGACCTTCAAGAGTTGCCGAGCCGCAAGTGCGACGGGTTCCTCTAGGTCAGGCTCACCGGATAGCGCTTCCTTGATGTCGCGGACAAGTTCGGAGCCAGGCCCAGAGACAGTGACGGCCTCAAGCGCGCGAACGTGGAACAGTTTGGGGCGTAAGAGGGTGACATCCGAGTTGTCGTCGGAGATACCGTGGTCAGGCCGGCGGGAGAGAGCATCGGGATGGCCCATCTGGCGACCTGGGACGTGGTGCAGCGTAAAGTCAAACCTGGAAAGGTACAACGACCATCGGGCTTGCCGACAATTAAGGTGTTGCGCCTTTCGGAAGTATTCCAAGTTCTTATGGTCAGTCCAGATCTCAACCGGATGCGCGGCGCCCTCGAGGAAATGCCGATACTCCTTGAGTGCGCGGATGATCGCGAGCATCTCCTTGTCGTGAATCTCGTAGTTGCGCTGGACATCATTTAAGCTTTTGGAATAGAACGCTACAGGGTGCCACTTGTCACGGTTCGGGTCGGGCCGTCCGGGCCGTAAGGCCGCACGGGCCCGAACGGGCCCGCACGGGCCCGTATACCGTCGTCCTCCTGGACGCCCCCTCATTCTTCCAACCCCTTCCGTTCACCCCTACGACCCTACGCAGCGCCCATCCGATCCGCCCTGGGACCTGGCGCCCATCCGATCCATCCCTAATACCGTAGCGTATAAAAGTCGTACTTACAAGATGTAGTCGCTAGGCTAATATCGTCTATTCTCCGGGCGAATACCCATCTCTCGTGCTCCTCAGACCCCTTCGACGTCGGACCCCCCGACGCCCCGATACGGCCCGAGCCCGACGCTGACACCACTTCCCGTCCGGGGCGGATTGTTGTGAAAGAACCGCCCCCGTCGCATAATCTGAGCTGTCTGCTTCAAGTCGGAAAGGCCGAGAGTCGTCCGGGATCGCTAAGACAGGTTCTGATACGACCGCGTCCTTGATGGCTTGAAAGGCGGCGGCTTCGGCGTCTCCCCAGGTCCATTTCTGGTCTTTCTTGGTGAGCGCAAAGAGAGGTTGCGCCAGGGCCGAGAAATCCCGAATGAACCTGCGGTAGAAATTAGCAAACCCCAGGAACTGCTGAACGTCCTTCTTGTTTTCGGGCGGAGGCCATGCGGAGACTCCGGCGACCTTAACGGGGTCCATTTCGACATGGTTGTGCGAGATAATGACCCCCAAGTACTCGATTGACGATTTCTCGAAGTCGCACTTTTCCTTGCGAAGGTACAACTTGTGCATTCGGAGCCGCCGAAGGACCTCCCGGACGATCTCGCGGTGCTTGCGGAGGTCCGAATGTGCGATAAGGATGTCGTCGAGGTAGATCATAACGTCGCCTGAAGGAATGAGATCCTGGAAAATGTCATTCATCATCGTTTGGAACGTCGGGGGGAGTTTGTCAGGCCGAAATACATCACCAAAGGTTCGAACAACCCTCGGTTAGTCCGAAAGGCCGCCTTCCACTCGTCTCCTTCTTTAATCCGGACGTTATTAAAACCCCAGCGAACGTCGAGTTTGGTGAAATAACGAGCGCCCTTGAGCCTGTTGATAAGGTCGTTAATCAACGGAAGGGGGTACCGGTTCTTAATCGTCATTGCGTTGAGGGGCGCGGTAGTCCTGGACAAACCGAAGCCCTCCGTCCTTTTTCTTAACGAAGAAGACAGGGGAGGCCATCGGAGATTTCGAAGGGCGAATACGGCCTGTGGCAAGTCCTTCCTCGATGAACTCGTCAAGTTGCGCTGTTCGAGGGGAGAGATCGGATACACCTTGCAGTTAGCGGGCTTCGCGTCGGGGACGAGTTCGATACTGTGGTCCCAAGCCCTTCGTTCTGGTAACGTGTCAAAGGACTCCTTGTCGAAGACGTCTTGGAACTCCTTGGCCCAGTCCGGGATCTCCGAAGGCGGAGGGGCCGAGTTACGGGCGAAGGCCTCTGCAAGGCGTTGGGACACGGTACTGCCAGCGCGGATCTCCTCAACTGGGCGAAAGGAGGTGTAGAAGATGCGGTCGCCGTCTTCAAGATGCTCGTCGCCGTCGAGATCTGGTGAGGGCTCCGGAGGGTCGAAGCAGCTCCGAGCTCGTCGTCAGCATCATCTGGGCCAGCGATATCGATAGCGCAAACACAGGGGAAGGCGCCCGCAAGTAGTCGTGATTTAAGGAGTCGGAGCCGCCGGGCTCGGCGCGTTTGGTCCGCTCTTCGTCACGGCAGGTAGAGCAGCTGCGGGGGCAACGACTCATTTTCACCTCCTTTGTTTCCCAGTTGATCTCGGGGTTATGCTTTTTGAGCCAGGAGTATCCGAGTATCAGGTCCTGTTTCCCAAGGTGGGTTACAGCCAGCTGAATGCGTTTGGAGTGTCTGTTGTACCGTAGAACGAGGTCCGCGATTTGGCGAATAGACCCAGCATCATTGGGGGTGCCGTCGACGTTGTAGACCGGGATGGGTACTGAGAGATTTCGGACTGGCACATTATTCCGGTTGACATATTCTGTGTCGATAAATTCTGAAGTAGCTCTGCAGTCGACCAGACCCGAGAGGGAGAGCTTGAGCGCGTTCGCAGTGGACTCAAGTTCAAGGGGGAGGTGCAGCGAGTTAACGCCAGGAGCGGCAGAGATGGTATAACTGCCAGGTAGCTTTTTCTCCCAGGCAAGTCGGCGAATCCGAACGGGGGGCTTCGGAGGGGGCAGAGGGTGCGTCTTTCGTTTCGGGCTCGTTGTAGGGCAAGGGAGTTGATTCATCATACAAACAAGTGAAACGATTTATGGACGCGAACGAGGGCACACCAGTCACTCGTCGCGGGGGACAAAATCCTCTGCCGGAGCCTCCGAATGCGCCTCCGCTAAGGCCGCAGTATCGGACAACCGCGCAAGCAGCTCTCCCAGCATCTCATCGCCAAGTTGCTGGATTACCTCGTCGAGGATGTCCACATGGCGGCGTCGGGGGGAGCGGACAGTCCCGAGCCAAATGGTTGGGGTCGCCGCATCTGAAGCAGGCTCGACGAGGGGCACCCCGAGCCCTAGTACGATCCAGCTCCATAGGGACGGGAGCCGGAGGTACCGGGACGGGGCGCGGGCCGCGGGTGGCACAGGCGGGGCCACCGGGCGGATGGGGAACGGAGTTGCCGAACGAGTGATGGGGAAGGCGCCGCGGAGCTCCCGGCGGTCCGCGGGGTAGCCGTTCCCTTAATGAGCTTCGCTCGCACCAGGGCTTCATATTGTCGGAAAGCCCGAGTGCGCCAGCCCAGATAGTCACGGAGGTCTGGGGGGTCGTTCGAAGAGGTGATGCCGTTGTTGATCAAGGGGTCAAGTCCGTGGCGGTACTTGGTTACCTTAACCAACGCCGTCTTGGCCAGCGAGGTCCATCAAGTCCTCGAAGTCGTCGGTATATCCGTAGACATCCCGCGTTCCCATGTGATAACCCGCTTTCCAACTTAGCGAGCGCGAGGTCCTGTTCGTTCTCCTTGACGAACCGAAGGCGAAACTCGGAGAGGAACTGGCTCCACCGAGGGAAGGGGTTTTTGCTCCCATGACGCTCTGCCCATTGCTGAGCAGGTCCCTCCGCCATATAGGACATGGCGTAGCGGACGGCCCTTTTCTTCGCTCGGTTCTCCGTTAACTACGAAGGCCTCCGGGGCAAGCCGAGCGTAGGTTTTGACCGCGTATAGGAAGGCGCGGCCGCGTTTGCGATCTCCGTTAAACGCAAAGGGGGGTTTGGTCGTAAGACTAGTTTTGAGGCGACAGTAATGTCACCAAATAACGCATCCGCGTCGGGGCATTCGGAGATGCCAAGGCGGTTCGGGAGCTGCCGGAGGTGGTGCGGCAGCGGAAGCCTGGGAAGCAAGGTGGGTGAGGATATTGGTGAGGTTGTCTAGTTTCGCCCTCAAGTGCGTCCATGCGCGCGTCAGCGTCCGGAGCAGCTCCGGTAGACATAGCGGGCGTAAAGACGACAAGAGCAGAGGAGGAGGGGGTCAAGTGGCAGGGGCGGTGACGAGGGGGGTACGGACTCGTACTCCGAGCCTGAGTCAGCACCAAACCTGGCAATCTTGACCGGTTAATCCCGTAGAGAGTTTCTTCTGCTGTAAGGGCAACCCTGGAGACTCCGACGAAAGCCTAGCAGGGGAGGATCCAAAGCGTGAATAAGACTACAGGAAATACACGGAGGGACCGACCTAGCAGGGTGGAAACCTGGAGGCCACCCAGGAAACACTGAGGGAATCAGACAGCCAAGTCAATGGAACTGTGCTGTATTCTGCAAGGATCAAGTACAGGGAAGAGAGAGTAACTACTGTGACTAGATGATGTAAACTATGCTGAGCAGGTTTACACCCTCCCCATCTTTAAAACATTGTATCACATCAAAAAAAAATGAGAAGAACCAACAAAACGTCCATCAGTTCCAGCAACAACATTGACCACACCCGATAATGCACATCCTCGAACGCGCATGCACAAGCCGGATCGCCGTTCCGCCAGAAGTGAGAGGGACCAGGGGGCCAGAAAGAAGAATGCGATTAAAAACATGAATATCGTAGGAGGGAAAAAAATCGTAGTTGCAGAGGCCAGAGGATCAACGGTATGCAAGGTCGGAGTCGTCCGTTCCAACATCACTTGGGCTGTCGTAGTCGTCCCACAACCCATTATCATCGTCAGACTCCAGATGCGGAAGGACCGCGAAGACGCTGTGGCGAGCAGGGATGCCGTTGGCGGGGTCTCCTGGGCAGTTGTGCGACTGGTGGTTGACCCAGCCCGGGCTGGCAGGAGAGCGACGACAACGATAACACCCTCCAGCTGCCTTCAGCGCATCCTTCTCCGCAGGCGTCAATCTTGGAGGCAGTGTAGAAGCGGTGGTGGAAACGGGCGGTCGAGGCAGTGGACGCAGCTGGGGTGGTCGTAGCAGTCACTGCTGCCGGTGTTGCCATGGGAGGGTTGGAAACTTTCACACTCCCCTCCTTCACCATGATCTGCCAGATCACAGTCATCTCCGCAACGAGTTGCTCCACCGTCATAGACGCGAATTGGAAGTTTGAGGAGCCACAGGTCCGGAGGCGAAGGGTTGGGTGCGAGTAAAAGAGAAGATGCTTCTTGAAAACAGCGCTGTCGATAGTGTAGGCTGGGCCCGCGTTTGCCAGTGCGTCAGATGCAGCCTCCAGACGCTCTACGAAAGTCGTGAACGAGCTGCGGCCTTGCTGTATGTCGTAGAAGTTGCCCAGCGCGAATATGCGCCAGTTGCTTTGCACGAACCGGTCCCGGAGCTTGGACTTGAAGCTGGCCCAAGTCGACGACTTGAGCGAGTCGCGGTTGTTGGCCCACCAGATTTTCGCTGATTTGTCCTCCATTCGCATGCCCGCCATTCGCACCTTTGTGCGGTCACTGAGCTCCTCGCTATTCATGTCTTCATGGTGCTCAAACACATCCTCGCACGCCCCCAACCAAAGCTCTATCGATTGAGCATCGGGTTTATCGACGAGCTTGGGGCATTCGAGTTTTGTCATTGTGCGGCGTTGGCGAGAGGAACGATGGGGACAAGCGGGGGAGACCGAGCGACTTCGGTGAAGTGCGGTTATGGCGGGGAGACGAGCGGGAGTGGGAACGAAGAGGGGGACGTGATGGCGAGCGAGACAGCGAGCGAGGATGAGAATTGTGAGGGGAGGACGGGTTTGAAGGTGAATCTGAGCGAGAACGGGGCCGAGCGAGCGATGCCGAGTGTGAACGAGAGCTCGGGTGCGTCTCCAAGACGTTGGACAGATGAGGAGGCCCGTCACGAGCAGGCTGGAAGCGCGAGAGAGGTGGACGGCGGTTGGAAGACACGCTGGGCGACGATGTGTGTACCGCGTTAAGTCGGTCGAAAAGAGAGGCGGGGTAGGCAGCGCGAGACGACGAGGCCGCAGGAGAGGCGAGTGGAGGGTGTGGGGAGTCGGGCTGGGGCAAGCGAGACGCGTCTGGCGAAGGCTCGTGGTCGTGGAGCCAAGTAGAAGATGCCAGCGTGGCACTTCCCACGAACTCGTGCTCAACGGAGCTAAGCGGCTCGGCCGATGGTGTCCGACGTCGGCGAGAAGATTCGAGCGGGGGAATGAGCGGCGCGGAGCTGTTCCGGGTGTGTCGAGGCCGGGGTTGATGTTGGCCAGATGCCATAGAGGAAGAAGTAGAGAGGTAGCGCAGTTGTAATTGAAAAAAAAGTGGAAACCTGGAGGCCACCCAGGAAACACTGAGGGAATCAGACAGCCAAGTCAATGGAACTGTGCTGTATTCTGCAAGGATCAAGTACAGGGAAGAGAGAGTAACTACTGTGACTAGATGATGTAAACTATGCTGAGCAGGTTTACACAGGGGAGGATCCAAAGAGAAGAAACTCTAAGGGTCCGCCTGCTAGGGCGCCAACTATATACTGGTCGTCCGTAACTGCCGACGTAGAGCGCAGAAGGCCTGAGCGGCGTCGCAGGCTCTGTCCCAAGGTGATCGTTGGGAGGGTCTTGACGGATCGGTGATTGTGCGGGCGAAGGAGGCCGTGGACGATGGTCGGGGTGGGTCGGAGCGTCCGAGGGGGCGCCGGTCGGATGCGCCTCGGATGCGTTCGGAGGGTCCGAAGGAGGCTGAAGCGGGGGTTCCCCTGACACGTGCTCTCAACATCCTATGGCTTCGACGAGCAGGATTTGACCTTCCCTGTCGCCGAAGGACTGTGTAACGCGTACTTGCAGCTTGGTGCACTGGGGACCTCTGTTTTGTATGCACATGTCCTTACTAAACAATTGTAATGATGTTTTTTTCAGAGCCTCTTCTGGCGATGGTGGTGTTGGTGGTCACGCGGCGGTCTTGTGATACCTTCGTCCCGACCGCCCCGTCGACGTGCCCCTGGGTCACATCAGTTGGCTCGTCGCAGCTCGTTTTCGAAAACTTCACTAAGAACAACTTTTCGGAGATTGCGGCGTCCTTTTCCACAGGCGGTCAGTTTGTGGACTGCCTTATGTGTTGCTTCATACCTTTGCACAGGTTTTTCGAACCACTTCAAGGCACCCACCTACCAGAAAGCAGACGTCAGTTCGTATGTTGCGGGGGTTAACGGTTACGAAGGGTTGTACAACAAGACTGGACAAGGGTAAGCAGCCCGGAATCCTCAGCGATTTACTTAGTACTTCTTTGCAGCATCCCCGATGTGTCTGCTCAGGGGGTGAACTTCCCCATTCTCCTTAGTGAGCCGTCTTCTCTCCGTCTCAGCCAAATATATTGACTCTCTCCCCCAGGCGAACGGTGGTACCTCGTAGGCGGCACATCAGCGTCGACCCCCGTCTTCGCAGCAGCCATCGCATTCCTCAACGACGAGCTCATCTCGGCTGGGCGGCCCCCCGCTCGGGTTCCTTAACCCGCTCCTCTACAGTCCAGCGGGGCGGGCCGCGCTCAATGACGTGTCGGTTGGCAAAAACCCCGGATGCGGAACAAGGTCAGCCATTCTGTTCCGGTTGTCGTCTTGCTCACGCAATTTCAGCGGGTTCAACGCGACTGCTGGCTGGGACCCTGTCACTGGCCTCGGGTCGCCGAACTACGCCAGACTCAGGAAGGCAGTTGGACTCGCGTAGTGGATATTGCTACTAGCAGATACAGTGTTTCCTTGGGAATACAAGCAAATGGTCATATGTAGTCGCGAGCGGCTTGTCTTGTCTAATTTCAGTTTCAGATACTCGAGCCTGTTTCAAGTTGGTCGACAAAGACAAAGTGTAGAACTTGAAGTGACTGCCAGGGTGTTTCTTGTTAGCATTGAGTATCTACAGGTAAGCTAATAGAGAAAGAACTAAGGTGTACTCGAGACTAATGTTAAAGAATAATAACCACCAGCAAGACCAAGTATTAGAATACAATGGGATTTCACCAGGGAATACAGCTCTCAGGAAAATGATACAACAATTCAACGAAGGCCCTTCAAGCAATGGTGATCTTCTTCGGCGTCTGCTCAGCAGCGGTCTTTGGGAAAGTGACCGTCAGAACGCCGTTCTCCATGCTAGCTTTGATTTCCTCCTCCTGCACAACATCGTCAATACCAGCCCTTTCCCAGACAAGAGGAAACGCACCTTAACGCCGTGGGGCAGCTGGAGCGTGCGCGAGAACTTGCCAAAGCGGCGCTCGCGGATGGCATACCCGTCCTTCTCGTGTTCCTCCGAGATTCTGGACTCGGCGGAGATGCGCAGACGGCCGGGGGCGGTCTCGATGTGGACGTCCTCCTTCTTAATGCCGGGCAACTCGAATGTGGCGGTCACGGTATTAGATGCGGCGTTCTCGTGGAGGTCCATCCTACAATACAGGTTAGTCACCCAAACTTCGAGGTAGTAGTTGAGGACATACTTCGGCCTGAAGGAGCTCTGTGTGGACCGCAAAAGCTGGTTATGGCTGTTGGTGCGAGCGCGGAAGGCGTCGTCGAAGAGGCGCTCAAAGTCGGTGAAGGGATCGTAGTAGAAGACAGACATTTTCGCTGTGTTTGTGCTGGCGGTGGGCAGCGGCGACGCGGGCTTTTATACTGCGCTGGCGGCTTGCGAGAACATTCTGCGGCCATGTTGCTAGAATATTCTCGAATGTAGCTTGGTGATGATGGCCTTACACGACGAAGAGCTGGATAGAGTGCTTGGGAAGGCTGTTCCGGGGAAGAGAGATGATGGATAGGCCCATGTTGCAGGTTGGGGGTAAGAAGTGGACGAGAAATGAGGTGTCACGCGACCAATCACCGCCTGCACGCCGTTCACTACTATCGTACCCTGTTCTTTCCCTGGCCTTCAGCGCGTCCGATCCGCCACGTTATTCCAGCTCAGTGGAGTCCAACAGTGATGCAAGATGTTTCCCTACATTCCCCAGCAGCATGGTGGAGGCACCTTCTTCTTGTGCTTCGCCTGAGCTCAAACATTCCGTGGCCAAAGTTTTCAGTTGTGGGTCCATGCCAGTGTTGCGCGACGAACATTGACATCTTGTGGAATTTGGATGGTCCGCGTCGACGGCGGTCATGCTACCTGGATGTCCAGGTAACACACTTTTGCAATCGCCAAACCTCTTCACGTCATTGTCGTTGCTTGCAATCATTATTCCTGCAGCCCTTCGCCCCACCCCTTATTACAGCTGTTTTCAAAATAGTTGGCCACGGCCCGATTTTTTCGTCACACATCAAAATTTGCACAAATTGGTGGTCCGAGATTGTGGAGGCTTGTTCTCACTCAAAACCATATATTCCTCTGTAAATTTTAGCATATTTGGAATCTACTTGACGAACTGGACCCAGCGGTGCGGCCTACATGAGGAGATACCCAGATATGACTGATCTCTTGCCTCACCTGATTTTCAGCGTGGTTTTTTCCATTCCTCTAGAACACAATAGCTTTTGACTTAGAAAAGACAGATATATGGTTTATTAGTGAGTATGAAGCTTCTGCAAATGATTGTGAGCCGTAGGCTGGCCTTATCTAGTCTCCACGAACAGCTCTGCTGTCCCTCGTCTTGACCTTGATCCATTTCGGCACCTTTCTCACCTGTCTATGGCCGCCAACATTCTCGGAGCTCTCAATTCACACCCTAAAATCTCCTGGTTTGTCGTTTGGGCTGCCAGCCACCCTGCTTTTGGAGAATACAAGTATTTGGTCCAAGCATTGATATCCGTCAAACCTCCTCAATTGCGAGACAGGATGCTCATGTAGGTGGCCAGTAGGCCACACCGTTGGGTCCGGCTCGTCGATTAGATTCGGAATATGCTAAAATTTACAGAGGAATACATGGTTTTGAGTGAGAACAAGCCTCCACAATCTCGGACCACCAATTTCGTGCAAATTTTGATGTGTGACAAAAATCGAGCCGTGGCCAACTATTTTGAAAACAGCTGTAATGCTCTCCGCATTTTCAACACCGTGTTGCGTAAACTTTGTTTCCTTCAAGTGGAAAGTTGACCACCCTGGTCCTGGCCCGGCTGCGCGGCTCTTCGAAGGGGGATGACCTCAGGTCTGCACCATAGGAACAACCCATTCGACTCACGGCACATTTCTTCTAAGGTATTCGCCATCTGGCATCATGTGTAAACGTCACATGATATTTCCTTTCTAAGGCAATGTAGCTAAATCTTTCCCAATCTTTTATGGATTACTATTTGTACTACAAGGTGGCTAGATACAATTGCATAGTCTTCAAATATCTGAATTTGTGTCAGGGGAACCTCCCTTTCGGCCCGGAATCGACCCGATTCCGACTCCGGTGATCGCATCACCGCCATCAATCGCATCACCGCCCCCGCCTGGCGATCCCCCTGGGACCTGGCCTGCGACATGGCGCAGGCATACTGCACGGAGCAACGATCAACCTTGGCGCGTCAAGAGCGCAGTATATAGTTCAGCTACCTAGCAGGCGGACCCTTAGAGTTTCTTCTCTTTGGATCCTCCCCTGCTAGGTCAGCTTCCTTTGTATTTGCTTACTGTTATTCACTCTTTGGATCCTCCCCTGCTAGGACCTTGATCTCAGGCCTCCGGGGTTGCCCTTACAGCAGAAGAAACTCTCTACGGGATCAACCGGACAAGATTGCTAGGTTCGGCGCTGACTCAGGCTCGGAATACGAGTCCGTTCCGCCCTCGTCACCGCCCCTACCACTTGTCCCCTCCTCCCCTGTCACTCCTGTCGTCCCCGCACCTGTCATGCCTTCCGGAGCTACTCCTGACGCTGACACTCGGCTGGATGCACTCGAGGCGAAAATCGACCGCCTAACTGAGGCCCTTACTCTTCTCACCACCCAGGCTTCCGCTGCCGCTGCCGCCGCTAATACTGCTGGCGGACCCCAAACAACACCACCCCCGGAGACGTCGATTCCGACTCCGACTCGGTTCAGGGCGATTCCGAGGCCCTCTTTGGCGACATCAACCTCGCCTCAAAATTGGTCTTACGACCAAACCCTCCGTTCACCTTCAACGGCGATCGGAAAACGGGCCGCGCGTTCCTCTATGCGGTCCGCACCTACGCCCGCCTTGCCCCTGAGGCCTTTGTGGTCAACGGAGAGGCGAGTGAGGAAAAGGCCGTCCGCTATGCCATGTCGTTTATGGCAGAAGGACCCGCTCAGCAATGGGCGGAGCGCCACGGAAGCAAAGCCCCGTTTCCGTTTCCGTCCTGGGGCTCGTTCGTTTCGAGTTTCGACTCCGGTTCGTCGAGGAGAACGAGCAAGATCATGCTCTCTCCAAACTGGAGACTTCCGCCTATCACATGGGCACAAAGGATGTCTACCAGTACACCGACGACTTCGAGGACCTGATGGACCTCGCTGGATTGAAGACGCGTTGGTCAAGGTGACCAAGTTCCGCCACGGACTTGACCCCCTGATCAACAACGGAATCACGTCCTCGAACGACCCCCCGGACCTCCGGGACTACCTTAGCTGGCGCACCCGGGCCTTCCGTCAATACGAGGCCCTGGTCCGGGCCAAGCTGATCAAGTCAGCCGCCCCCAAGACGCCTGGCGGTTTGATTCGGACTCCGTTTCCGGTCAACCGCATCCCGGCTCCGGCCCCTTTCCGCCCGGTGGCTCCGGTCGTGCCACCCGCGGCCCGCGCCCCGCTCCGGTGCCTCCAGCTCCCGTCCCCATGGAGTTGGATCGCACTAGGGCTCGGGGTGCCCCTCGTCGCGCCTGCTTCAGGTGCGGCGACCCAAACCATCTCGCCCGGGATTGCCCCCTCCCCGCGGACGTCCGCTCAATGGACATCCTCGATGAGGTGATCCAACAACTCGGTGACAAGATGTTAGCGGAGTTGATCGCCCGCTACTCCGACACAGCTGCCCTGCCGGAATCAACAGCGGAGTTGATGGCTGGGGAGGATTTTGTCCCCCGCGACGAGTGACCGGTGTGCCCTCGTTCGCGTCCATAAATCGTTTTCGCCCCTTGTATGATGAATGCACTCATTTGCCCTACAACGAGCCAGAAACGAAAGACATACCCTCCCCATCAATTTCCGATAAGGCCCCATCAATTTCCGATAAGGCTGCATCAATTTCCGATAAAGCCCATCAATTTCCGATAAGGCCTGTCACCCACCTCCGTCGCCTCACTGCCTGGGAAAAGAAATTACCCAAGCAGTACACTGTTGCTGCTGCCCCTGGAGTGAACTCCCTCCACCTCCCGTTGGAGCTAGAGTCCACTACCAGCGCACTCAAGCTCTCGCTTTCCGGTCTGGTTGACTGTGGTGCCACCTCTGATTTCATCGACACAAACTATGTCACTAGGAATGGCATTCCAGTCCGCACCCTGGCGCAACCGATTCCGGTCTTTAACGTTGATGGTACTCCGAACGACGCCGGCTCCATCAACCAGATCGCGGACTTGGTCTTACGCTACAAAGGCCATTCCGAGCGTGTTCAACTTCGCCGTCACTCATCTTGGTAAACAAGACCTTATTCTGGGGTACTCCTGGCTGCGGAAGCATAACCCGGAAATCAATTGGGAAACCAAGGAGGTCAAGATGACACGGTGCCCCCGCGGTTGCTCCACTTGCCGCGAGGAAGAACGCGTTGAACGGACTGAGCTACGGCGACTCCGGCTGCTCCAGAAGCGACTCCGCTCCGGCCCGTTCCCCTCGGTCTGCACCATGGACCTCTCTGGGCCTGACGACGGAGACGATTCCGTCTCCGGTGACGACTCCGCCCTGCCTGATCTGATGCCGGACTCCGACGATGATGAAGACGATGGTCAGCTTGAAGATGGTGACCGCATCTTCTACACCTCGTTCCGCCCCTCGGAGGAGATACGCGCTGGCAGTACTGTCTCACAGCGCCTGGCCGAAGCCTTCGCCAGGAACTCCGCTCCTGCGCCCTCCGAGATCCCGGACTGGGCTAAGGAGTTTCAGGACGTCTTCAACAAGGAGTCCTTCGACACGCTACCGGAGCGGAGAGCCTGGGACCACGCCATTGAACTCGTCCCCGACGCTAAGCCCACCAACTGCAAGGTGTACCCCATCTCGCCCCTCGAGCTCGACGGCGTTCATCGAGGAAGGGCTTTCGACGGGCCGGATTCGCCCATCCAAGTCCCCGATGGCGTCTCCGGTCTTCTTCGTCAAGAAGAAGGACGGCGGACTCCGCTTCGTCCAGGACTACCGTGCTCTCAATGCGATGACTGTCAAAAACCGGTACCCCCTTCCGCTGATCAACGACCTCATCAACCAGCTCAAAGGCGCTCGTTACTTCACCAAACTCGACGTCCGTTGGGGCTTCAACAACGTCCGGATCAAGGAAGGTGACGAGTGGAAAGCGGCTTTCCGGACTAACCGAGGCCTGTTCGAGCCCTTGGTGATGTATTTCGGCCTGACAAACTCTCCCCATGACGTTCCAAACGATGATGAATGACATTTTCCAGGACCTCATCCTCTCCGGAGACGTCATGATCTACCTTGATGACATCCTGATCGCCCATTCCGACCTCCGGAAACACCGGCAGATTGTTCAGGAGGTCTTGCGGCGACTCC